ATTATACGATTCACAGTATGATACATATTTCGGAAAACTATTAAAAATTAAAAATTTACTACTACTATATACCATTTGATCAAAAAAGAACGAGAAGTTGAAAAAAAAACACAAACATTCAATTTTTAATAATTTTCTTTATTATCGCCTTCAAAGTACTTTTCTCCCGCGGCAATACATGTATGCCAACGCTTGATCCAATTTTCTATACAAGTTTTATAGGTCGCCGAAGGTATGGCCTTTAGTTCACGCAGCGAATTCTCTTGTATGGCCTCTATGGTCTCAAAACGCGTTCCTCGCAATGGCAATTTGAGTCGAGGGAAGAGGAAAAAATGACACGGGGCCATATCTGGAAAGTACAGTGCTTGGTTGATGATATTGGTGGAGTTTTTGGCCAAAAACTGCGACACAACCAACGCTGTGTAAACCGGTGCGTTATCGTGGTGTAAAATCCATGAGTTTTCCTTCCATAAATTTGGCCTGTTTTTGCAAATGGCCTCACACAAACGGCGCTTAACAGCAAAATAATACTCCTTATTGACCGTCCGGAAGGAATTCATTGTGCACCACCTTGATTTTGAACCGACTTTGGCGTTCTCTTTTCGGTTTTGGTTCACCTTTGAAGCACCATTCGGTCGATTGTTGTTTGGTGGGCATATCAAATTCATAGACCCATGTCTCATCACCAGTTATGATGATTCGATGAATGTGAGGTCATCTCTTTGGCCACATCACAACGACGCTTTTTTTCAATGAAATTCAGCTAAAAATCGCCACACGAAAATTTATCGACTTCTTTGTATAGACGCCAAACAAAAACTAATCGTACGATATGCGTTAAACTTTGACAAAATATGTATAATAGTGTTGCCAGCGTGAAAATAAAAAAATTTACCGATTGGATAAGCCCGGGAATTCAAAAAAAGAACGAATAAGTTCTTTTTTGATCACAAGGTATACAGAGTCTTTTTTGAAATTTCAAACAAACCTGAAATTGATTGAAATTTTATAGAATACAACGTATTCTGAAAACTTCCAGAATTTTTAGAACAGTTTTTAGAAACCATAAATAAAAAAAATATATCAATGATACATAAGATACATTGAAATACGAGTACTAGTAAAATTATTATTATTTATTTGTAATTTTGTACCGTTTCAGCTCCCAGGAAATCCTACAAATTGTCAGAAATTTTATGAAATGCACTACGTTGCAAGGACATTTGTATGATTTCTTGTCAAAATTATAACTTTTCTAGCAAGTATATTATTAGTATGTTGAATTTGTCAGAATTGTCTACAAACTACTGTTATTTTTTTATTTTACAATTGCAGTGTATGGCTATTAGTTTAATAAATGAACTTTTTGGTTTTTATTATTTTCATAAATAAATGTATATAATGTATTGTATTGTAACTGTATATTTCTTATATATCTTATCAAAACTAATAAAGCTATGAATATTTTTAATATGAAAATTATTGACATAAAATCATAATTGTTGCTGCTAGCTAGCACTTTTATTCTTCAATGCTGTCCGTGTTTTCTTTTTAATATTTTTGGTGATATTAGCTAGTAATTTTGTTTGATTTTTGGTTTTAATGCTGGTTTTGTGATTAAGTTAGTATGTTTGTGTTTTGCTGATTTAAGTTAGCAGTTTTCCTTTTTAATTATTTTATTATAAGCTAACTGATGCATTATATGTTTGCGTGGGTATATTGAAGAGATTTCCTTCATAAATGATACGATTTTAAGTTAGAAGAGCAATCAAAAAGCAATTCATATAAAGTATGACATTTTCAATGTAATTTTTCGAAGAAATATGTACACAATTATTTTTTCTGATCGTAAGAAAAATTGTATTCGAACGTTTAGTTCTTTTGAGTTTTAGAAAACAAGACCGATTATAAATAAATTTAGTTTTGAAAGTAGAATACAATTTATGGTACAATAACATTTGCGATAAAATTCAAATATTGTATATGACGTTATAGTAAATATCTTAATTATCGGTTAAGACGAGAAGTGTTAACACAATAGATCATCTGAATTTACAATTTTCTTTATTGAAAGTATTGCCAAGTACCCAAAGCTTAGAATGTCTAAAAACTATTAAGCAATATAGATCTTCACCCAAGAATTCTTTAGCTCCGCTTAGAAAAAAATTTGCAGATAACCGGTCTATCATACTTTAAAACCAAAAAAGTTTAACAATATAAGTGATGTAAATAAATTGCCAGGTTTTCACAGTGACAATCAAATAAGGCTCTCCAAGACGAAGGATTAAAGGTGCCATTAAAGGTCACAATTTAAAATGTAAGAAGGAAAAGAAGGAACATTTTTTTTGAATATTGCACTATATATTCGAAATCAAATCATTACATAATAATGAAGTAAAGTAAAGTGATTATGCCATCGTGCACGTATTAAATTCTCATGTAAATGGGTTTTAAATTTCTAATAATTTATTTGCAGTTATTTAGAGTTTTTAGAGGTTTTTCTCGTTTTTTTTGTGCTAATAAAATTTGTACAGATACTCACTCGTACTTCTTGTGAAACAATTATAACCAACGATAAAATCGAAATTATTTATGAGAGTTACAGTCGTGATATTATATAATAATAATATTCAACCCTTTCCGTATGGTTTTTTGCACTTTAGCGCACATATTTGCCCATTTGAGAAATAAACAAGGGAGTTTAAATAAGAAACTTATTAATTTTATACCGTATATGTGCTTTTCGTTCCATTGTCCTTGCATTTAGCTTTATTTACATATTGAAGCTTCATTGCTTAGTGTTATAGATGCGATAACTATCAAACTCTATAGGATATATTTATAGTTTGCGTGTTTTTTCACTCACATTGTACATAGCCCTTATTAGACTGACACTCTCTTAGCTCTTAAATCTAACCATATTATGGGTACAAATGCATATTTCGTTTCTAAAATTTGATTAGAAAAATACAATACAGTTCAAAATATTTAAAAATGCTGGAATAAATAATTTAAAACTTTGTTACTATTATAAAACGTATCTTTTTTAGTAATAATTAATTTTATTTTAAAAAAGCGCTTTATCCGATAATATTCTGCTGATTTGTCTATGATACATTGTGACCGAAAGGTTTTCGGAGGTTCTCATTTAAAATTCGCGCGCTGTATATTTTTCGATATTTTAAGTTTATGTAGTTTGGCAGCACTGTCCTTAATTACTATGCCAAAAATGAGCGCGATCTGTCAGACAGTTCGTTTACGGCAGCTGTTGAAACCAGTTCCCCTCAGTAGTGCGTTGCGAAAAAAACAATGGAAAAAAATATTGAACAAAGAGTTTGCATCAAATTTTGTGTTTCGAACGAAATTTCGTGTGCAGAATCGTTGCGAATGCTACAAAAGGCTTATGGGGAATCAGTTTTATCGAAAACTCAAGTTTATGAGTGGTACAAAGCCTTTCAGGACGGTCGTACGACCGTCGAAGACATGCCGCGTTCTGGACGACCTTCGACCTCTACCACCGACGAAAACATTGAAAAGGCAAAGGAAATCGTGTTCCAAAATCCTCATGTGAGTGTTAGAGAGATAGCACGAGAGCTAGGCATCGGTCGTGAGATGGCTCGTTTGATTTTGGTGGACAATTTGTGTATGCGACGTGTCAACGCTCGGCTTGTTCCGATTCACCTCAATTTGTTCAACATTATCAACGATTTTAAGGCCAAACATTCAATAAATACCATCGAACAGCCACCGTATTCACCTGATCTTGCACCGTGTGACTTTTTCCTGTTTCCCAAACTCAAATTACCACTCAGAGGAACGCGTTTTGAATCCATAGAAGACGTAAAACAGAATTCGCAGAGGGAACTCAAAGCCATACCGGAAAGCGCCTATAAAAAATGTTTTGATGATTGGAAGAAACGTTGGCATTTGTGTATCGCTTCTAATGGAGCATATTTTGAAGGATATAAAATAAATATTGATGAAGATTAAGAATTTTGCGTTTTATTTATTTATGACCGGAAACTTTTCGGTCACAATGTATATAGACAAATCAGCATAAGAATTACGTATTTCTCAAAAACTTACTCTTTGACTATGAGTTGTTGCAACGATTAATTCTAAAGTATCTTCTTCCATATTGTATTCTCTTCTGTGAACAATATATAATGAACTTAAACTATGTGGCAGCTTCAAAGACTATAAGGACATATGCTTATATGTTGTGATAATAACCAAAAACTCCAGACAAAACCAAAATCTATGTTTGCATTTTTGTGTAATGAAAATTATTTAAATCCTTACACATAACAATAACTCTAATGGAAACAGACGATTTTATTTAAAAGGAATTACAAATTCCTAAGACTAAAAAAACAATTTGTTCACACAGTTGCATCAAATTGTTTTTTCAGATGAGAACAAATTTATCTAAAGAGTCTACAGGAAAATAGTTGCACCTCGTGAACTGACTACAAATCGACTGTAGTGTTATGGTGAGGAGAAGTGTTGGCGCTGATACCAACATGTGTTTGTTGGTGAAAATGTAATGCTTTAATACAAACAATCTTCCCACTTTTTAACCACCTCTATGGAGTACTTCTAAGGGAGCATTTCAACATAAGTATCGGCAATTTGATCACAGTTAAACTGGGCTCAATATTCACTTGATTTAAATATTCTTTAAAAATTTCTGGTGTGAAGATATAGACAATAGACAATCTTTAATTTTATCTGACATTTTTTACTTCATTGAACTTGTTTATATATTTAAATGAAATCACAAATTTTTAATTATTTTTCATATATAAATACGTCAAATGATAATTAAACTTCTGCGCTATAATAAATAATATATTTGTATATACGTTTAAAATAGCTACTATTTGAATTAATATTTATATTTTAATAAATGTAATAGAGTACACAATTTATACAATATTATATTACTTTTGAAATGAAATAATTTTAAAATAAAACAAATATTTTTTACTTGTTTTTAGTGCCGGCGGCCAGCAAGCTGCAGCATCAGCTGGCGCTGGAGGTGGTGGGGTGGCAGCTGTAAAAAATACAACAAGTACCTCCAGTATGTATAACGCCCGCCAATCCGTAACCAACTCTGCGGGTGTACTTATGGTCGGACCAAATTTCCGCGTTGGTAAAAAAATTGGCTGTGGTAATTTCGGAGAATTGCGTTTAGGTATGTTCACCATGTAATATATTATTTAATTTATTTAACATTAATCTGATTTTTTCAATCTAAAATGGAAAATTCTTTAAAAAAAATTAAAATATTTATTTTTCTAAAAATTTTTTAATTTTCTTTATAATTTTATAATATATAAATAACTTATAATTTCGGTAGCGATTCTCCTGCCGATTTCAATATAAAACCCTATAAACAAACAATTTTTAATACTTTATTATCGTGACTTACGTATGCTTTTAAATATATACTTTACAAGACAAGATGAAAATTGATAGTAGCGATTTTACATAAATTTAGGAGGTTATCATATTCTCTCCAGCAAAGTTATAGATTTTTTAGTTATAACCTAACCTCATCTAACATAAGCCCTCCTGATTTAATTACTGTCAAGTTAGGTAATCCTGGAAAAGTAAAAAAAAATATAGCCTGCTATGTAAACGGAACAAAGCGTTTATATTTGAATTGAGTGAATAGTCAACATACGTGAGAAACTTAGGTGCCAACGAAAAAAAAAAGAAAAAAATTTAGAAAAGGACATTCGCAAGTGAAATAAAAGTACAAACTTCCGTACTTCGAAGTACCATTTTCAAAGAAAAGGATCGTCTTATGAAGACTTCGAGTTAAAGAAAATTTTTGTAATTGTATATAATTTGTTCTCTAAACCTTTTGCACTCTATTTAGTTCGAGTAACAAATGTTTTAGTTATGGAAGTTTGACTATATTACAAATTTGGATATGTTCGGAGCAAATAATGTAGATGGTTTATTAACTAATTTACTTCCCGATATTTTAACATACACTGAAATGCAACCATGTTAATACTGCTTAACTTTTCTAAATAGTGTGCGAATGTCTTAGGTAGGTAGGTAGTGAGTTATTTATGATCGAGTTAATAGAGAAGGGAACATATTTTTATAAGCTTTAATTTTGTTTCTGTAATTCTCAGCAGTTTGCTGGATTCCACTGTAAACAAATTCTTAAAAAGTTGGTAATTTTTGATGCAATCTACATTCGGAGATGCAAATTTTTATTTTATCGATAGAATAACTGACAGATTCTTACATCTATACGTGCTTTTATATATAGTAATACGTATGAATAGAATTATTCTTGCTTTAGAACAATTTGTATGCACTCTCAAAAAAGTCTTGATTTAAATTTACACGAAGTTTCTTCTTCCATTTGTTATTTGAATTATCATCCCAATAATGGTTTGAAAAGGTTTAAAGAAATAAATGCAATATATTAATTGGTATTTTATCATTAAATCTTTTAACAGGTCGTCGTATGTGCTTTTTCTCAAATGCCGCACCAGGGTCAGGTATGCATAATGCAAGTCACTAGATTTCAACATATAAATGTGATTTTTTATTCCTTTGTAAACTTATCATACGAATGATTTCAATTTTGTTTACAAAGCCAAAGCTTGTACATATGGAATCATAGTACCACCGCATCAAATCACGAGAGTAAAAATTTTAATAAAAAAATTAAGTAAATTTCATTGTGTTTTAAGGTTCCAAGTTCAATCATCTAATATGTCTTGCTCTATTTTATCGAAAACTGAAATATAATTTTATTAAAAGTGTTTATTCGACATTTACTAACCTCTTTATGTAAAGTTAAATTCGCAATTCCAAGAAAATAATCATAAGTAATTTATAAATACTATTCATGTAAGTTTCATTATGTTTTTTTTTCTTTTAGGAAAAAACCTATACAACAATGAACACGTAGCAATAAAAATGGAGCCTATGAAATCAAAGGCTCCTCAACTACATTTAGAGTATAGATTTTATAAACAATTAGGATCACATGGTATGTACATCTCCTATAATATATTCTTTTATTTTTATTTTATATAATTAATCTATCAAAAAATAAAAACATAAGATCGTTCGTTGCCGTATGCAATAATATTTTCATTTTGAAATGATTGCGTAAAATTAATTGAGTCAATTATAATATTAAAATAAATAACAAAATAATATTTACATAATATCAAATGATATCAAAATCAATGTCATATTGATTTTAATTAATTTTTAGTTATTAGAAAATTTATTTAAATAAATATCATTTTAAATTAAGAAAAAAATATTTTGTTTAATTATGCAGATGCATTTACTTTAATTTTGTTATGTATAATAAATATATCATTATATATATTATTTAAATTTCTCTGAAACACTAAAAAAATTATTTCCCTTTTTTAATTAAATGAATTATTCTTTACTTAATATGTATGCACCATTGCCACCTTCGTTAATATAAAAATTAATATTAAATAAATTGTTTGTTAAGTAGCTCCGTTTACAAATTTAAAATTTGATATATAAATAAAATAGAATTTCTCAAGCATATTCCGGACGAGGGTGCTAAAAAGGATTCATTAAAATATAGACACATAAAAAACATAAAATAAACAAACAGTTAATATGATTATCTATTAGCTTGATAATTTGATTATTTTAAAAAAATGTATTTATGATTTATATACACATATATAATAGTTTAAATATATGAATATATAAATACACATTTATATGTAAATTTGCTGTACTATGTTATTGCTTTTTACCCAATCCTTATAACAAATCAACGTATATTAAATATCCACACGCACGCACATACATCATAATTATTTTCTTCAAGATGATTGTCCGGAGGGTGTACCACGTGTCTATCACCTGGGTACATGTGGTGGACGCTATAATGCCATGGTATTAGAATTATTGGGAATGTCCTTAGAAGATCTCTTCAATCATTGTTCCCGTCAATTTTCACTTAAGACTGTACTGATGATATCTAGACAACTTGTAAGTTTTCATTATCATTTTACAAAAATTTTTCTTTAGTTTATACACTGTATCTGCTTGAGAGAGCAAATGAAAATTAAGTTCATATATTGTATATGGTCTTATATTATTTAAATATATATATTAAATTAAGATTAGACAATAATTTTTTTGTTAACACTTTGATCACATGTGTTATTATATATGCAAATATTCTAAGAGAAATGGTCTCAGTTCCATTTATACTGAATTAACTTAAATAGTAGACTTTACAGTAATGAAATTAGAAGTGCAATAATTGCTTTCTATTCGAAGTACTTTTAAAATTGTAATCTAAATTTTTATTTCCCATATAATGTTTATAAAATTTAAAAATTGAATTAAATTTTCCATATATTCTTTATAAATTTTAAATATTGAATTAAATTTTTTAAACCAAAATTTTTTTTTTTGCAGATAGACATTCTAATATAAAACAAATATTTCTTAATTATTATGTATCTGAAGTCTATTTCTTGAAAACACTTCTTTAATGTCTATATAATTAATTTTAATATCAATATTTAAAATCAGTTAAATTTTAATAATTTTTTTATTTTTACTATAAATTTTTAAATTTCTGACTACTTAAAAATTTGCATATATTTAATTAATGTGTTCAGTGCACTTAAAATTTTAATTATATTTTTTTTATTCCAATCAAAAAGTGTCTCAACAGCTAAAAATTATATAATAAAAAAATGATATGTAATGGTAATAATAAAAGTTACATAAAAGAAAATAAATGTTCATTTTGAGTTTAATTTATTATTAATTGTTAATATAAAGTAGTTTGTTACAAAAAGAGTAGTGGTAGAAAATGTATATTTATGTATTGAAATGTATTTACCCTAACTAAAAAGCTGTAGTTAATCGAATTAAATTGTTACATCATTGTAAGGAGTTAACAATATTATTATTTTATTTTATTATTTGTAGTTCTCAAGATACGTAAATCTGTTATTTACACATGCCACCTTCAAAAAAAAAACTGTCTCTTTGCATATTTTTTTTATTAATTATTTGTTGTATTAATATATCTTTTTAAATCCTCTGCTTATGTGCCCGAACCTAAGGTCTTCCACTTTTTGTATATATATAAATATATTATATTATATAACATATATTTATATATATTAATATATTATGTATATATATATATTATATTATGTATATAATATTTATGTATATGTGTATATATGTATATATGTACATATGCCTATGTAAATAATTTAAATCAATGCTAATTTTAAACACACAACACTGATGCGCATTACATTATCTATTGCTACTGTTAATACTTTATTTACTCTATAAAGAGCGTGTCTATCATTTTGTGAATCTAAAAGAAAAAAAAATCTTATCACCAAAACATATATATGATTCTGATATGATGTTAGTTTAGTTATAATTAAAAAGTAATAAATTTATTCGCATAAAGAGCGCATTGAAAATAAAGTTTAGATATATTTTATATTTTTGTTTGAATATTTTATTTTGTTTTTTGCAACGAATATATATGGTTTTTATAGTAAACTTCTTCTTCAACAGAATGTCGATAAAAATTTGCTTACGTTTATGATAACTTGAATCGCTAATGCAGAATATACATTTAATCAAGTTTAAAGCTATGCTTTGAAATATATGATAAAGATAGTATGCAGTTAAATAACTATCAGAGACTGTATGAAGTATACATTAATATTATTAATAAACTCCACACTACGTAATGATAAAGCGTCTGTCAGTGTAAATGTTCCAACGCAAACGCCTCTGTTTCTCAATTTTGGAATATTTGTCGGAATAGTAGGATAAGTTTATTATACATTCTAAAAATTAAAAAAAAAGGTTCTTAACTATGTAAATTTCAATATAAACTTAATATTCGAATTTTGTATGAAAGATATGTATTCTTTTTCTCTGTTAATACCTGAACTTAACTATACATCTATCTACATCTAAGCAGTAACCTTATTTCGAAACATCTCAGATTTTTGAATCGATTTTGTTAACTCCTAATCTATTAGAACAGACGAAAACTTCTATGGATCAGTTCAAATGATATGCACTGGGAATGTTCTATTAACGCAAACACTTAAGGATATAAGTATGCATTAAATTATTACATATAACAAGTGAAATATATCACACTTATGTTAGATTCAATTTTAATTACTGAATTAATTATTTTATTTTTCATTTGCATTATTTTACTTTAAAATTTAAAATTATTATACAATTAACGATATAACAATATATCGCAAATAAATCAATGAAATTGATTAAATAAACTAAAATTTACATACCTTTTAAATATTACATACCTCTTGCTTCGTCTTCTTGCTTGTTCTGTCGAAAAAAAATAACTGAATAATAGTGTCAAATATTTGGTGTTTTCGAAATGTATGATAAAAACTTCCAGAAGTGCATTTATGGTGCTACTAAGTTGTTTATCTTCTTTTTTGTTCCACTAACTTCCAGTGGATCATAGGGCCTCTTTGTTTATGCTTTATTTATAATATATATTGAAACCTAACATATTATAACATATTTGCATTGCATAATATACAGTCTGATGGAATAACTTTTCTTGTATGAACATACCAATAAATGTGGTAGACATTATTTAGCATAAAGAAAACTAAAAAATGATAGATTTTTGGGTTTTACTATCGTCTAGATTTTAATATGAAAAAAACTACTACTTACATAAAAAGTCACTTTTCTCCAAAGTTGGCTAGATTCCTACCAATTTTAGTTCATTGAAGAGTAGTTAAAAGTGATATTCTTCTAGGTTATCATTGAAATACTTTTGCTTTTTTATTTATTTTATAGTAATTAAATTTACTGCCGAGATTCCTGCGTTTTTTATGTATAAACTTCTGCATAAAGGATTTTAATTATTATGGAGATAGAATAATTATTAAGGTATATTTAAAAATTTTATTTTAATTTTTTTTTATATATAACTACATCATATCAGCTCTTGTATAAGGAAGTTCACTATATTAAAATTACAACAATCATTTTAATATATTGTACACCTACTAATATTTATGTACTAATTAATGTCCCTCTATATGCTTCGAGATATTCGAGAAATTTTATTGAATTTGTACAATATAAAAGAACACTGACCTGAATGACGGGAAAATAATTGATAAGTTTAGGTGGTAATTGTCTTGTCGTTGAACTGAAATTCATAATTTACCACATAACAAAAAAATAATATTTTTTGGAAGTAAGCTTCCACTTTATTTAAAAAATAAACTAAATTGATTTATATATCTTCAGTTGTTTTAAATAAATTTTTATTTCTGTTCTATCTTCCTTTTAACTATATATTTGGCATTTGTGCGTGCAATATCTGGTGTTTCATACTTAACAACCTCATCATCACAACTCTAACTTCGAAATTCGTTTGTCGAATTGAACAACAAAAATGTTTTTTAAATTAAAATTATTCCTCAATCAACAATTATGACAATATATCACAAATAAATCAATGAATCGATTTATTAAATTTTTAAATCTTTTAAATAATTACGTTAATTTGCTCCGTCTTCTTGAACAACTTAACTCTCCGTGATTGACATGTGAACAAATTCAAAAACGCTATCTTTTCTTATATTCTGAATAATTGTAGCAGAGGGTGTGCCCGAAGTTTATTACTTCGGTCCATGCGGCAAGTACAATGCACTTGTTATGGAATTACTTGGCCCATCACTAGAAGATTTATTTGATGTTTGCGGCAGACGGTTCACTTTGAAGACAGTACTACTGATATCCATACAATTAGTAAGTACTATCAAATCAACAATTACCTACCACACAAATATATCTACTACATAAAGCGAGGATATTTTTGCTACAACCACACCTAGAAAAAATTGCGTACAAAATGTTAAACTCAACAAAAGTATTTTTATTAGTTAATATAAAAATAAATACAATCACAAAAGAAATATATATAAAGTAATCCTAACTTTGCTAATCTTAAGTAAAAGAGAACATTTTTTCTATGGTGTAGGATAAAATTTTTTCGTCTATAATTTTTTTTTATTATTATTAAAGTTTATTATTGTACTAAAATTTTTATTCTTATTTTATTACTAACAAGTATTTATTTTAGTAAAAGTTTTTGGTACTTTGTTATAAAAATATATCTTAAAAATACAAAAAATGATTTCTTTAAATTTATTATGTATATTAATGAAACAGGCTGATGATTATATATTGCTAATTTCAATTAATGTACTACTATAAATAATTAATAGTTTTATACATTATAATATATAATAATAATTATAATAATTAATACAATATATATATATTGTATTAATTATATATATATTGTATTAATTATATATATATTGTACAAATATATATATATATAATATAAATAAAGCAGTAAAAGTAATAATTTCACAGCCTGTTAAAAAAAAATTAACATAAAAATTGCTTTATATTACTAAACAATAAAAAACCAAATTTAAATTAAACAAAAAATGCATTTCAAAATATCGTTTATTACATTTTTAGAATTATTTATTTATTTACCCAAATTAACTAATTTTAAGCAAATTTTTTTTTAAATTGCATGTTTTAATAAATAGTAGATAATATGTTACTTTGCTAATAATTTATTAAGTTTTTATACAAGCTTTTTAACAACATACAAATAATATGCAAATTTGAATTGAATTCAATTTTTATTTAATAACTTAATTTTTATTTGTTTGATAAACACATATCGTATTTTATCATCATTTGCGCTAGTTGAGACACTATAAATTATTTAATGTTATTGTTAATATTAATTGGTTGTAATAATATTTAAAAAAAAATGCATGACAACATAATAAAATAATAATATATTAAATTAAACAAAATTAATAAAATTTCTTGAAATTAATTCCTTCTATTTTCAACAATACCACAATAAAATAGCTTCATCGGATAGAATATGTGCATGGTCGAGAGTTAATATATAGGGATGTAAAGCCTGAAAACTTTCTTATCGGAAGATCATCCACAAGGAGGGAAAAAATTATTCATATAATTGGTAAATATATTTTTACTCGTTTTTTTTAAATTTAATTTTTTTTAAATTAAATTAATCATTCATGTAGATTTCGGTTTGGCCAAAGAATATATTGATTCAGATACAAGAAGACATATACCATATCGAGAACATAAATCACTCACAGGTACTGCTCGTTATATGTCGATAAATACACATATGGGCAGAGAACAATCGAGGCGCGACGATTTGGAAGCATTAGGTCATATGTTTATGTATTTCTTAAGAGGTTCACTGCCGTGGCAAGGCCTAAAGGCTGATACATTAAAAGAAAGATATCAAAAAATTGGTGATACTAAACGTGCAACACCTATAGAGGTATATATAAGAGTAATAGATTTAAGTATTTTTAAACAAATTAGTTCATTTGTTTTTGTTTATATGGCAAAAATGTAGTTCCTACTTTTAGTTCAACAGTTCATTAGTTATTATTATTGTTAGGGGATGTGGCACTGCGACCATCGGATCTATTGTGCCCCTTTCTGAGCTTAGAGTAGATCTCTTAGCCCTATTGCGTCAATGAAAAGTAGTAGAGAATCTACTTTACAAAGTTTTATTGTCTCTTCCGTAAGAATATACATTCCTAGGAGCCTATTTCGTATGTGCATTAGCACAGGACATTCTAACAGCATATGTGTGGCTGACTCCTCATTCTCTTCACAGAATCTACAGTTTGCATCCGTATGTATACCCAGTTTTGTAAGGTGGTGTTTTAGTCTACAGTGCCCAAAGTGCCATGTTAGGATTCATCAGTTCATTAGTTACTTACTCATTTATTTTATCTGTTTAGTTTTAATTGTTATAGACAAATAACTTGTATTTTCCAATAAAAAAAAATACTCCAATAAAATGACTCTCTTGTTTTCATACATTACATGCATATAACTTTAAAAATAGTATAAATGCATAAAATATTTATACAGATGAAATAATTTTTTTCTATAATTCTGATAGTTGGTTTATATGTTTTTTTAATTAATATATTTTAATATAATTTTTACGTATATAATGAGTAAAAATAAAATCTAAAAATTATATTAACAATTGAACTAAAATGAACTATTAACATAGAAAAAGCGAAATCAATGAACTAATTTTTAAATTATCAGCGTTAACTATTGTAATAAATTTATATACATATAAATATATTAAAATAAATAGAAAATTAATTTAACAAAAAAATCATTTAGGTGCTTTGCGAAGGACATCCTGAAGAGTTTGCAACATATTTAAGATATGTGCGGCGATTAGATTTTTTTGAAACGCCCGACTATGACTTTTTGCGAAGACTGTTTCAAGACTTATTTGATCGTAAGGGCTATATAGATGATGGTGAATTTGATTGGACAGGGAAAACGATGGTAAGTGTTTATTTATATATATAAATATTTGCAATAACTTATTTTATATTAAAGTTTTTTTTTAAGAACCAGATAATAAGATAATTATTGCAACTTGTTTGTTTAGTATATTGGCTAAAAAAAAAATTAAGTATATATGTAATTGAATATATCAAACATACATTTGATAAATGTATTAACGGCAACATTATTGATTGATGGATCATGTTATATATCCGTATTAAGAAATAGTTTAGTTAATAATAATTTTACTTTTTGTGTAATAAACACAAATTGTAGAAGTCGTCTTCAAATATACTATTATGAGTCCAGATATCTTTAAATGGCAGGCACTTCACCCAGCCATTTACAAGATGCTGATATTAGATGAGCTTGCATATTTAAATATTATTTTGATTATAATCAAATTACACAAAAAAAGCGATATGTCATCAATTTAAGTTACAAACACGGTATTCCATCTAGACGGTAGCTAAATTGACCACATAAGGTGGTGTGGGTTCATATATATGAGCAACAGAACTGCAACGAGTCATAATTTTAACATTTATCTAAATCATAGCATATACTCAGGTGAGTATAAATATACTCATCGCAATTGAATGACTCGATCGATCATTTGTAGTTTTCAAAAAATTTTTTTGATCTGTTGATACTTTTAAACTCCTTATCCAATTAAAAAATTATTTTATTAAGTCACTGATTTCATCTTCAAATCGTGTAATAAATGGAGAAGTTACTAATTAACTACTGCAATATTCGTAAATGCCGAAAAATATTCTATTAATGATTGATTTATCTATAATTTTAATTTTCTTATAATAAGTAGATACTAATTCGATTACATATTTAAACAACAAGTTGGAATAAGTATATTATTTATAATATTAAAAGGATATCAATTTTTTTATGGCATGTTTATTCATTAAGAAAAGTTAACTATTATACTTTAATTAATGTATTATTATAATTATTCTTAATTATACCTTTTTATTTGTTATTTTTGATTATTAACCACTTTAACGTCAGAAAAAAAAACTGTATTTTAATAGTTTTTCAATGTTGTTACTTAATGAATATTAATTTAATATATAATATTTTTAAGGAAACTGATTTCAATGACAAATTCATGTAACAATCAATGAAGTACCATTAAATAACCAAAATCGTAATTGGAATTGAACAAAAAGATTAAAAAATTTTATGTATTTTTTAAAATAAACACAAAAATGGTATACAAATTTTAAATAAACAAAAAAAAATATACCAAATTTTGAATAAACAAAAAAAAAAATTATACCAAATTTTTTTGTAATCTAATATTATATGTTAGCAAATAGTTAAAAAAGCAAATCTTGAATTTAATTTTTTGTGTTTATAATACTAATACTCCTAATTTTATTTTTTTATTATGTACCTGTTTTTTTATATTTTATTAACAGAAATGTTATTCTAATAATTTTAATTTTGTTTAATTTTAATCTAATTAAATTTATATTTGCATGCATTAAAAATTTTAATTTGTGACTAAAATATATGCACAATTTAAGACAAAGGAACAACTTGAAAAAATGAAAGTCATAAAAAATGCTCCACCTTCTCATTTAGCAAAAAATAAATCGGATAAGGTATAACTTAATTATATTTATAATTTTTAGTAATTTGATATGGATTTATTTTACAAAACTATATTATTATATTAACTTGGTGACCATTCTTTGTCTATATATATGTATGTATATATGATATTAATTTTTTTACATAGTAGCATAGCATTCACGATATGCTATTGAAAACAAAAGTACTTTTGTTAATTTACAGCATTGTATTGAGGTTTAGTATTAAAAAAAATATATCTAAATTAGATATAGAATTATAATTATTTCAAGTTATTTTATGATAAATTCAGTATATAATATTATAAGATTATATCATCTTAGATAAGATACCAATTTTGCTTCTTACATCTTTATTCGTCTATATATAATCACATTGAAGTCAACATTAACAACTAAAGAGAAAACAATAGAAAAAGTGAAATTAAAAGTATTAATTTAAATATACATTCTACGTGTTCTAAATATACGGTATTGATAATTTGAAGTGTGAGCAAAGTCCAGAGTATTTTTGCAGTTACACTTCTGAGTGCTCTGCGGTACCACAAATTTTATTTTTGACTCACTCAAACTCGTACTTGCCTGACATAGTCCTGTGTAAATTTTCTGATCCCAAAGCTTAAATGATCATTTCGAAAAAGACGTTTCGAGTGGACTGTTATAATCGGGCTGTGAATTAAGCTGTTGCGTTTTGCAACAAAAATACACAAATTATTAATTTATTATCCACTACCCATAGGCTATAGTGAAATTTTTGCATTTCTGTTGAAAAAAAATAATTATGCATAATATATAGAAAACAAATAAAAATTAAAAATATTTAAAAAAATGACGCATTCCGGAATTGAAATTGGATTGCAATTTCAAAAAATAAAAGCACTATCAATCATTACTGCTCTACTACAAGAACGTGTGAGGAATCAAATTAATGGATATTTAATGGAATAAAAACGAGTCTACAAGTTGAACTAAGTAAATACAACGTGCTTAATATAATCGTGGAGATGTTTTGACTGAATATTTGTTTTCAAGAGAATCTCTCTTTGACATTCTGTATGGTTTATCGGTAAATATTGAAAATAATCTCTCTCCTTTGGAATTTTTAAGCTAATGAAACATTTAAACCAAAAGAGTTTAAAAACAATCTGTTTATAAGAAATATTTGTTGTACATTATATACACATATTACACATAGAGGGTCCACCCAGTTATAATAATATATATAGATTTTTACCATATTTTTGCTTAAAACATTTATGACTGCTAAACAACTAAAGAAAATTGCACTTGCTTTTATAAAAATAGTTACACAATTATTGAATAAAAATTAGAAATTATATTTCTAATATTTAATATTTATATTTAGTATATAGATTAAAATATAGTTATTTAATATCATTTTAAAATAAAATTAATCAATTTTTCATAAATTTTTTTCATGTGAACAAACAATTTAAACATTGATGTACTTTATCTGTCTATGTAACTACACTTGTGTATCTAAAATATATCAACGTACACTCAATCAACACAACTTAAATTAACATTATTTAATTAAAATGCACAACTAAAAAAATCAAACAAATTTACATATCAAAACAACAATAGTCAACGCCTGTAGGATCTCTGCAAACTGGTCATGAAGTAATCATTTCACCAAATAAAGATCGTCATAACGTAACGGCAAAGGTAAGTTCAAATGCAATTTTAAAAATATTTAGAAAAATTCAAAAATAGTTACAATATTTTTAAATAATTTTAGTATGTTCTAATAACTAAAATTAAATAAAATAGTATGTTTTAAAAATTAAATAAAAGTTTTGTGTATAAAATTTTCAATATTTGGTTGATTTATGGTTGCTTAGGATATATCTTATTTTGATTATGCGGATGATGATGATGATGAAGAATATTTAATACTTGAGGTTAGAGTAGATTATAGTAACCCTTTTAGCTTATGCCAAAGCTACTATATATTATACAATATTAGTGTTGTAAAAATTTACAATTACAAAAAATCTAAAATTATATGTACTAGCACAATACTTTGTTATATAAGCTAAAATGCATTTAGTTCATATGCTGTCAATTAGTATGGTAATATTTTAAGAAAGCTAATTATTTATTACTGCTTTTAAATGCTATGTACGTACCAATTCTATATTGTATAACAATACTTGTTTGTATATTTGAATTAATTAGGAATTAATAACTCTTAACAGCATTAATGATGACTAATTCTATGTACAGTAAAAACTTACTAACAGTTGCTTCCAAATCTAACTTTATTAAATACTTATAACATAAATTGTTTCCTAATAACTAAAGCTAAAGCTCCTAAACATTATGTTAATAGTTGGTATGATGTTACTATGTTACTTTTATTTAAATTAAATAAATATTAATTTAGTATAATTGTTTTTTAATAGAAAAATAAAAAAAACTTACTGTCTGCTCACAAATTTAGTCAATTTTATTATATTTAATATAAATTAATTTATTTTTCATACAACTTTTTTGTGATTTACTTAAAGTATAATTATAAATAGTAATTAATATTAGCAAGTTATTGTTGGGTATGAGTTCATATAACTGATTACAGAAACGAATTTATAAAAATTCTTTAAATTTTAAAATTATTTAAACAGTTAAGTTTATATGTCTGAATCAAGATGAATTTACAAAAATTCATTAAGCTATGAAACTGTGTAATCAGATAAATTTACAAGACATTACAGATATGAATTTACAAAAATTTATTGAACTAGAGAAAAATTAACCCCATTATACAGAGATTTTCTCTCTTCATCATAAATAAGTACATTTTTCACTATTACTAACAAAGTAAATATGCAATTACTCCGTCTATCAACGATCGATGCATATCTCATATATATATACCCAATAGTTTGTTTTATTATTAAAGATAATATCTTATTCTTCAAATGAAAATATCTACTATATGGTTATATATATTGTGGGACGTTGGGACAGCACACCGTCCAAAAAGTGGCCCTACTGAAGTGAAGGATTAGCCGAAGAAGACCACGAAACGACTTAGGTCTTTCGATTCTCGGATGTCGTTATTGAGTTAAATCTTGAGTGGCTTCCATTCACATAACTACATCGCTTGTTAATGCAAGCAGTTCATTTAGCTTGAGGTTGTCTGCCAAGCCATCACCAACCCGATGGTGTTCCAAGACAGTCGTCTTCCTACTTGCCAGTGCTGGACATTGGCACAATATATGCACCGCTGCCTGCTTTTTTTTAGACATAATCTGCAAGTGTCTTCCTCAGCAAGAGTTATCTTTTTGAGGTGATACTTGAAGTTTCCATATCCTCATTAATTATGATTTCAGCCAGAAATATCTACTAAATTTTATCTATTTAATCAAGATTTATTAGTTGTTATATGATATTAAAATTTTAAGACGGATATAAATTGATTTCCAATTGACAGCTTTTGCTGCGATTGCTGTGCTGTCTTACTATGTAATTTTTTTACTAACTTTTTCATTATTTAGTAAACCTTAACATAAAAAAAATTTATTAATTTATTTATATGTATGTATTTTTTATACAATATATATATTATATTTTTATAATAATATTTAGATGATAGATAATAGTAAAATATATTATTGTGCATCTTATAGCCCATTGGTTGGCCAATAAATTAGCCAATAATTTATAAAGAAGCTAAAGAATTTTTTAATGCTCATTATTATCAGAATATGCTCACTTCTCAAGTTCTTTAATAAGTCGCTCCGCTTGTAAGATTGACTGCCACTGATATCTATTTAAATATGATAAACTAAAAAGGCAATTTGGTTTTTTTTTTTCAAGTAATTCTGTTTTTATAAACACGCAATAGCTTTCATAATAATAACATATATATTCCTATTAATTAAATTTTAAGTGCTTTGGCGCTTCTTCATTCTATCCATTTTTTCTATATTCTCTATTTCTTTTTTTATTTCTATTGTTTTATTAAACTTGGTACTATAATTTATTGATGGTGATTATAATACGTATAACCTCCAAAAATGATTTATAATATACAAAAATTTTTATTTGGATAAGGGTTCAATTATTGAACTTTAAAAATTTTTTTAATCTCTTTATCCTTTTGTAGTATTGTATTATTTGGCTAGAAAAAAGTAAATAAATTGTAGTTAAAAATAAAAATTTTATATTCTTAAAAACCAATAACTAATTGTTATTTATATCACATTTTCATCGCGTTGTTCGACTCAATTTTCATTATAATATTTGCAAATTTGACTCTGCCCGACAATTTACATCGATCCTCATATTTTTTACGTCTCCCAATCAATTAAATGCGATTCATAGACAAATGCCAAAGGAGGTGTTGCTGCGTGGCCTGATGTGCCCAAACCTGGGGCAACACTTGGCAATTTAACACCCGCCGACAGGCATGGTTCAGTACAGGTAAGTTTTATTTACTAAATCATAATACGTATATATGTATATTATATATGTGAAAAATGTATAAATCATTTAACTCCTTATTAAAACGTTTTTAAATTACATTATATAGACATTTAAAATGAAATGTGTGTATATACTCGTAATTAAGTCATAAAATTTAATCTCAGATACATGTAACTCAGCACCATATTTATGTGTTCATTTATAACCTTTCTTTGTTTTTATATATATAAAAGATTAACATATTTGTATATAAATATTTTATTACTAATACGATTACAAAATCATTTATTATAACAATATAATTATAAAAAAACAGTTAGTAAAGATTTAAAATTTCAGATTTTTTTTTTTTTGAAAGAAATTTCTAAAAATTTAAAAAAATTTTGAGAAAAAATTATTTATACATTGTGAATCCTATAGGTAGATATAAAGGGTTCTTAATATTAGATATATTCCCACATAGTGATATATTAGTGTAACGAATGAGACTTACTATGATATATGCATTCATGAATCAAGAGTTAGCCGCAGTAGTTATTTTATCGGCGAATTTTATAAGACTTTCGGTAGCAGTTTTTGATTATTCTTAAGGCTACTCGAAAAAGATTTTATAAGAATTATAGGCTGACTCTGTATGGCATGAGAGTTTGATAGTTTTTCCTGTTGAATTGTACCTGTGTATTAGAAAAAGCACCACAGATAATATTACAGATGTCTGTCCAATCTAAGTTAGCTTCCAAAATGTAAGGGAGTAATAAGTGCCTTAATTTAAATAGAATTGACGCAACTAATATATCATAAATTTAAAGGAACTGATTCATAGGCAAAAATCTAGAAAATAGCTGATATAGTTTATGACTGCGGCATCTCCTTTCAGTTTTTCTGCTATATAGTTGCTATCCTACTCATTCTGAGTCGCGACATATACTAGGACGATTGAAAATCGGTTTAAACACAAATATAAATGAAGATAGACATTTATGTTATGACATTTTTTCAGATTGACATCACATCTTTTTCAGATTAAGATGTGATTTCCATATAAATAAATAGTAAGTTTCTTTAAACCATTGGATCTAACTTAGAACTTTATTTAAAAACTAATTAAATATCGTTATGTACTCAGCATTTCTTATATTTTATTAAAATACAAATACTTATATATTTATAATTGATTTTGAGACATAAAAAATAAAAATAAAATTATTTATAACAGACCCCCATACCTATCTGTGCGAAGTGATTTAAATCTTTGGAAAAACTCGAAGTCCAACTTTTTTATTTTTTTTTATATGAAATATTTTTTTATTGTTATAAGTTTTATACATCTAATTTAAAAATATATTTATGTAAATATGCTGTAAATAAAAATATATTGTAAATAAACCGAACTGTGTAATTAAGAAAAATATATACTAAATAAAAAAATATTTGTTATAATTATATGATTATTATTTCCTTTCCTTTTACTTTTTTTCCATATTTAAAATGTATGTGCGTTAATTTAAATAATATCTTGTATATAATTAACCAAATATTTGTATATACCATTGACTGCAGACTGTTATATTTTTGGCATTTTCTATTCTAATGTTTTCACTTGATTTACTCTACATAAATTCAAGGTATTTAGTGGTTCTTTAATGTATCTGTTGAGTTCCTCGTTGTCTAATTAATTTTTGTAAAATTTTTTAAAAATAATTTATGAAATTTTTGATAATAAATATTTTTGATAAGTAGAATTGAAATCTTAATTAGGCACCTTTATATAACTCCCAATTTTATTCAATTAAACACAAAAGCATGATGGTAGTAGTTTTTATCTATATTATTTATACTTTATTTTTAATCATTTTATTAATAGTTATGTAATAAAAAAATATTTAGCATTTTATATATGTAATTCTGTATAGTATTTAAAATAATTTCATACATATTAAATTGGTTAAATGGTTCGTTAAAATAAAACAGAAAACTAATCATTTAAGTTAAGTTAACGTAGAAGTGACAAATTTCTATGATTTAATTTAATTTTCAACACCCCTTACACTTATACTTTACATTTTATCGTCAATACACTGTAGGAGGGCCATGTGAGAGGAATGCCAAAGTTGCAATAGTAAAACTCGCCATCATCCAATATTTAATATTGGATCGTCCACCGTCTCTGTTCGTTACTTCACAAATTTATTCGTTAATAAAGTTTCTTGTTTGCGACATATTTAGTTCGCATGACATGTTTTTTTCTCTTCTACCATGGATATTTAGAAGGCATTCCTTTAACTGTGACTTGAGAATGCGTTCTCTAAGGGTTACAATCTGTCCTGAAGGCAGAAGTCGATTAAATATTTCCCGTTCGAAATTTTTGGGTTAAATCTTATATTCTTCTAAGTATATAGTTAATTATTCTTATAGACTAAGTTCAATAAAAATTTGATCAATAATAAACTAATAAACATAAAATAAAACACTAATCTTTTCCGAAACTTACATACATGTAGATCTAAACGTTATTCAATCAATGATTATTAAAAATGAATAGAATTTATATTATCTAAATAATTGTGATAGATATATAAAATAAAATAAAATAAAACACAAATCTTTTTAGAAACTTACATACATGTAGATCTAAACGTTATTCAATCAATGATAATTAAAAATGAATAGAATTTATACTATGGTAAATAAATAATTTTGATAGATATATAAAAAATTTAATAATTAAATATAAATATTTTATTTTCAGAGTTTTTACACAAATTGTATAAAACGCAGTTGTACATTATTCAATTGTTATTTTGCATGATATTTTTAATTAAATAATAGTTTAATATACAGTTACATCAAATATGATCCTCTTTTATAAAAAATTTTAGAGCACTTCTATTTGGATGGCTTGCTAGGACTTTTTAAAAACACTAACAAATAGATTTTCAAGTCTTCTGCATGTCAATTAAGTAGATTTTCAAATTACTTTCCTTTTTTTTATGTTTTTGTAAAATTTACAGACTTTACCAGAAAATTCAGACTCCGACGATGATGATTTATTTGATCCTAATTACGAAAAAAGTGATAAAGAAGGATAATTTAAAGCAGCTATTGCCAAAAGAAATCTAATAAATAAAAATGTTTAGTTACTTATTTTAATATATTATTTTCAGTTACTTATTAAAAGAGTTTTTAATTTAAATTATTAGTCGTCACATTCTTACCAGGTACTACTTGATATACAATACCAATACTAAAAAATGTTTGTCCGTGTATGTGTAACCGTTGAGTTTTTTTTTTCATATAAACTTTTATGTTAATTATATTTTAACCAATTGTTTCCTATCAAAGTATGTTAACTGGGTTCAAGAAATGAAAAATATACACAAGGGTGCAATTTAAATATTAACTGATGGTATTTCAAGAGAATTCAACATGAAATATTAAAAAAATATTTTGTTGTATATTCTGTATTAAAAGTACCCGGAATATATAAATGCACGTAAAACATGAAATAATATGTAATAAATTGCTAGTTACAATGTGTAACCATAAGCGACTCAACCCCAATCTGTTATCAAGTGAATTAGCATTCAGTTAATTTTACACTATACTTTTAAGTGTTCTGCAATCGCATAAAACCATTGATTTGTAAAAGTTTTTCTTTGGGAAAAAATGACACGAATGTGTCGATTAAGCGTCATGCGACTTTCTTCTGTTTCCAAACTGTGTGGAGAATTGGGTCAAGAGCTGTCAAGTTCCATTCCACTTCATTGAGTCTGCTCGTTTAATAATTTTTTTGTAAATCCCGACCTTTCAACATATTTCCATATTATTTCATTTAATTAACTGATTGTTCTAACTAATGCATACATTTCTTGTTTTTTTAAACTACTATCATTATATAATACTAAAAATATTTCTAAAATTTAAGCATTAAATATTTTTTTATTATGTATGGAAATTATATTTACTGAGAATTTTTTTGATTTCACACAATTTTAGGGCATAATTTTTATTAGGGCTATAACAAAAGCATTATATGCGTTAAGTGAAAGTTTTACTAAATAATAAAAAATATTATTTATATATAGAAAAATGAAAACTTAGGAAAAAGTAAGTCCACGTTGTAAATTATTACAGTGATACTATAGGCCACAATTATAGCCTATTAGAAGCAACATATTTTTTTATGAATAAAATTATTTTTTGGTGGTACATTGTGTTTAAAAGTTTTTTAGAAATTTAAAAAATGTGTTTTTTTTTTGGATCAAAAAGGATCAAATATTCCTACCTCCACGCCTGTAAAAGCTCGTTTAAGTGTCAAAATCTTGTTAGCCATTAATGATTTAAAATGAGAACAGAGATGGTTAACGTATCATCAGTTATTATTGTTGTTACGATAAAACTTTTCCTAGTACATTAAAAAACTATATCTCAAGAATCAATACAACCTTCAATACGAAGTTAATGTTTTTTTTTATTAAATTAAACTATTCTTCAAAAACTAAAAAAAATTTGAAAATAAAAGCGTAAGTTTACTTACGTTTTCAATGTCTGAGTTTAGGATTTTAGTAAATGACAATGGCTTACAGTTTTACTTTAATGTATATGTATCTAGATCTTTAAAATAATTTGTCTAGTAAAATTTTGTGAAATATTAAATAAATTAAATAAATTTTTAAATATTAATTACTAACCATTCACCAAGTATAATTTTTTTAATTACTTGAACTAATACATGACCTTTTATAGTTAATGAACTTTGATATAAAACGTGTATGTGTATTCGTGTCAAATATTTTTTTAAAGGGACTAACCCCCGTATTTTGTGAACTTGACAAATTTGTCAAATATTGACAAATAGTCAAGATTTTTATCAAGCAAATAGCTTTTTGCTATTCTGGATAAATCTTGATCAATTTCAAGGCTCAAGTACCACCTATGGTGAAAAGTGTTTTGTATACAAAATTCAAAAGTAGTGTGTGGACTAGTTATTATATTCATATCATCCCTCCATTAATAAGTAATTTTAAAATCACTAATAATGCCATTTGGAATTTTATTATAACTATTTTTATAAAACTCATGCATACAAATAAGAATAAAAAATGCTTGTAAAGAACATATATTTTATGTGTAAAGAACCTTGACAATTTATCAAAAGAAGAGGTTTTTATTTACAGCACAGAATACCGAAACTTTGACAAATTGTCAACCTTGACAACAAATAAGCAAGATAATGAATAATTATCAATACTTAACAAATTTGTCAAGTTTATAGAATATGGGGTAAATATGTGTTAGTAATTTATTAATGTTTATCTCACTTAATAATGTATAGATAAACAGATAATTTTATTTGTTTTTTTTTTTTTTTTTCAATTTAATAATTAAATTGTTATTTTACATAGTTTTAATGTATATCTATTAATGGTGCTTACTTGAATAACATATATATTTTAAAAAAATTTTGAGTCCCACGAATTCCATCTAAATAAAATAATCAAATAGAATTTAATCGTAAAATCTTATTATAAAACGTTTTTATTTTGAGAGCTATGAAAAACTACAAAAATATGGAAATGTGTATAATCACAATCATCAAATTATGACTAAATTAAGTGAATTATTCCAGTTTATTTATATTGATTAATTTAATAAGTTGTAAAGCGTTCAGTTTAGTTTTATGTACAGTATGAATAGTTCAGTGGCACGTATTTTATCACGTATTTCTTTCACTCAATATATCTAAATCACTTTTGTATTCTTGTATTTTTGTATTCGTTAATATTTTTGTATAGTATAATATGACGTTTATCACAAGTACTAAAAAAAATTTTGTTTATTGTGTACAAATTATGTGATAAGTACTTTATATTTTTTTAATATTGTCCTTTTCTTAGTAAACGTATACTACTTCATGGTTTACTTCAACAATCACTTACTAACGAATTTTTAATTTTTTTGCTTTTAGGTTGTGAGTTCCACCAACGGCGAATTAAACGCGGACGATCCCACTGCAGGCCACTCAAATACTCCGATAACACTACAGCCTGAAATTGAACTAGTTGACGAAACAAAGTAAGTAACGATAATCAGACACAAATGATTCAAGATATATATAGCTATGTATACTTCATTAAAGCATATTTGATATACAAACTTGATATTAATAAGATTTCAGGTTTTAAGGTGTTGATTAGCAAACTATAGATCGAAGTCTCTTTAGGGTCCCTTTTCTTACTAATCTAAGAGAGCGGTCATCCTACAAATTAGAGACTTATACAAGTTTAGGAACTTGTCGGATTTGAATTAGTGAGTTTTGGCTTTTGATCTTATGTCCGTAAGTTGACCACAGCGGCCCTTATGGGGTTAATCTTATCTGCGTATGAACAAAGCTAATTTAGGGCTCACAACTGGTCATTGTTAAAGTTTAAGTAAGCACAAGACCGCCACTAGAACCTAACCTAACCATAGCTCCTTAGTTAACCCCTATAAATCATTGTTCGTTGGTGCATCTAAAATGGTTAGAGCACCTACCAACTATTTTACTGTCCACATTTACTTTGACCGTACTATCCAAAAATACCAACGGAAAGCGATTATCGGTCTGTAATTGTAAGTCTTTCGCTTTTTGAAACTTAATAATTTTATATATGAGTTCATTTTCGAGTATTCTTTGCATGGTTATTTTGAATATAATACAACGCAGCAACCATTTCACTTTCCAAGAACGGTCTTCTTCCCGGAGCCACTCATCAATTTCGACGACCAAGTATTGTTCGCGGCGCCCAATTCCATCAGAAAATTAAGGTGCAAATGAGCCAGCATGCTTCCAAACAAGAAAAGGAGCTGTCATTATAAAAGCAGTATTGCCACTAGTTTGAAAATTATAGCAGCTCAAAAGTTATAATAGTCTAAGATTAAGCCACCGTGTATCTGTTTTTTCCCCTTAGTATTTAGTTCTTTAAAAATTTACACAACTTAAAAATATTTTCAGAATCTGTAAACTTTTTTAATTTTCGTTGTTCTTGATTTAACTTTAACATACATACCAAATTAAATATAAAGTAATAATACTTTTTTTCTATTTTTGTAGATGTTGTTGCTTCTTTAAACGAAAGAAGAAGAAATCGTCACGCCAAAAATGACTAGACGGTGTCCAATGTAGTCCAGAACGCGAGGCAGTTACACTGTTACGCGCAACTTCACATTCAAATTCACGGGATAGCGTATTGAATAATCCAAGTCAGGATTATATACAACAACAGGCAACATCCTCACAGCATACTTTACGGTATCCTCCATCCGCGTCAATGTTGACGCCAACACCAACTACAAACACACCGACACTTCCGTTGTAATTTAAATTTAAAATTTAAAATTTATATAATTATAAAATATTTAAATTATTATTAATATTATTGCATTATGTATAATCATTATGATTACTATGATATAATTATTTACAATTTATTATTATTTACATTTTGCGTTTTTTATTTTAGAAATTATTATAATAGAAATTATAAATATTAAATTTAAGATTTTTTAATTCAAATGAAAAGCGAAAAATAACAAAATAAAAACATATGTTGTTAAATATAAAAATATTTATAAAATTAAATGAATTTTCATTAGTTGATATTTTATAATTATTTTTCTTCACTAATTGATAAATTATAATTTTCTTTTTGGTCTGTGAGTGTGAATGATTGTATTTTAATTTTGTTAATTTTTTTCTCACAATATAAATTTTGTTTTATTTTTCACTTAAAATAAATTCTTTATATTTTGTGTACTGCACAATAATAAAATATTATTATTTTGTTTTTGACCATTTAACATTGTAAGTCATGTGCATGTGCGTAAATTAATGCTCTTAAAATACAAATAAAACAAAAACATTAAATATTTATAACTTAAAATTTAAATATTTTAATTTCGTAAAATGTAAAAAGAAATGAAGCAAATTTGAGTTTTTTACCAAATACATTAAAACTTAAAAAATTATACATAAAAATTGTAAAAATTAAAATAATTTGAAAAACTCATTAAATATTTAAAATAACAAGAAAAACAAGAACTTTATAATACTTATAATTCATATATATTTAAATATATATACGTATATTAAATATAGTATATAGTCAGCCTCACTTTACCACAAAACATAAACATAAATTAATTATTTTACTGCTAGAAAAAAATTGTAACAAAAATTAAAAAGATTAAATTTAAATTATTCCAAAATGTTTTTATCTTTTAATTAATGAAATTTAAATACAACTCGTCAATATACTCATATGCAAAGATGAAATGATATTTAATGAAAAGACATAAGTTCGTGAAGTCAAATACAACATACAACATACAGTTAAATGTGTATGGTATATTTTGATAGAGGTTTTAAATTTTTATATTATTTTTGTTGTTATAATCCGACTTAAAAATGTTGACAGATATATAAGTATAAGCAAATCTGAACTCAGATTAATTCCTCGATTTTTAACTTATATATGCCCTTTTTGACTACCACACCTACAGATTCTGTAATAACCTGAGTTTAATTTCCAATAGCTGTTGGAAAACCTAGCTAGCAGACAATTTATATGTATATGTCTAATACCAACAACAAAATTAGCAAGAAAGGTGGATGCTCAAAAACAGATTTTACTCAGTCAAACAGCTTTCTTTAATTCATGTGAAAAGTTCAACTTTTATATATCTACGTAGTTTATTCATTTATTTGTGTGTTAACACTAAAATTAATTTTGAAGTTACCTAAAAATAAGGAACTGAATAACTAGGCCCTTCGCGCTGATATTTTGTTCATAAATTATAGTAAACATGTGAATGGGGATACGTTATTGCAGATTGAACGGCAATCAAATTTTAAAATTTTAGTGGGTATTTATTTTGTATAGCGTTAGACATCTAAACACGGCATTTATTCAACTATCCGTAGAAATGTGAATAAAAATAATAAAATATTCAATAAGAAAACGTATTATTATAACATGATCTTCTAAACCAAAGCACATAGATAATCAATTTCAGATTTCACAGCAAGACGGTGGCGATCGGCAGAATAACATATATATATAAAAGTTGTCTATATATCAATTAAGAAATTGATGCATATTTATATGGGTTAGATGAGAAATAATTCACCAATAAATGATTGTATATTTCTTCTTTGATGAGGAGCGAAACCTCACTAACACAGCACCCGGTTGTCAACTGAAACCAATGTGCAAATCTCAACTGCACATTGAATGCAGGTTTGAGTGCAGTCATTTTTTTGTGCGTACTTCTAGATTTTAATCACTAGAGGTTACCTCATAGAGGCAACCTTGGGGACCGACAGCACAACAATAGATCTCTGATTTTTATACTACCAAATATATCCCAATAATTGTGTTTCACAAGTGACAACTCATTCAGTTCCAGTTCATCTTCAAACTGCATTGGAATGGTCCAGTTTCTTTAGTACAATGACACCACCAAACGGACTGATAAAACGCATAACATGATATTTATATTTTTAAATTTAAGCAGAAATACTTATGTTCTTGAATCTACATTACTAGACTAGAAAGCGATGTCATTAGATCAAATTATTATACACTATATGGTGTTCAAATATTTGCTGTTATAGGAATATTTGCATAAAACAAAAACAAAATAAATCAGTACAGATTTCCAACAAATGAAGTATTGGATTATATGTTCGAATTCGTGTATACTCGACCATCTATGATGCTGTTAGCTTAGTTGTTGACCTTTGTTTATTTTAATATGCATATATAAATCAATTTAATTAATTATTAATAAAAAGGTTTTTTTTTAATTATTAAATCAGTAAACGGTGTTCAGAATTTTTTGCTATAAAATTAAACTTTAGCTGCTTTTCAGTAAACAATAATTTGGATCTGCTCAAACGATACAGAACATAAAATATAGTAATTGGTGGCGCATCATATTTTCTGCTCTTTATTTGTTTACAAAATGTTGGGGTTTTTGTTTATATTTACGGCTCGATATTTTCATTTGTATATTTTGTTTCTCGTTTTGTGTTTTTATTGCATCGTATCATATGAAAAACTTGCATATGATAACCACATTATTCATTAATAGTATTCCGCTATTGATTTTTGAATATAGTCCTAATTGTTATCGTCGCTCTGAGTAGTAGTTTGTGAAACGCAGCTAATTTAAAAACAAAAGCGAAGTTTTGGGTGTGTTCATTAGTTTGTTTACAATATCCACCATACATATGACGGTAAATTGTCTTTGACTGAACAAACCCTTTTATTTGTTTCATATGGTTCATTTTTTGCCAGTTCATTCCGCTATCGATAAATGTTTATCTTTTAAATGTTTAAGAAGTATTCAGTTTTGTATAATTTGCAGAATTATTAAAAACATAAGGCACGATGAATTTGATAACTGCAATAAAATTGTACATTGAAAAAATGTGCAATGAATCAGGACCCGGGATGAAAATAATATTGCTAGATAAAGAGACGGTATATGTGGTATATAAAATTTCTAAATACTCATTTAAAATTACTCCAACTTTTTAGACTAGCATAATATCGATGGCGTTTAGCCAGTCGGATATGCTCCAACGTGAGGTGTACTTATTTGAACGTCTCGACTCTGGTTGGTTCTCGATTAGTTTTTTTTATTTGATTTGAAACATACCATTCTACCATTTAAGACAAGGAATGGTCAGAATGGGTTGAAAGTATAAAAATTATAATTACTTGACTAATTTTAGGTCGTTCAAATGAAAGATTAAAGCATTTAAAATGCATTGTTTTCATACGCCCTACTAAGCAAAATGTGCAGCTGTTAGCTGATGAATTGAGGAATCCCAAATATGGCTCCTATTTTATATGTAAATTGAATCTTTATAATTAAAAATATCAAACAATTAAAAATAAAAATCCTATTAAGATTTTAGTAACATCATTCCACGCACCGATATAAAGTATTTGGCCGAATGTGATGAGAGTGAGTCTGTGCGCGAAGTAAAGGAAATCTATGCTGATTATCTCTGCGTAAATCCAAATTTGTATTCGTTGAACATTTATCACTGCATGAATCGTTTAAATTGGCTTCCGGATGCACTTACACGTACTGTGCAAGGCTTAACATCTGTTTTACTTTCACTTAAACTTAATCCGATAATACGTTATAGAGCTGGTTCTCAAGTATCGCAGTTGCTGGCAAAACAAGTATATGATCAAATTACAAAGGAATCATCATTATTTGATTATCACACGTATGAAAATGGCGCTGCGCCACCTTTGTTACTGATACTTGATAGAAGAGATGATCCTGTTACTCCATTATTACATCAATGGACATATCAAGCCATGGTTCATGAACTTTTGACCATTCGAAATAATAGAGTAGACCTATCTGGAACACCAAATGTGCCAAAAGACCTAAAAGAGTTGGTATTGTCCGGAGACCAAGATGAGTTTTATGCAAAGAATATGTATGCTAATTTTGGAGAAATTGGTTCCACAATTAAAAATTTGATGGAGGAGTTTCAACGCAAAGCAAAAGATCAAAAAAGAGTTGAAAGCATTGCAGATATGAAAAATTTTATTGAAACATATCCTCAATTTAAAAAAATGTCAGGAACTGTACAAAAGCATCTTTGTGTAATGGGTGAACTTTCAGCGCTGACAACAAAAAGAAATCTTTTTGAAGTATCAGAGCTAGAGCAAGAGATGGCGTGTAAAGCAGAGCACTCAGCCCAATTACAACGTATTAAGAAAATTATTTCTGATGAACGCATTTCTAATGAAGATGCAGTTAAACTCGTCGCTCTCTATGCCTTGAGATATGAACGTCACGCCAATTGTGATACCTCTGGGTTACTGCAAATAATCAAAAATCGTGGCGCAAAAACTTTTATTGTTCCTAGCCTGCTTGAATATGCTGGAACACATATACGACAAGGAGAACTCTTTAATATTGTACGCATAACAGACGCTGTTAAATTAACACGCAATTTAATAAAGGTATTACCTCTATAAACATATTTTACTATTAATGTATAACTCTAATTTGTATTGAAATGCACAGGGTTTGAAAGGCGTTGAAAATGTTTTTACCCAACATTCCCCCTTACTAAAGGAAACATTAGAAGATGTTTTTAAAGGACGTGAGCTGGATCCACAATATCCTGCAATAAACTCTGAACTTGTCCCTTTCCGTCGTCCGCCGCAAGAAGTCGTAGTCTTCATAATTGGAGGAGCTACATACGAGGAAGCACTTACTGTACATCAAATGAACAATTCTGGCTATAAAGTCATACTTGGTGGTACAACGATACACAATTCCAAAAGTTTCATTGATGAAGTTATTAGTGCAACGGAGGGGCTGCAATTTAAACATACCAAATCTATGTTAAAATATTGTTCTAGTGAAAATTTCTAATTACTTATTTATCATCTACTATGTCAAGCATATATATTGGCTTATATATCTAAAAACTATCAAGTGTATATTTATATTTATTATAAAATAAAAATGTATTAATATGTTAAACTAAAAATCGTACGAATATTCTACAAAACTATACTTCGTATGGAACGAAAGGAAAAAATTAAAAATATAAAGCGAATAGCGAAGGAAATATACACGTAGTACAACTTTTCGTTTACTATAAACAAAATATTTAGATGAACTCAAAAAAATGTTTTTTCTTTATTTTCTTCCGGTCCGAAGAGTAGCTCAGTGTACGTGCCGGGACTAATCTTTTTTTTAATTCGACCAATTACAACTCAACCCAAGTGCTTAGTTTGTGTAACAAGAAAAGCTATTGTAGCAATTTTTGTACTTACGTAAATTTCTAATCAGTGCAATATATAGATCATACAAACTTACAATAAAACTGACATGTATTTCATAGATCTAAGATCTTACATTAGACCTTTACCCGAAATGCATTTATATTAAATCAAGCCAGAAGTGTTCGTTTCTAACGATAATGGTTATATATACAATAAATCAGTGCTATTTCTTTATAAAAATGTTATGGTATTCTGCATTCATTTATGTCTTAATAATTTTTCTCTAAATAAAGTCAAAATAACGATAACTAAATATCTTTTCACAAATCTGCATTTATGTTTAAATCAATATATTCCTTCAAATAATTAAAATAAAATACATATATATGAATAAATTAGTCAATATATTTATATATCCGCTCTTACAAAAAGTTTACAACGTAATGTAAGCTGATTACACAAACATTGAATTACTACCATAAATAAATAAAAGTTGGATGCAATCTGTACAATTTGTTGAAATAAAAATTTTAGGTTGCATTAAAGTGCTTTTAAATGCAATACTATCATTTTTGCAATCGTCTTGTAGCACGTCGAATGGGACGCTCATTAGGATTAGCAACATTTGATGCAAATATGTTATTTGTAGTTGAAGGAAGTTGAGTTGTAGAAGCATTTATACCAGGAGCTGCGGCGGTAAAATTAAAACCTGATACAGACTGTGCATTCGTATTTGTAGCTGGAGCACTAAACAAATTGTTTCCGGTTGCACTATTAGTAGTGTTATTGCCAAAAGTGAATGCGGTTTTTGTCGATGCCTTATTATCGTTGTTCGCCACGCCATTAAACGAAAACGGAGCAACTACGTTGGTCTGCAATTGTGAGGTATTTGCAGTATCATTATTCATAGCTCCACCAGAACCACCGAATGTAAAAGCAGTAGTTGGCTTACTTTGACCTATGCCGGCATTACTTGAAAATGAAAAACTGGATGCAGTTGTATTTGTATTTGTATTTGGAGCACCGAAGAGGTTATTGGAAACAATGTGGTTTGTAGTTTTAGTGTTATTGCCACCAAAAATATTGCTTGAAGTCGTTATATTAGCATTGTTAGCAGTTTCATTATTCTTAGAACCGAAGATATTATTTGAAGGTGATACATTGCTGGTATTGGATCCAAATGAAAATGAAGTAGCATTTTGATTAATATTCGAAGAAGTTGGTGCTACAAATGTATTTATACTGCTTGGATTTTTGTTAGTGCTACCAAAAAGTGGTTTATATTCTATATTATTTGAAGAAGTATTTCCTCCGAAAGTAGAATTTGGTTTCACGACATTGACTGCTGGCATAGAGGTAGAAGTAGGAGCAATAAGCGCAGTTTTTGGTTTTGATGTTGTTGATTCTACGCCTCCATTATTTCCGAACGTGCTTGTGAAAATTCCAGCGCTATTAGCACTGGTTACATTTCCAAATGAGAATAGTTTAGTTCCATTTGTATTCGTATCATTTCCTCCAAATAGTGAACTTGTTTGTGTTGGTTGATTATTTGCTGAACCATTTGCATTGAATGTTGTAGCCGCTAATGTGTTGAGCCCTACATTATTGTTTCCGCTAGTAGAATTAGCATTTGTTACATTGCTACCGAAAACTAAATTTGTACTGGTTGGTTGTGTACCAAATGTGAAACTAGTGTTGTTATTCATGGAATTTCCTATGTTTTGGTTATTTGCATTTTGCATTCCAAATGAAATTGCCGTTGGTGCTGCTACGTTCTTTGAAGTCGCAGTAGTTAAATTTGGTGGGTTGCCAAATAAAGGCGTATCATTACTTACATTACTTATCCCTTCATTTGTAGTTTTTGAAAATAACGTAGCTGTTGCTGCCGGTTTATTAGAAGCTGAACCAAAACTAAAGGCATTGGTGTTTGCTATTGGTCCAGTCGTATTATTTGTTGTAGTTGATGTTGTTAACGGTGATACAATATTTGGACCTTTATTATTGGATAAAGTACCAAAACTAATTGTTGTTGGATTAATATTATTACTAAATGCATTCGATGTTGGTAAACCCGAAACAGGCAAAGCGTTATTCACGGCTGCTTTTGTTGATAAATGATTCAATTCAGTTGCTGAACCAAATGTAAATGGTTTTGGTGCGTTTTCTATTGTAGCATTAGTACTAGTTGGCGGCTTAAACATTGGTATTGTTGAAGATAATGTAGTATTTTGTGGTATGATTGCTGTGTTTGTTCCTGGTGCCATAAAATTAAAGTTGGAATTCGAAACAGTGGTAGTAGGAAAACCACCTATTGATTTACTATTTGCTGAAGTTGTTGAAGCTGTATCGACCGTTGTTGCAACAGCTAAAGTATTTAACGTTGACTTTTGAAGATTACTATTAAATGCAAACCCGCCAGCAGTTGTTGTTGTGGGTATGGTAATTGGATTTGCATTCAATTTGATTGCAGTGTCAGAAGTAAATGAAGGGACAGATAAAACAGTTGTAGCTACTGATGAAGCAATAGTTGGTTGAGTTGAAGTAGCTGTTAATGTAACTGAGGGTAAAGTAAATGGGGCATTGCTAGTACCAACTGTTGTCATTGTTTGAGGGGGTGTTAACTTAATTCCCGTGAGTGGATTTGCTTTTTTTAAAGAATTGACCACTGTTGTCGAAGTACTTAAAACTGAAGTACTTGGTGGTGTGAACTTAAAACCTTCACTAATAGTTGATGTAGTAGTCGTAATTGTGGTTGCCGTTGTTGCTGTTGTTGAAGAAGTAGTTGCAACATTGCCAGAATCTAATGTTTTACTGTTACTGTCACTGTCAGAATTCAGAGAAATATTGCTGTTTGTAGTAGTTGTATTCAGTACTTTATTAGTTGCTAATACATCTTCTTTTTGTGCTTCAACGTTTGGTAAGTTATTTAAACTAGGTGACTGTAATTTATATTGATCTTTAGATGGCACTGTATCAGTTTCATCTTCACTTCCTTGATATAATTCTCCACGTAAACCCGAAAGCATTAAGGCCAATTTAGATTTTTGTGTTCTTTCTATAAGAGGATTTTTACTTGTTATTGTAGATACAGACTTTTTTGGTTTTATAAACTGAATGCTTGCAAATTCCAAATTAATTGTTGATTCGTCATCCAATTTATTTATTTCATTTTCATTATCTTCACAATTCTTGTTAAACAGAGTCAATTTAGGTTTATTTTTACTAGCATTAGCAATTTTTCCGTTAGAGTAAAAAACTGGTTCCGATATAGTACGTTGAGCTGGAGCACTTAAAATTCCTTTTGCTGTATTTAAATTACTAACATTTTGATTGAATGGTGTTGGTGGTATAGGAGTTATAGGTTTATTACAACTAAGAGTCTTTGACAATTCTTCGAAACGTAAATTTGTTTGCATTCGATGTATTTTTGCTTGTTGGCTTTCATAACTCTCTTTCGGCGATGCTTCCTTAATCAATTCTCTCTTTGTTCCATCAGTTTTTTGGTCATTGTACCGTTTTTTGTTTGAATGTACAAGACTAGAACTTAAAGAACTCCGTATATCATTATTATATGTACACATACGTTTTTTAGCAATTTGCTCTGGGGAGTTTTGAGTTGTGTTTATCGCTTGAGTTTTCTGAATATATTGTTGATTATTCATCTGTTCTCTTTGTCTCTTTCCACTGTACGTTGTACTCGAATTTTTCTCCGAAATGGTTGCGGACACATCTGCAATATCTGCACTATCTCTATTACAATACTTTTTCATAGATTCATTGTTGGTAAGGTCCTACAAAATTTACAAAAATTAATAAAATAACTTAGTAATTATAAATCCAAAATGAATTTATACTAACTTCATTATTGATTCGTTTTCTGGATATTTCTTTCAATACTTCTAACACGCTCCTTGTTGGTGCTAAATCATTTTCTGTTGCTGGAGGGTGCATAATTGGACGATTCTCGCATGATATTTCGTCACCGGTTTTATGCAAACCAATTATTGAATTCGATCGCAATAAACTTGATACGGTTCTACCATGAAAAGCAGATGTTTCTATAAATAAAATTATATTAAAAATATAATTTTCTTCGTCAAATTAAATAATATATAAGTTTACCAGGTGGTGGAATACGAGTCATTGAGACATTCTGTTTAATGGCTCTATAAGGTAGCTCTGTTTTCTTCAAATTTACAATTGGAAATTGTCCAGGCTTATTATATATATTATTCATAGACATACTACGATGTAAATTACTACCTCTCTCATGATATTTCACAATCCTTGAAGCCAAACCTTTGCTCTGTACGTCTATATACATCCTTAAAAAAACAAAAACAATTTAAATTAATAAAGCAATAATTACTTATATTACTACAAAATTTAAATCCAAAAAATGTATTATTTACCTTGGGTCGATTTTACTAATATTAACCTTAGAACGTTGTAACAAAGAAGAATTTCTTGTCACATTACAAAGTTCAGATTGTGCATTGGAAATATTAACGTTGGAGTTATGATTTTTTACGTTCATAGGCGAACCACCCCATCTGAAGGATGACGTACTGAAATATATGATATTTTTATATCATATCAAATATATATATATATTAAATATTAAAATTTATTACCATGATTCTTTTATATTGATACACGTAGACTCAGCAATTGGATGTGGTAAATGTGTTGAACTTAGACTTAGTCTTGGTTCCAACACACTTGAGTGTTTAGTGTCCATAATTAAATCAGCTGACGTGATATTTTTTAAATCAAAATTACTAATCTTCCGAATTTGATGTACATAAAAATATACTTTCTATTTATATTTATTTATTTTATAAATAACGCTACAATTTATATACTTTTGCTAAACCTAAATGCACATTTTAATATTCGATGCTATTAACTCACTAGTGCTGCCAACTCACGAAATTTGACAATGACAAGTGCGTTACAAAAATTTATTTCCCTGCTCCTATTAACATTAATTCAGCTTGGTAGCATTGGGCAACATGTTGAATTAAATATTTCAGCTATTACACATTCAACCAAGTTGTACAATATTATGAAATCATTTTTAATTTCCATTTTTAATTTTAAATAGTTTTTATTTTATTTATTAATTACGCTAGTTTCATAATATTATATACAATTTGAAAATACATTATGTTTACAGTGATATTTTTTTGAACAATAGTAGTTTTCAAACGTCCTCAATAGCTCAGTAATGATGAAATTTTATGTATATATAAATATTTTTGTAAAATTACTAATATTACTGAATATCTCATTTTCTTGACATTTTTATAAGTTTATGAATAATGAAACAAACAAAAACAGTTAGAGTTACTTAATCAATCAACCATACAAGAATGAACTTTCCATGTGATCATATTGAAGTTACAATTTCAATTTCGCCGTAATTTACATTTTATCGAAGTGATGTCGATATTTTGATCATTTGGCATTTATCAAAATGCTTCCTACTAGAGTACTGCACGCGCGCATTTGATTTCAGTTTCAAAGCATTCTATTGTGTTTAGAATGGTAGCATACTCTCACTCTCAACGAACAAATACGAATGTATAGGCATAAAAACAAAATGGAATGGAATAAATATTTGTTTCGTTTGTTTAGAGTACTCTAACTCTAAACATTATAAAAGTAGTTGAAGTAGTTGGGAGTACTCTAAGCATTTGATTTTCAGTTCATACAAAAATTATGTGTTTTTAAATAGTAAGACCCAAATTTATTTATGTAAGTTTTTTTATTAATTAAATATTATTTAAAATGTTGATAATAGTAATTTGTTGATTACATATATAATATGACTTAATATATTAATTAAATATAAAAAAAATTTTGAACAAAAATTTATTTAAAAAAATTATAATAAGTTTTTTTACAGTTTTTACAGTTCACAAATTTAATTTAATATGCAAATTAAATGTTGAGCATCGTCTGACTTAATTCCTCTTTTTCAAGATTGTTGTGTAAAACATGATTTGATTGATAGATCTTTGATTAGATGAAATCAATGTTCTTTTTTCTGATATTAAGTTCCGAGCAACTGAAAAAACCCTTTCCGAAGATGCAGTACTTGCTGGTGTTGCAAATAATTTACAAGAAACTTTGTAAAGTAGGAATTCTGAAGGAATTCTTAAGAAATTTCTAAAAATCTCTCTTGTCATAAATAGATATTTTAACCATATCATGCATAAAATTATTTTCCAGGAAAAGGTAAATATGTGAAGCAATTTATTTTGTTACATCATAAAAAACTATCAAAGAAGGAAATTCTGCGCAAACCGTTTTTTTAAGTTAACCTTTTGCATTAGATCTACCTGTTTAAACAACTTTTGCATTGAAAATAATAGAAAATTAAACCTAATTTACGTACTTTGTTGTTGCAATTATTGCAAATCTCTACGCACATCCAACTTTCTTTACTTTTGCGCAGGCAACCAAACGCACACAAAATACTTTGCAAAAATAGAATTATTTGAAATACTCTAAAAGTGATTGAAATACTCTAAAAGTGATTGAAATACTCTAAAATATTTGTTTATTTGATTTTAAAATTCAAAACAAACGATTATAGAGAACAAATCAACCCCCATTCCATTGAAACGAATGCGGCGGAAACGAATTCTATCGGACCGTTTCTGTTATTCGTTCGTATTCGCTTTAGAAATAATTTGTAAATATGGTACACATTTGAAAATAAAACGAATGACCGCAAAAACGAATGTTTTGATGCAGCACTTTACTTCCTACGTACCATAACTTCAATGAAGCAGTATTGCTAAGCACTAATTTTTTAATTTCACTGTAAACAGCGGTTAAATTTAAGCATCTAGAAAAAGTTTTTATCATTTTTGATTTATTTCATTTTTTAAGTATTATGTTTTTAAATTTAAGTATTATAATATAATAATTAATATTACTGAATACTATTTGTTTTATTTTTTACAAAATTTTAAATGATATTTTGTTTTAAATAATTTAATTTTTATTTCCTTAAGAACTAATTAATAATATTAATTTATAAATTTATTTTAAAATAAATAAAACTGTAAAATATTTTTATTTTTTAATATATGTATATATATTATTTATACATATATTTAATTTTTTGATATAATATATATATATATATATTTTATTTATGAATTTATTCAAAAGCATAGTACAATTAAAAAAATATAAAACAAAAATATTGACAGGACAACTCATATTTTAAGAAAATATTTAAAATATATTAATAATTAAAATAAACAGATAAAAAAAAATTTTTATTATTTGTTTTTAAAGGTTTCCTTGAATAGAATATATTTTTTGTATATTGTTTATATATAATGTACATTGTGACCGAAAAGTTTTCGGAAATTCTCATTTAAAATTCGCGCGCTGTATATTTTTCGATATTTTAAGTTTATGTAGTTTGGCAGCACTGTCCTTAATTACTATGCCAAAAATGAGCGCGATCTGTCAAGACAGTTCGTTTACGGCAGCTGTTGAAACCAGTTCACCTCAGTAGTGCGTTGCGAAAAAAACAATGGAAAAAAATATTGATCAAAGAGTTTGCATCAAATTTTGTGTTTCGAACGAATTTTCGTGTGCAGAATCGTTGCGAATGCTACAAAAGGCTTATGGGGAATCAGTTTTATCGAAAACTCAAGTTTATGAGTGGTACAAAGCCTTTCAGGACTGTCGTACGACCGTCGAAGACATGCCGCGTTCTGGACGACCTTCGACCTCTACCACCGACGAAAACATTGAAAAGGCAAAGGAAATCGTGTTCAAAAATCCTCATGTGAGTGTTAGAGAGATAGCACGAGAGCTAGGCATCGGTCGTGAGATGGCTCGTTTGATTTTGGTGGACAATTTGTGTATGCGACGTGTCAACGCTCGGCTTTTTCCGATTCACCTCAATTTGTTCCAAAAACACCATCGTGGACAGGTCTCGTTAGACATGCTTGATCGTGCCAATTCCGATCCAACTTTCATGGAACGCATCATAACGGGTGACGAGACATGGGTCTACGAGTACGACATGCAAACAAGCCAACAATCATCGGAATGGAGAGGAAAAGACGAGCCGAAACCGAAAAAACCACGCCAAAGTCGCTCGAAAATCAAGGCAATGCTGATTGTTTTCTTCGATATTCGTGGTGTGGTGCATCATGAATTCGTCCCTGAAGGACAAACAGTCAATAAAGCCTATTATTTGACTGTTTTAAGACGTTTGCGTGAAAATATCCGCCGTAAACGGCCTCAATTGTGGAAGGATAATTCATGGATTTTTCATGACGATAATGCTCCCTCGCACCGAGCCAACATTATCAACGATTTTAAGGCCAAACATTCAATAAATACCATCGAACAGCCCCCGTATTCACCTGATCTTGCACCGTGTGACTTTTTCCTGTTTCCCAAACTCAAATTACCACTCAGAGGAACGCGTTTTGAATCCATAGAAGACGTAAAACAGAATTCGCAGAGGAAACTCAAAGCCATACCGGAAAGCGCCTATAAAAAATGTTTTGATGATTGGAAGAAACGTTGGCATTTGTGTATCGCTTCTAATGGAGCATATTTTGAAGGAGATAAAATAAATATTGATGAAGATTAAGAATTTTGCGTATGTATAATGTATAATGTATATAATGTATAATGTATAATGTATATACATTTGCGAAGACAAAGTCAAATAAACTTCGAAATGTCGGAGATATTTATATGTATGTATATATAATTAATATTATTACTTAAACAAAATTTTGCAATATCTCCTAGAATAGATTAGTATAATATAAATACATACTCAAAACAAAATAAATTATTATAAAATTTTTTAAATATATTGCAATACTGCGTTAATTTAATGATATGTATTTCAGAAATCAAAATTTGAAACTAAGTTAAAACTGCATATTGATAACAACCCCAGACATAAATAAATCCTCTCTAATACGTGACAAAAACTTTAGCAACATATTTGAATAAATATTACCAACATTTAAAAAAAAGTTAGTTGTAGCGAACTTAAATTCATATGATTTTTCGATATGAATCATAATGCTCCATATCCGTGAATAATTGAGGATGTGTTGGATACAGTAAACAGTAACAATGTCTTTTTTATGTTTCAATATTTAAAATATTAATCTCTCCGATACTAAGTCTGTATTTAATCTAGATTTACTTTCGATCTGTCAAAGTTTGTTGCCCATAATAGACTCACCACCAATGAAAGCTTTCTTTCTATATATGTATATATATAAATCGCTTGGATTACGATGCCGGAAGTAATAGTAAAAGTGATCTTATTTATTGTAACTTCAACATTTAAAATAAAAAGGATGTTATTTATTTAACTAAAATAAAATAGCAATTTTATTGAATATACAGACATTAATGAAATTTAAAGTATGTACATATGGTATATAACTTACATATTAATTTATATATATATACAATACACATATATTTAAATAAGCAGGGTGATAAAAATTATTTGTCTTAAAATTATATTGTAAAAAGAAGCTCTTTGGATAATTTTGTTTTTAAAGTTTTGTTCAAATACTTGTAAAAATTAAAACATTTATATTATAAAAAATGGCAATATTAATACAATTTTGTGCTTAAATATTAAATGCCAAACTGGAATAAGTGCGAAGCACGTAGGCTAAAATTAAAGTATTTTTTTCGCTGCATTTTATTAAAACGTGTTTTACTTAAATTCAAGTTTAAAACGAATTGGTTATAATATACGTAAACATATATATTAATCTGCTAATCGACTTTTTCTTTGGCACATTTTTTGATGATGCGTTCGAAATGCAAATGCATGAAGCAAAAAGCGATACGCAAAGGTCCCAAGATAACTGCGTGAAGTAGATTTTGCAGTAAACCACCCCAACGAAATAGTCCACCTCCTAGTAAAGCCAAAATCCAACTTTCTGTACCTAATACAGAAATGAAGTTTCCTTTCTAAAATACAAAAATATTTAATATAAAAAAATAATATAAAAAGCGGGTTGCTTACCAAAGCATCATCCAGAATTTGCTTTGCTACTTGTTCAGCCTGTGCCAAGCCCCCACCGCCGGATATTATTTTTGTCTCTTTTGGTTTAGTTTTTTCTTCGTTTTCAAAGCCAGGCGTATCAGTATCAGAAGGTAAGGCCAACGTTACAGAAACGCCTAAATGCCTTGACTCCATCGCAATTGTCTCAGCCATACCTCGTAAAGCAAATTTAGATGCTGCATATGGCCCATACCCATATATACCAAATAAAGCAGCTAAAGAGGCTGTAATAACAATAATGCCTTCGTGTGCTTTTTTCATTTTGGGCAGTACATACCGCGTACAATTGTATGTGCCAAAATAATTGACCTCCATTAGCTTGCGTGCATCCGCAACAGAAACTTCCTCAAATGCACCACATATTGCCATACCAGCACAATTAATAAGCATGTAAATATCACCAAAAGAACCTTCAATTTCAGCAAGAGCTCGTGCAACTTCTTCATAACTTGAGGCAATATCTAAACAACGGTATTGAAACTTCTGATCTGGAACTTGTCTAATTACTTCCATCAAGGCAACAGCTCCATCTGAATACACAAACATGATTATTACAAAATTTATCTTTCTAAAGTTATTAACATACTTAGCATTTTTTCGTCACGTGCAATTATTGTCACATTAGCTCCTTTCATCGCACACTCAGCTGCTAAACGAAGACCAATTCCTTTCGAACCTCCTGTGATGACAACATGTCGCCCTACTATTAATCTAGGGCGTTTTCTTGAAACAAAAATGTAAACACCTATGTGAGTTAAAACAGCAACAGCTATCCACATTAATAGTTCCAATGTAATATTCATTTTATAATATTTATATTAATTATTATTTAGATAATAATAATTATATACTTCTTTTGGTTAATAATCCTTTTAAATCAAAATAGATAGTGAGAGTTCAAGTTCGGAAAAATGTTCGGCTTTTCTTCGATTAGAAAGTTTGTTACTTTACTGACTTTGCGAGTTAATAACGCATAATATTGTTAACAAGCTTTTTATTAAAACTTTCTTAAAACATATACACACCGAAAACTCGAATTAAAACTTGAATTTGTATAAAAAAATAGAAAATTAAATGGAAAAGCGAATGAACCTAGCAGGAAATTAGGAAAAAACTATATAAATATAAATAATGCTGCCACATAAATATATTTGTGAAAATTTATAAAAATTTTATGCAACGAGTCAACATACACTTTGCGACCATAAAATACATTACAAGTGACCAGATCACCTGATATCAGTATTAAGTGCATTTGCGATTTAGGTTTTAAAGGTTATTAAGAATAACAACAAAGGTGGTGATTGATGAGCATATAACCAAAAACGATTCAATGCATAGACTCGTTATGACTCAATTTTAATTTTTCTAGCTTTATGATGCGGGAGAGGTTGGAATATTAAATCATTTCATAGTTAACAAGTGCAAAGAAATTTGTATAGCTTTCGAGTTATTTTGTGTGTTCTGGGGGTCTATTCCGCAACTTTGAAAAAAATTTTGTGTACACGCAAACGAAAAACTCAATTCTCACCGCAGTTTACATTTTCTTATAAAATGGAATACCCCAAGTGCTAGTAAGTTTTTCATGTTGAATGTAAAACTATAGCGTGCTGAATGCATTTTTAACAGTTGTCAGTGAATAAATTTGTATTTACACTGAATAAACTCAGTTACTGAAAATAAATAAGTAAACAAAATGGCAGCCATTTTACTAATTATAATGCAATTTTATAATAATTATCATATTAAAAATTTTTATTTTATATTTTTGTAATTTTTTTACAGTTCTTATAACTAAAGTTTTAAAATGTTATTATCGTTAAAAATTCGATAATAAAGCAAAAGTACAAACTTTTGCTCCTTTTGCTTACTTTTTACTTTTTTCCATTTTTAAAACCCATAAAAAATAATAATACAAGTTTATATTAAATTTTGCACAAAAAAACACACGACCGAATATACGGTGAATAAAATTTGACAATAGTGTACACTTTTTGACAGATAAAACTATCAAAACTCGCTATTCACAGTTGAGGAATAGCAAAATCAAAATATAAGCAAATTTTTGTGTACGCTTCAGTTTACACAGTTTCGGAATAGACAAAAGTGCATTTAACAGGAGAGAAATCCAGAAGCAACTTAGGAGAATATGAAAAGAATAAATGTACCCAAAATACCAAAAAACTGATTTTGTTTTCAATCCATTTAATTTTATTCATTTATAAACTTTTATAAACTTAGCTTAATAAATAAATCAAACAAAAAATTATATATATAATTGATATATTAAATCATTTATATACATTTTATATAATAACGGAGAAGAATTTTTCTTGAAGATTGTTGGAGAATTATAAAAACAAGAATAACTTCAGATTACTGTATAGATAATGTGAAGTGTGTATTAAGTTTGTAGTGTGAAGTGGATGTTATATGATTACGAGCAACATATAAATTTTAGCAGATTTATGAATAAAAAACATAAAACTTAAATTGATACTCTCTGATTCTTGTATTGGTGTTCTTTGATCCGTGGTTTTAGTAAAAAGAACACAAGGGTGGCAATATTGCGTAGACAGCAAACAAAACGCTTTGTTTTATAAACAGAATATAGTGCGAAGACTTCATAATTTTTTTGTAATAAAACTTTAAACTAATTAATATTTTTATATATATATTTTGTTATATCCGTGTAATATTTTAATTATTATTAAATGATGTCGAGTGTGACAATAGAACGCAAACGAGTAGAGTGCAATTCTTTACCCAAAGGATGGCAAAGAGAAGAAATAATCCGTAAATCAGGAATATCAGCTGGTAAAATGGATGTGTGTTATTATAGGTAAATTAAAAATACAGGAAAATCATTACAAACATAAATTAGAATATATATATTTTGAGAAATTAATTTAAAAATCAATTTTCAATACTTCCATCAAATCACAACCTATTTGACGATTTCATTGCACGCATGACATATCATTCACATATATCCTCCAATTATGATCATGACTCAGTCCTACAGGCAGAAAAATTGAAAGTAAGCCGCAATTAGCTCGACAACTCGGTGATGCATTTGATTTGAGTACTTTTGACTTTCAAACTGGTAAAATATTACAACATCTATCTTCGCCGTCTATATCGTTGTATCGCTGCAGTGGCAGTGGTGCCGCATCGAGTACTGCTAATACAGGAGCAAATACTTTCAAACGAAAATACAAATCACAAACGCTTTCTGATAGCAGCAGCGGCTCTTCTACAGCAAGTATCAATATAAGCACCAACAATACTTCCAGTGCATCTTTCGCTAGCTCATCATGTCAACGTCAGCTGCATGACTTCAGGTAGAGCAGATACAATAACAGTGAAGATGAGAAGCACTGAACTGTATCTGTTAATATGCATGTCCAGCTGCAAATTATTTTGTGGACTATAAAAGATGTTAAGACAGAGAAAATCTTTTCAAAATTGCTTTAAATATTAATATATGCACAATTTTTCAATTGGGTTTTAATCAAACCTTCTAAATATTTAACTCTGTCTTGAAAAATCTTGATGCGATTTGTGGTTTATGTTTTTCTTTTTATAAATTCACATTCAAATATTTGATATTGCATATTTGCATGCTTTGTATGTAATTAGTGTTTTGTGTATATATAAATTATACATATATAACTTCAAATATTTTATGTTCTATATATTTTTATCTTTTCAAGTTTTAATTCCTATGCAAATTTAAATTTTATGTTTATTTAAATTTTTAATCAATATCTGAATACTTACTGCGTAAATAATTTGTTAAATAATATATTTGCAAATAAATATTAACTGCATTTAAAAGTGTACTAAATAAAAGCATTCCTATTCCGATATAGCATATATGTGAATATCGTTTCAATAGCACAATCTTCTTAAATCCTTCGTTTTACAATTTTCTTAAGTAGTAGACTGAATAGTTTTTATAGAATATTTTTTTATATAGTATTATTTGTTCAATGTCACAATTTTCTCAAAACAATTATCCAATCTATATAGTTTTTCTTTGATATATATATTAAAAGACACAATATTTTATTATTTAAATTCAATACTTTCTTAACATAGCTTTACCATTCCTAGAGAAGATTTCAATATATATACGGTCACTTCTTTTAAGTTATGCCTTTGTTCCCATTGCACTGGCTTCTAAATCGCAACTCTAAACTCAGCCAAGATAAGAAATTGTTAATTTACAAATCAATATTAAAGCCAATTTGGACCTATGGTATAGAGCTGTGGTGTTCAGCGTGTAACACAAACATAGAAAAAATCCAGAGAGTACAAAATAAAGTTATCAGACAAGTTACGTGCGGTCCGTGGTATATCAAAAACAAAAACTTTCACAAAGATCAAAATCTACCAACTGTTGATGAAGTTATTCACCAATATACACCCAAATTCCGAGAGAGACTCAAGTCGCATCCAAATTCTCCTTTTCGACATTGTTTTTGCAACTACACTTAATCGCCTTAAAAGAAAATTATTGATAAATATGAATACCCTAGCTCAATAACATATATGTTAGTTTTTTAAGATCCGCAAAATTATTGTCAATTTCTATTGAGAAAGTTTCAATAAATAAACCAATGAAAGAAAAAAAAATTTCTTTGTTCCCAAACGATTCTTAGAAGTTTTACAAATAAGTAGTAGTCACTAAAGGTGAGATCTAAAGAATGCACTGAATGAAAGTTAAGTCTTTGTTCTTCAGTCTTAATGTTTATTTTATGTTAAATAAGCTCGCATATTATTTTGTAATCTTTACGATTTCAACTATATCTTTCATAAGCCACAATTTATACGACAAAATTGTTTGCAGTCATGCAAGATTATTTTGCAGTGTATTTAAATAAATGGTGACTGATTTTAATAAGTAGACTACTTCTAAAACTTATCAAGCGCATATTTTATTTTTTTTCCTGTCGAAATGCGTGAATTTGTTAATATGCTTAAGATATAAAATTTCATGTGCATATATGACATGACACACTCCCTTCTTTTCTGCAAAAAAATCATAAAAATTTATGTTAATCACTGGGAATGGCATTAAATGTTGATAGTGCTGTGAAGATTGGTTTTCTGAAACGGCGATATGGACTTATTTTCAAGAAGCGCTTTGTTTTGAGCTTATATTTTGTGTATCTTACTTATTTTAACATTATTTTTTTGATAGTTACGCAAGTTGAGTTATTTCTAATAGTTTTAGTTTTTATTGTAATTATCATATTATTTAAGGAAAATCAAACTTTATCTTAAAATAAAAACTATTTACTATTGAAGATTTTTAATTCTTTTAGTTCATATTTCAAATGTGGAGTCCATATCCATTTTGAAGTATTAGTGATTTTTTTATTAATATATGAATATACATATCTTTTTTGTGTTATTGATGAGTTGATAATTTTATTAGTTTTTGCGTTTAAAATTGCTTTTTAATTTCCATCACCTTAATGAATAATGTTCCGATCGGGTATTGACGTGGCTTTCACATAGAAGTTCAACTAGAATATATGTGATATTGAAACAGATATATTTAATAGAATATATATACATTCATACGAATTATATTTTCATATTATTTAAATTTATTTATTAATATTTTAATAATAGTATAATAACAGTTTTATTATTATGTTTTGAATTTGGTGTTAATTTTAGTTGTAAAAATATTGTGTGTATTTATATGTGTTCCAAAAATAGTTAATTATTTTATATTTTTAGTCGAACTATGCGCTCAGATGTGTCCCTCGTACCACCTATCAGACAAACTGCATCAATTTTTAAACAGCCGGTGACAGTTATACGAAACCATGAAGTTGGAAAAGTGAAACATGATGCAAAGCACGCAGCACAGGACAAGCCGAAACAAATGTTTTGGGAAAAACGTTTGGAGCGATTGCGTGCTTGCCACTCTAGTGGCGAGGAGTTAGAAGATATAATACTGCCTAGAAGTGTGTTTGTTTACATTCAATATTCATATTAACATAATTAATTTTTAAAATATTTAGGCATACGTTCTATTGGCCCGAATGTTAATGAGCAAACTGTTTTACATTCCCTAGCGACAGCTTTGCATATTTTAAGCTCTCCGGTCACAGGACAAACCTCGAGTAAGACTGAATTTAACAAAAACGCTACTGCTTTTATTAATCCAGACCAGCCACTAATGCAATCTGTTCTTGTGTCTGAAGATGATATAAGACGGCAAGAAGACCGTGTAAATATAGCCAGAAAAAAACTACAAGACGCACTTAAATCTTAATTTATAAAAAATAATTGATAATAGCATTTAACTATAATTTGTAACTCAACATAATAGAAGAGAGATACTTTCAAATTCACACGCAAAAAAACCATTACACATTTTTAGACAATGAAGGTTACGCTTCAAATATACACTTTTTCTTGGAAATTGTATATAATTGCTAATATACATTATTGGCTATATAAGGTGGACCAACTTAATGAAATGCAAATAGTTCTAGTTAACTTCAACATGTAACTTAGTTCAAGGAGATTTGTTACATCACTTTCAAAAGAATACATCGCGCAAGTGGCTACTTTTAACTCAAATGGTGCAATGTGCCAGTTTTTATGATATATTCGTATTTGGCAATGTCCTGATGGATGTTGGCCTTAAGTTCCTGTAGCTCCTCAAGAAAAATCTGGCAGTGTCAAATCGGACAAATGCGGAGGCCAGTCAAAATCAATTAGTTGTCGTAAACTTAGCGAATCTAGAAAATGTAAACACAACACTAATTCAACTCGATCTCCAAATACTTCGCACACAAAGAACTGTAATACGATTGCTCAATATTATATCAGCTAATACAAAATTAATTGAATTCAGTTTCTTCCATAACGTAGAACGGATGAGCGGACTTCTTACAGCACAACTAAATCATTTTCCTTGTCAAAGTAACAGTATTGCCAGTTTCACCTAATATAGTCAACTCTGTATATAATCATTTAAATTAACAAAAAATTTTAAATGTAAGTTTCTTTGCTAAACTGTCATGCGTTACAAATTTTTTTTTATAAATATTTTTAAAATAAATTATATTCTCTAATATTATAAAGAAATATAAAAGATATCTTTTGTTTATCTCAAAAAGTATTTAAGAAGCAATTAAAATTGTTTATTCGGTATTTTTCTTTTAAAAAGTGTAAAATTGGTTCCCATTATCAATAAAATAAATGAACAATTGCATATTTATATCAAAATGTATTTAGTTGTAAACCATTTGTTTTAATTCGTTATTTGATTGCATTTATTTGGATGTAGTTTAATATCTATACTTTACTACACTATACTAAACGTCTACTGTCGTTGTTGTAACTCGCTGCCTGTGAAGTTCTTTGGGAGGTGTTGAACGGCACTTGGTCATCGGTGGCGAAGTGGCTTCAGGACGTAAACCCAGCCCTTCTCGTAACCTAAACATCTACTAGTGATAATGAATAATGGCTTCTCTATTCTATAATCCTGGATCCAGTTTAACGTTCCATTTTATTACACCCACTCACCCATACGAAACTATCTATATATATGAAATATTTAGTGCTTTGCATTAATAGATAGTCGCGTAAGTAATTTTTGATTCACGGTTACGCCTGTTTAAAACATTCCAATTTTTTTTTCACGCAATTTCGCGACTATAATTTTGTTTCACGCGCTTCAATTAAAAACAAAAAATACTAATATTCATCATTTAAAACATATTAACACAGTTTATCTATTCAGTTATTCTAGAGTTTTACACACGTTCAACTAAAGGATCTTCGGGGCTTATAATCAAAAATATACTTTTTTTTTATTTGAAAAAACCAAATATTGACTTATAATTCGTAATCGTGTTTATCCTTGTGCAAAATAAAATTGATTCTTTTATTATTAATATTACGATTTTAGCTCAGAAATAAATTTATTATTTTCCAATTTAATTTTACCAATTAAAATACAAAAATAAAAAATCAGTTATTAGAATTTGTTTAATCTTTAACTTTCGTAGTGATGGGTAGAGGTTTTATAGTGTAGACGATTGTTATTAAATACAAAATTTGATTTTAATACAATGGAGTTATACAAATATTTGAAAATCCAATAATCAAATAAATCACCAAATTGTATATTAAATTTTAACAATATTTAAAAAACTTCCTATTTAAAATTTTTTAAGACAATAATTTTATTAGTTATCAATTTAAAATTCAATTAGCTAATTATAATATATGCATTTATATACATAGGAATCAAGTTTTAATTTAAATTAATTTAAAAAAATGTATGTACCTAAAGAAAGGAATATAGAGCTTTCTCAGACTCTTTGGTCACTTTCATTGAACAGAACAGATATAGAAATATTGGAACAACGGTTTCTTATGCTATAATTAAATTTTCGAAAAAGTATGTTAAAACACTAAACAATTTAATTTATATTTATATAAATTTCGCATTTCTGCAAAGTACAAAAAAATATTATCCAAAAATATTTAAAATATTCAATAAGTTTTTGGTAGTTTTCCACTATCTATAAATACAATGTTGAAGTCAAGTCATAGTCAATAACAATCATAGAAAATTTTAAAAATATATGTATTTTTAAAAATTCTTACGTACAATTTTCTGAAATTTTAAAATAAATTACTAAATAACAACTATGAATTATTACAGTCTTAATCATTTTTTTATTAGCCAACTATTCCATTTCATCGTCATCTTCAACAGTATCATCATCATAATATTGAAGTTTTTCTTCATAACGATTTGTATTTGTAAACTGAAATTACATTATTTGTTTTAAATATTATGTTTATATATTAAAGAAAAAAGAATTTATATATATATTTATATATATTTATTCTATTATAAGCCAAGCATAAGATCAATCGATTCCTAACGATAAAATATAGAGTTAAATGTCTATGTAGATATTGTGGAAGGCATTTTTGAAAATTTAAGTAGTGCTTGGAACCTCTATTCTTAAACTTGTTTTTAGACCAGACCTTAATGCGATTTGAAAATAAACCGTACGTGCCGTAGTTGTAGTATATCGTGATAACAATTCGGTTATATACCTTTGGATATTAACTAATTTTTTTATTTAAATATAAATTACTACTTATTTGTAATTTTAGGACAATAATTAGATATCAACTCTTTAAAAATTAAGTTTGACTTTCATAGAACGAAGGTTTTCTAATATTCTTTTGATCCGCAATTTTCTATTTATAATCGAAATTAATTAAGATGAAGTGGAATTAATGTATTTCACCCTCATAAAATGATTCAAGTAAATATAGAATGTATATTGATGAAGAAAGTCTTTTAAACTCTTCAAAAATAAAATATAGAATATAAAATAAGTCAAAATAAATATAAAATTCAAGATTTTATTTATATAATAAACTGGTTAAAAAAATCATTTTCAATAAAATCATCATAAAGAATAAATTAGCTAAAGTTTATTGATACTATACATAATTGTATCTTGAGTTAATGTTATTACATATTTTATAAGCAAAACGCAATAATTAATAACGAGATAAATAGCTAAAAGATTGAATAGTTTTGTAAACTGAATATATATGTGGTTTCAGTTTATATGGTTTCACAAAAAACATTAGTTAAGAATTAGTTAAGTAATGAGTCTAAAATTTAAAAAACTAAATTAAAAAAAATTTGTAAATAAATTAAACGAAATATTATATTTTTCTTTAAAAAAATTATGAAAATAAAAAATAACTTAGTTAATAATAATAATTGTTAAATTTATATGATACTAAAAAAAATTTAGCTAAAGTCTCAACACAAAATGACGTCTCAGAAAGCTACTCAGGGGTAAAAAAAAGTGATATAATATCCTACTAAGCTTACGCTTATACGCCTTCAACTTCATTTTATTATTTTTCAATATGTCATAAACTTTAAAATCTGATTTTAGCATTTGGAATGTTTAAGATGAGAAAAGGTAATAGTAATAATAACGAATTCAAGCCGCTATTGGAGAATAAAGCACTCATGAAATTAAAAAAAAATCTAATTTGACAGGTTATCAAAGATAAAAAGTTATCAACTTGTTTAATAAATATTTATTAAATCAAATATACTACAAACACTATAATTTGTTATACTAATTTATAATTATATCGTTTTTTATGAACTAATAACTTATTTTTTTCTTTAGAACTAACAGTTACATACATTGTAAACAAAATAGGAATTGGTTAAAAAATATATATTAACAATAGTTTTCTATAAATTATTTAATGAAGAACGTAGAAACCATATTTCTTCTTAAAATATACTTTCAACTGACACGCCCACAATTTAAATTGTTTAAATTTACGTACAACATAAGTGTTTAAAATTTTCGCTAATATAAAAATAAAAATATGTATTTAATTTATTAACGTCTTAAAAATTGAAATAAAATTTAAACTTACATTTCCACTGAAAAGTCCACGCCATGCTGCGAATGATACCATTGCTGCCACTGCTCCGATTCCTGCAATGATTTTTGTTCGTTTCTCGGATTCGAGAAATTTTCGTTCAGTAGGTGTAAGCAAGTAGTCGCTAGTATTTTTATTTGTCTTAATTGAATTAAATGCTTCATTCTTAAAAATATCTTTCGATATTCGATTAATAAAATTTACAAGGTTTGTACAGGCTTTAATATGGTGATGTAACGGATTATTAGGAATTGTTGCTTTCGATAATATAGATAAGTACGAATATACGATGGCATCAAGTTCACTATAATTATCTCCAAAAAACCAAATCTTTTGTCCCAGTTTTTTTGAGAGCACATTAACACATTTTTTGGCAGTGGTTTCTAGCTATAATCATTAAAAAATAATATATTAAAAAAAAAACATTTATATTATTACATTACTTACGCTTTCATTGCCGTGTTTTTCAATTTTGTCGTATATATCAAAATTAGCTAATACATTAATTATATCATTTGCCTCTTTCTGATACGTTGACGGGTAATAGAAATTAAATGGAAATGGAGTACGTTTGGCATAAAGACTTCTTACGACATCAAAATTATTAGGTTCTCCAAACATAAAATAATGGTAAAAAGCATGTAAATTACTAAACACCCAATTCGCATATGCTTGTGATAACTGTTTTTCTTTGCCACTCAAGAAAGCATCAATGCGAAATCCCTAATAAGTAAAAATTTATATAAATTAAATAACAAATAAATAATATTTAAATTCAAGTAAAAATGTGAAATTTATTACTGTTCTTACAGAAAGTGTTGGTAATTAATTTTTGTTTATACCCCGACTATATGTACATTAACAAATACATTGATTACAAAAACTTTAATATATATATATATATACATATATATATATATATATATAATTTTTACTTATTATAAAAATGATTGTACAATAACTTGAATTGAGTGCAAATATTGCACAAGCATTTAAATAAGAACAGCCTTGTGTATTCGCAGCCACGGGTAAGCAGATCCTCCCGATTAGAATTAAATTTTACAAGACAAGCGATTATTGTATACATTTACCTCTTTATCTAAAACTTTTTTTATATTTCCATATCCTACGAATTTTTGATTTCCTATTTGCAAATACGGCAGTTTACCGGCGCCAGATTTTAAAGGATTTGCATTAGTGCATTCTATTTTTACCGGACAACGTGCAAATTTCACAAGACACTAAAAACAAAATAAAATAAGTTATTTTCTCCAAAAAATGATTGCATCCTCATAGAGGTATGATGCAATATTCTTTAAAATACCAGGGCGCGCAAACACTCGAAGTCTATGGACGGAAGATCCCATTCACCTTTGTAAACGTAGAGCACGCCACCCAATTGCATTGGGTTTATTGGATTTAAATACATACTTAATTATTTGAATATTGAAATCATTTAAACAATTTAAAATTTATGAAGAGCCGAATTTTGTATATAACACTCATCCAATCAGTTCTAGGTTATACAATTTTCACTGCTGATATCTGATTGGAATATTCACAATTGTAAATATTCGTCAAAGAATACATTAAAACTGGGAATCTCTTCAACACCTTAAGACGAATGGTTTGCTATTTTTGATTTCGTATTGCGTTTTTCTTCTTTTATAATTTTACTCTAGAATCTATGTATAAGTTCTCTGACATTTGCATAAAACTTACAGCATATATATATATATATATATATATATATATATATATATGTATATAAAATGTTTTATTTTATGTGAATAAAATGATTTTATTAACAATAAATTATTAATTTTGTTAAAAAAAAATTTCTTGCTTACTGTATAATTTATACAATAACATTCAAAATAATATGTTTTGTTGCGAGCAAGTATTTGGTAAAGTTTTTGTTGTAAAGAAGAGCAAACAAAAGAGAATTTTCTAAATCTTATTACAAACTTGATTTATTATGTTTGACTTCAACATTCATAAATACTCCTAAACTCTCTTTTTTGAGTTTAAAAAACGTAAAAATTATTATCATTTAATTTACACCAGAGAACTTTAAAACAATACAAATTGCCCACACATTAGTATTTGCTCATTAACTGCATATGTAGTTATCTCTATACTGGACTGATGTAAAATTCTCTGCTCTCATCGAATACAATTAACCAAAGAGAATTATGAAAATATACATGCTTTATTAAAAATTCTAGCTGGCGCCCAATTACTCTGTTGCAATGTAAATCTCTGTCAGACTTTTAAAGATCTTCTGTAAAAAGAAGTATTATTGCTCAAACAGTACTGGCAGTCTGTGGTTTATATAATTTGATTGGGGAAGACATATTGAAAATATATGATCTCTGTTTTGGTTTATTCAATTAACATGCTATATAATATTATAAAAGATTGACTGCACTAGAACCATTGAAAGTTTTAAAAATGTTGGACAACCTAACAATTGCATAAATGGCATTGTTAGTGTAACTCAAAAACCTGTTATGTTTTTATGCAATTGAATGAAAGTTTTACTGTAACGAGATATTCAAAATTATATATTTTATAAATATCGTTTTTTTAAATAGTTGTCTTTATTTCTTTAAGGTGTTCTTTGGTTGTGGCAGCTGTGGAGAAATGTCATATATCTATTGTGAATAATTCTTGTTTTTAACCTTTAAATTAGTCGCCACATTTTACATAAATGCGAAAGTTTATCACGTTTGGATTTTTGATTGAAAAATTGGTATAAATACGCTGTATAAATTATGTCGTGGTTGTTAGGAAGAAATCGGCCGCAACAGGATGTGTTTACTGGTGGAAGTGATGATGATGCCGATAAGAAGACAGCAGGTGAAAAAGGTGGTGATACTCAATTGAGTAAGGCAGAGCGTAAAGCCATGGAAGCATACAGATTTGATTCGTCGGCGCTTGAAAGGGCGGCGGAAGCAGCGAAGACATTAGAGAAATCCAGTAAGCAAAAATAATTAATTTCACAACTTATTTTGCAGTCGCGTAATAAAAATTAAAGGTTGCATAATCATATTTTAAAGGACATGCGAGAGAAGCTTTGGAAATATCTAAATTACAGGAAGTTACTAGACAGCAGGAGTATCAAACAAAAGTGAAGGAATATGAAGCTCATATAGAACAAGCTAAAGTTGAACAAAAGCGAATTGATCATGAAGAACGCCGCAAAACGCTAATAGTAAGTTGAAAATCTTTCACATGTAGCTATACATATTGATAATTAAAATAATAATAAATAGTGATGTTTCACATAATATATTTAATAAATATATATGCTATCCTATCTCATAATTAGTTCACAAATTACATAAAAACTAAATTTTCTGTATTTTGCAGGAAGAAACCAAACAACAGCAGCAACGCGCACAGTATCAAGACCAACTTGCAAGGAAACGATATGACGATCAATTAACTCAACAGCAACGAGTTCAAGAAGAAAACTTAAGAAAGTAGGTTTAGTTCTATTTAAATTTCTAAAGCAATATTTTATAAGATTAAATATTTTAGACAAGAAGAGAGTGTTGCTCGTCAAGAGGCAATGAGACGTCAAACAATCGAACATGAAATTGAAATGAAGGAAAAAAATCGGCTAAAACTATTAGAACATGAGATGCGTGCGAAAGCCAAAATAGATAGAGAAAATCGCGACATCAATCTGGAACAAATTCGATTAAAAGCCCAGGAACACCGAACAACAGTACTCGAGGGTATAAAGTAAGATAAAACTTAAATATATTTAGTTTATATAATTTATTATGCAATTTACGTTACTTTTTTCAATAGAACCGCTGGCACCGTTATTGGTGCTGGATTTGAGGCAATGCTCACTGACTGGGATAAAGTCCTTACAGCAGCTGGTGGACTTTCACTTTTAGCTTTAGGTGTATACTCAGCTAAAGGAGCTACAGGGGTTGCCTCACGTTATATTGAAGCTAGGATTGGTAAACCAAATCTTGTGGGTGAAACATCACGATTTGCATTTTTAGATGCAATTAAACATCCGATTCACTATATTAAAAAATTAAGATCAAAACCTCAAGATGCGCTGCAAGGTGTAGTTTTAAATCCAAAATTAGAAGAACGTTTAAGAGACGTTGCGATAGCCACTAAAAATACACGTTTGAATAAGGGCCTCTATCGAAATGTACTGATGCATGGTCCACCCGGTACAGGTAAAACAATGTTTGCAAAAAAATTAGCAGAACATTCAGGTATGGATTACGCTATTATGACTGGTGGAGATGTAGCACCTATGGGTAAAGATGGTGTAACTGCAATACATAAAGTATTTGATTGGTCACAAACTAGTCGTCGAGGTCTACTGTTGTTTGTAGATGAAGCAGATGCGTTTTTACGCAAACGATCATCAGAGAAAATATCTGAAGATTTAAGAGCCGCATTAAATGCTTTCCTATACCGCACATCTGAACAAAATGCCAAATTTATGTTAGTATTGGCATCAAACACTCCTGAACAATTCGATTATGCCATAAATGATCGCTTAGATGAAATGGTGGAATTTACTTTACCTGGTTTGGAAGAACGTGAGCGTTTACTTCGTTTATATTTTGATAAATATGTTTTACAACCCGCTGCTGAAGGAGCTAAGTAATATTATTTAATAATATATTTGAAAGAAAAATATTTTAACATATAATTTAATTAGGCGATTTAAACTAGAACAGTTCGATTATGGATCAGTATGTTCAAAAATGGCCGATATTTGTAATGGAATGTCTGGACGTGAAATTTCCAAACTAGGTGTCGCCTGGCAAGCAGCAGTTTATGCATCGGAGAACGGTGTGCTAACAGAAAAAATGGTATTAGATAGGTGCCTTGCAGCTGCTGAACAACATAAACAAAAGGTTAAAATATTTTTTTAAATTTACATATATAAATTAAATAATAATTTAAATTATTTTTGTTTTAGATGGCCTGGCTATCAGAACAAGAACGAAGTGATCATAAATCAATAACTGGTGCACAAACGAAATAAACACCAAACTTTCCTGGATTATGCGTTATGTTTAAACTTTTAACTAATAACAGTAAATTAGATTATCAAAACTTCACATTATGATATATATATATATATATCTGCGGCATGTTGATACAAATTGGTTAAACAAGATATAATTTTAGCTTATATTTCTTATAAATTATATCTCAAGCTTTATGCATATTAAAGATGGAGTAAATTCATTATTTTCATTATATAAAATGTATTTACTCTGATATGTATATTTAACCACGTTATAAACTTTCACTACATTTTTATATAATTATTCTTAATGTTAAAGCATTTCATTTCAAAAATGATAAAAATTTGAGAAATTTATATTAAACTTCTCTTTATCACAATGAAATTTTTACCAAATAATTTAATATATATTTGTATATATTTAAAACAATTCCATATTTTGATGCGATCTACAATAAATTTGTAATAAAATTGTATGTATATAGTTTTATTTACATTACTAACTAATATGGCCCTGTGCTCAACTGACAATTGATGATCTAATGGAAAATTGGAGAATAAATAAAATATTTTCAAATGATAATGTAGGCAAATTTAAAATTTTTTATTTAATTTAGGAAAATAATTTTTAAATTAATTTAATAAACACTGCAGTTATATTGTAGTGGTGGTTATGCTATGTGCAAATATAAAATCTCGAAATTTTATATTCCATTAAATTTGTTCATCTCATATGGATTTAACCAGAATATCGATTTGCTTGGATGCGGATGTGACCTTTAGTTGCATTCTTATCCGCTTGGATGCGGACGTGACCTTTTAGTTGCTCTTATCTCCGTCTGATGTTAGCAGGTCCTCAACAGCCAATATATCGACTGATGGCGGCTTACATTTTATTCAGTTAGGCTCTGCTGGAAATCAGCGATCACTTTATATTCTATTCTATTCTAGATAAATTTAATAAGAAAATCTAAATAATTTCTCTTAAAACTGCAATTTCAATAAAAAGAAGTTCAGTTTGCGCAAATAATTTTCAAAGGGATTAAAATTCCAGGATAGGAGCCTTGCTATAAATTATAACAATAACAATGGATGTGGCTAGTTATATACAATAAATCATTCCGCTGAATAATATTGAAAGTCATGAATAATAAGAAAATGTTGATTGCTTTTAAAATCAATACCGACCCTCTGAATATAGGGTATATGAAGTTTGTCAAAATATTGTTAGTGCAGTTAAGATATCAGGAACTATATAAAACATATATGCTCTGGATCCGCTAAATGCACTAAATTACTCTAAATATTTTTATTCATAACTTATTGCTAAGTTGTCAAATAACTGTATAAAAAGAAACTCAAGCATCCAGGACGGTCAAATTACTTAATAGATAAAATCAATTAACCAATCATATATTATAGCGATCAAACAAAATAGCTGCCGATAATCGACTTATACTAACTAATTTCAATGGATATTATTGCAAAATAAAAAATTAAAATATATAATTTTTTAACTTTTTCTTAATGGTTGTATTTATCAACAATAAGGAATTTAGAAATTACCATCATCAAATTCTTCCTGCTTAAATACCAATTAATATAATTGGAATAATTTTTCGAGTTTCAGTTACATTGAAAAATTATTCAAAATTAAAATATTTGTAATTGCATTAAGTTATTTACAAAATTATTATAAACACAATAAAACGGTTTAAATATAATTTTATATAATAATTACATTTTCTAAGTTTATTTGGAACATGTAGTGTGCCACGCAGTGCAACTATTTTTTTTGGGAAATTAAAAATGAATAATTTACTTAATTACATTTTTTCTTGCTTGACTTTGTTAGTTACTGTGTAATTGCGGGTATTAACACGACAGCTAGCATAAGGATCATCATTACTTTTGCTATCGTCAGCATGCATTGTGCTTTTCTGATGAGTGGTTAATGCTGATCTACATATAAATTTTAAACCGCAAACAGTGCATGCATATGGCTTTTCTCCCGTATGCCGTCTGTAATGAATTTTTAAATCATTTGATTGACAGAAGCCTTTGTTACAGATATCACACCTGAAGAAAAAATATCGTTTTTAAATATAATATTTTAATATATATATAATATATATATATTTATATATACTACATACTTGTAAGGTCTGTCACCAGTATGGATTCTTAAATGTCTGTTTAACTTGTTAGGTCGTATAAAAGATTTACCGCAAATGTTGCATACATGTGGTCTCTCCCCAGTGTGTTGCCGCATGTGTAATGTTAAATCTTGTCGTCGTGGAAATCCTTTTTCACAAACAGCACATTTATATGGGTTGTCACCAGTATGTCTTCGTATATGAATAATAAGGCTTGCAAGTGTAAAACTATCTCCACAATGTGGACAAAGGCCACGTTTGTAAGTGTTTTTCTTTTGCTGTAATTCCTTCTCTACTTTTTCCACGTCTATTACTTCAGGATGCATCGCTAATAAATGTCGTTTGTATGTATCTTCACGCGTAAAGTTACGTGCGCATTTTTGGCATTGGAATGGATTTGATTTTGCACCTTCAGATGTTATCTCTTTTTTAATATTTTCGGGTTCCCGCATTGTGTGTGCCAACTGCATATGTTTGTTAAGAGATTCTTCCTTAGCAAACGATCTCGTACATTGGCTGCATTTTATCCAGTTATCAGTTTTATATCTGTTCAAACGAGATCCTATGGGAATTGTTTTAATTTTTTTTTCTTCTTCATAGCTTGCAATATTTTTAACTGGTACCACATCGACACAACTGTTACTATTTTAAAAGATAATATGAATTAATTAATTAATAATATAAAAATAATACATGAAAAAATTATGAATATTATTAACTCATAATGTTGTATTTTAAGAATTCATAAAATATATATGTATATATATGGTTACAGGCTCCTTGGGGGATTTATGCAGATCTGAGGTCAATTATTGCTTAGTCTGATGAAGTTATAAATAATATTCCTGTCAAGGCTTTGAGAGGGGTTATGAAGAAACTTCCCAGTTGATAGAGAGTGAAAGTGCTCAAATGCACTGACTCAACTAGTCTCAATATAGTAATATATGTATATATAAAATATGTGTTGAACGTACGTAAAATTATATTAATAGATATAAATACGCAAATTCAAATACCCATACAAAGTTTCTATGGGTATTCTGATTCCACTTACATCTATTTTTAATATATATTAGTAATAGTTAAGTCAAACGTTTTATAAAATTTTTTAATATATTTGTATGTAAAAAGAAAATTTAAAAATTTCTAAGTAATAAATAAAGGTTATATTCTTCAATACAAATACTATTCAAAACAATGAAATATACTTAAATGCCATTGACAATATATGGACTATAAATATTATAAACCCATAATATATGTTCATAGTTTATATATTTCAACTGAGAGAATGGTGGAACTAGATCGGAACTAGACTGGCATCACATTAAACACGTATGGTGGTTTTATTATGTTATATTTACAAGCAAATTGCAAATTATTGATGCTACTTATTGTATGCATAATGAAATAAAATTTTACAATATTATGCAATATTACTTATAAGCGGGTATAGTAAAAAGCAGAGTATAGTAATTTGATAGAGTTAATAGCACTTACATTTCTTCTTTAATTTCAATCTCTTCTGATAGTACAATTGTATCATATGAAATATCGTTATTTTCATTAGTTTCCTCGAACGTATACAATTCATTTTGAATTTCTTCAGATTCAACATTTTCACTCTCACATATGGCCATGTCGAAATCATCTTCCAGAATTTCTAAATCTTCATGATGCTCACCATCTTCTAGACATAAGTGTTTAGATTTTGTATCTAAAGTTGATGGTAGAATATGCTCTATGTCTTTTTCCTTCAATTGTTTATATGACTTAATAACTTCATCTGACTTTTTTGTCTCTTGTATAAATTCATATGCTAGCACTAGTTTATGCGTGCATTCTGTACAAATACGTGTAGTAATGTCATTTTCTTCTGATATCTACGAAAACTTAGTTTAATACTATTACGTTATCATAAACAATTTAAAAAAACTTACCACAATATTTGTTACTTGTTCTATAATCGCCTTCAAGGGAATAGGTTCATTCAATTCAATCTCATCAAAAAATGAATTTGTATACGAAGAACTGTCCAAACATACTCTACATGTTTCCTCAGAAATATTCACTATTATATTTCCTGTATCGTCCATTATTAAAAACTATATCCTTAAACAATTGCTTTAAACGACACCGACTGAAATATATTACACACTATATTAGTAAATGGTTATTAGTGTTGCATAAATACAAACTTCAAAACATGTACTAATTATTCGCTTTGTTGAATCCGAATACTCACACTTTTTCAATAAATAACTACTTTTATATACGAATTTCATAGAAGATTATCAGACAATGTATATACTATTCCACTAGTTCAAAAGCTTGTTTACATTCAGTTTTATTTATCATAATTTATTAATCTTTTCCTAATAGAATTTTATGTTTATTTGCAGAATTAAAATTAACTGTATGTATTTGAGAGATCAACAGAATGGAAAAACAAAAATTAATAAAAAAGTTATATCACATTCACACTGTCTAATTTAGGCGGTATTACTAATGTCACTAATGAGAATTATTCACCAAACAAAAATCGGTCATATAAATTAGCTCATTATCAATAAATCAGCTCAGTTAAGGAGAAAACAACAGTTGAGCTGTAAACAAAGGCACTGAGAAAGTAAGTATTTAACAAAATTTTTGTTTTTATTAATTAAATATGTAATTGATATATTAAATGTATATAAATGATTTAATATGTCAATTATATATTTAATTTTTTGTCTGATGTATAATTAAATGAAGTTTATAGAAGTTCTATCAGCTGTACGAATGAGGTTATTATAATGTGAATGTTCATTCATTAATATAAATGAGCAAGTGCCTAAATGAGACAGTGTGAATGTACTATTAAATGATTAAAAATGTGTTTAATTTTAATTAATAAAGATCATGAAATTAATTCTTGCAATCAAAGGTGCATTATTATTTATTTTTATTGAATATTTTCCAACATTTGTTTATTTTTTATTAAAATTTGCATGATAAAATGAATCGCTATCATTTTTTATATGTGGTTTATTAAATAAAATAATAAATAACAAATAAAAAAAATTTTAAATAAAGTTTGAATGCTTATCTGACATTAATACCTTCACTTTTTTGTATATTTCTTGTATACAAAGTTACACTAAGGTCGAAGTTTAATTTCATATTACATACTATACAATTTTAAATAATTTTTTTTAATTATATTATTTCATTCAATTTAAATTTAAGGTTTTAATTTTTTGTAAAATTTTCTTTTCCTGTTTCATTTTTCTTGTGTTTTACTTCAAAATTGTAAAGAATTCTTGTAAGTACTATAATATTTGATACATGTACAGACTTTAGCTCTTCTTAAATAGATCAGAAATTTTGACCGAAGAAAAGCATAAGTATTTACACTTTAACTTTCAGAGCTTAGCAAACAGAGAAACAACAGAAATAATGAAAAGTAATATGTCTTTTTTTAAACTCTCTTATTGTTAAAGAGATTTCTTAACGTATATGCTAAAAGCTGTTTTTTTAATTGTCAATCATTTCTTCGCTTTTATTTTAAAATTATTAAACAAAAACGATTGCAAATAAGAAATACAAATTTCAGCAGTTTATTTTAACTTGAAAATATTTTAATTCTTATTTTTATTATCTCTTTGTTTTTATCAAATTTTAAATGCCATATTTTTATGAATTTCTATGAAAAATATACATAACTACTAAACGATTATTGAAATAAGTCCGAAAATGAGTTAAAAAAGATAGTTCAAAAATTCTATTCGATATATCTTAAAAATATATTTCAACATGATGAAAGACAAGAACAATGTTTTAATAATATATATAAAATATTCTTTGGAGAAGATATGAGTGTTTTGTTATAATAAAAAATTGTAATTGCTTAAATTATTCAGTAACTCAATAATTTTTCTGCCATAATATATATAGTGAGATGTATACAAGTAACTTGTTATACGTGGAATAACAAAAAGTAATCTATCTAAGTAAGAAATCTGTTCTATAGTAAAAAATAATCTAATCTATTAATAAGTAACCGGAAAGAAAAGTAATTGTATTTAATGTTGGTCGCTGAAGGCAAAATAAAGTGAAAGAATTTTTCTTGCTAAAAAGTTTAATGAAAAAATATTTTAATATATATAATTATATTTATAATGAGTGGAACTAGATTTGCCAGAACTGGACGTTTCCGTTTATTCGCTTGCTTGGCACTTCTGCTTTTGTTGGCATTAGCTATTTATCACAGTTCTCAGGTAGCACCTTTGATATAAAAACCAAATAAAAAACTATACATTATATTTTATTTAAATCCTAGCAACAATTAGATGAAACTCGGGAACGCTGTGAGCATCAACAAGATACACTCAATGAGCGTTTGCAATGTAAGAAATTAAGCATGCATAAAAGAAACTTAATATTTTTATTTAAATTCGTAGCTGCAGTGGAAGAAAAGTTTAAGATTGAAAAGAATTATGAACAGGAACGGAAGGAACAGATGGAAGTCCGTCACAAGCTTGAAGAAAAAATAAGTGAAATGACTGAAATACATGCCAAATTAGAAGGTGAGGAACGTGTAAGGTATGAGAAACTAGAACGCTCTCATAGCTTACTGCAAAATGAGCATCAAAAACTTATAAAAGAAAGCGCTAAGCATCGTTCTGAAGCCAGCGACATTCAAAAAAAATTACAATTGTTCCGTTCAGAGTTTCAAAAGGAAAAAACAATGCAAACCAATGAAATAATATTATTAAAAGTAAACTAAGTGAAATATCTTATTTTAAATCTTATCCTAATATATTACATATTTTAGGACAAGTATGAAGCAATTTTGAAAGAAAAAAATCGCCTAGAAGTTCTATCCAGTATAACAGAAGGGAAGGCGGATTTGCATAAACATGTCACGGAATTAGAAGCTATAATTAAAGATTATCAGTTTCATTGCAACTATAAGCCAAATGATGGTTTGGAGCAAATTGTCAACAAGTCAATACTTCCTTCTATATCCAATCATGTTGAAAATCTTAAGTCATCGACTGCAAAATCATTTAAGGAACAATTGCTTGTGAGTCCGGGGTTGTATCATATATCGGTAAAAGAAACTAACAAGAATTCAACAGATATGCATAAAAATAATTTAAGTAATAACATTTTAAATAATTCTGATCAAATCCAATTAGTTGGAAGTATACAAACAGATGGTGATGGTGTTACTACTAACGAAGCTGATATACAACAAACAAATAATTTCAATTTAGAAAATAAGTCAAATGACGCTGATATTCAAAAACAAGTCAATTTAAATTTAGAAAAAAAACCAAACATGCTAACGTTTACACAAAAACATAATGCCAGCTTAATATTAAATTCTGTTGAAAATTTTCAGATACTTCCTAAGCCAATTAAGAAAATTTCTGAAGAGACTGAAACACAATTAAGAAAGGATCCTGTTGAAATAAATGTCAACCAACAAAATATTGTTTTACCATTAAGTGCACCTCGTAAACCAACATCAACGGAAGCAACTAAGTTAAAGCCAATCTTAGAAGAACAAGCGCATTTAAAAAAAGCATCAAATTCATCATCTGCATCCACATCATCCAGTTCTATTTTACCTCCACTAGCACAACCACCAAATCAGCATAAAATTCCTGCTAATGTAGCGCCTATACCAGCTAATTTTGATGAATTATTTAAAAATGAACCTTCCAGTCAAAAAACTGTTAAAAAATTATTTAATGATGATGCAGTTGTTGGTGGTGATATTGGTGATATTGATGCTGCTGTGGAAGAAACTCAAAAAAATGAACATGAAGATGGTACTAATAACAATCGATATGGAAACATTGTGAATAACGCTGAAGGTATTGCTGTCAAAGCTGTTGGAGGTGAAGACTCAGGAGCGCATGAAATAAAAGATCATGATTTTCTAAATGAACAAAACTTTAATTTACCCGTTGATGATGATAATAACTTTTTTGATGGAGTTAAAAATGATGCTATAGGTGTCGACAAGCATAAAGATATAGAAAATGATGGCGACAATGGAGGAACGGGCAATGCCGGTGACATTGCAGTAAAAAATCATAATTTACTAGATGCAGATAATTTAAACAATGAAATTGTTGGCGATCAAGGTAAAGAGTTCCCTGATCTGCGTTTAGATGATGGTAATGAAGAAGATGAAGACGGTTCGTAATATTATATATTTCTAATTGTATAATTTTATTTTTTTATGATACTTTTACAGAGGATGATTATTCAAATCATGCTGCGCGTTTTAAAGGTGAACAAGCAATAAGACATTAAAGACATGATTTCATTTCTACGCTAATAAAATCGAATATAACATTTAGGATGAAGTGCATTTCTCAATCCTGCACTTGTGTTACAAATAAACTACTTAATTTTACATTCGATCGATAATAACAGTACATATAATATTGTGTGCTAATTAATGTATTATAGTTTAATTCTTATTTTCTGTTTCTGTGATAACAATATATCCATAAAATTATATATTTTTTTTATGTAAACCATGTTGAAAAGTACCATCTCATTTCATTAATTAAAAATTTTCATAAACGTAGATACATTCTGTTAAAATTACTAAAAAATACGTCATTTTACTCTTACTATTAAATATGTTTATAGTTTAAAAAGTAATATACAAAATTTAGATTCCACAATACAAAATATTTTATACAATATACTCGTAGCATGCTAGATCGTATAAGACTTAATTGCAAAAGAGCGGGGAAAAGCAGCTTTTATTTAAAATGTCATTAAGATTTGCCATTGACTGCTAAGACTTTTCAACTAAGCTTGCTTGTATGTACTTATAATAGTAAAAATGATACTGAAAAATAGAAAAAATGCAGGCTTTGTTGTGAGTTGTTACAATTTTCACTATTTTTCGCCAATAAACACTTGAAAAGTTTATATCTGCACATCTTTAGTCCACAAACTATAGCCATATACTCACATTATTATTTGTGGTTAATTATGAACATGCTAAATATTTGGACTCGCCATTTCTATTTATACAATCCCTCATAAATTTTTTTTAAATGCATTTTCATTATGAATAAGATTTTGTTTTACTTTAAGTAAATTTAGCTTATTAAAAATAATATTTCCTAAAATATACTTGAATTAATAAATTATATTTATAGGAATTGTTTTATTTTTATTTAAAAGAATTATATTAAATATGTAAGTTATTGCTTAGTCTGAAGAAGTGCTAAACAATAATCCAGTCCAGCGTAGAGAGGGGTTATGAAGAAACCTCGCAGTTAATAGAGAATAAAAGTGCTCAAGTGCACTGACTCAACTAGCCTCAACATAATTAAATATGAATGATTGTAATTCATGTGCCTAGCAAATAGGAACATATGTTATATGGATTACCCAAAAAATGTAATGGAAAAAGATAATTGGTTGGTAGTTGAAGTATGTAGAAGATAAAAAGAAGCCAGTGGATAACTGTTGGGAGGAATGAGCAGTAATTGGTTATTTGAAAAGACGTTTGGCTCGTAAATAATATATGTCCATTTTTGGAATCTCAGATAGTAGTTCATTTCGATTCATATAATTCCGCAAGAACCGCAAGAAGGTGGAAAGCATATTTTTATTAAACGTAAACAGCTGCAACTAAAACTTACGAAATTGTAGTTGTAACATACTATATGAGGAATTTTAAATTTTACTAAAAAAAATAAAGTATTAGTTTTCTTGAAGTTTAATCAAATGCAAATGGGATGTCATGCCATGCTGTCATAATCTAAAATATCAATTATATTAAAAAAAGATCGAAATGATCTCTTTATACGATATTAACAGAACAATACAAAACACTCTAATGCTTCAATATCAAAATATCTTCAAGTGTTTTAAACACCAACTAATCATATAAACAAATGAACTGAGTTGAGTATTCAGTCTATAGTCATTTATATAGCAATAACGTTGTTCAGATTGATGTGAGTAAATGACTTTGTAACAACAAAAACGAACAGATAGTCAATATTGTTATTCTCTATCTTGCAAGCAGTTTCCAATAATTTCATGATGAAGCTGTATTACCTATTTTTTGTTTAATAATTGGGTTTATGTGTTTTTCTTAATATATTTAAAACTTTTTTTATTAGCATGGTAAGATCTCAAATTCATTTTTAATGTTTGCTGATCGGTTAGAATAATTTTCCAGTCAAATCTAATCTAAGAATAATCTAAGAATAATTTTTAATTTTAGTCGGATAGAATGATATGCCAGTTCAAATCTATAATCACAACTTTTTCATATTCAATCAGTTTCCATATAATTAACATTTATGTTAAATACCGAAACTTACCTTTTATTAAATAATTCGCGCCGTCAACAATTTTTTACAACTATACATATAATAACGTCTGTGTGCAAATAATGAATGCAGTATATATTGCCTTTCGTATTCATGATTTATAATTCTAACTTTAAAAGCCACATACTATCACTAGTGACATTAAAAAAAATTAGGGAAAAAATCGTATTTATCTTTTTAATTACAATATTTTATTTATTAACTTGAACGATAAGTCTTTACTTATAATAATTATAAAGCAAATTAATTACAATTTGGTTTAATATAAAATGATTATGAATAAAATCAAAATATTCGAAATTTTAATAGATGTAAAATGTTCAATAAAAAATAAAATTAAAAATTTAAAAAATAAATTTTAAGTCATCAAATTAGTTTCGCTTTTTAACTTCTTTTTTTTGTGGCTGCGTGTGAATTACTATCCAAGGATGCTTGCGTACTTTAGTCAGTGGTAGACGATTATGTGGATCAAGTACTAATAACTTTGATATAAGATTCGCAGCAGCGTGTGAAACATGATCAGGCAGCTTATAATCACCTCGTACAATTTTTCTATAAGTATCATCATAACCCGTTGCTAAAAAAGGTGCACGTCCTACTAAAAGTTCATAACATAATACACCCAGACTCCATAGATCCACATTCTTTGTATGAGGTTTGCCTTGTACCATTTCCGGTGGTAGATAATCTAATGTTCCACATAAAGTAGTGCGCATCGAATTTGGTTCGTGAACCGACCATCCAAAATCTGCTATTTTTAATTCTTCGTTATGCCCTAGTAATAGATTTTCTGGTTTAATATCTCTGTGGATAACATCACGCTCATGTAAGTATTCGAGCGCAGATGCTAAGCAATTTATATATGAAGCGGACTTAGATTCACCAAATCTTTTTAAAGGCTGTGAACGCATTTCATTGTATAATGTGCCACCTGGTGCATATTCTAATATCAAATAAATTCGAGCGCCATCATGGAAATAACCATACAGTCTTAGTATATTGGGATGTCTTACATGTGATTGAATTTCAATTTCACGACGTACTTGATGTTCAACATTAGATTCTTGAATTTGGGACTTAAATAGGACCTTTAAGGCTATAACGTATTTTGACATTTTTTCACGTGCCAAGTAAACATTGCCAAATTTACCACGGCCTAATGGACGACCAATTTCAAAATCATCCAAACACCAAGCTCTATTTCCTTTTTTGTCTATATTGTATATAAATAAAAATTTAATTTTAAAAGATATTTAAAATTACAATATATATACCAGTCTTTGTTTTTACAGTCTCTTCTATATCGTTATTAGTATTAGTCACTTCCTCACAGTCACTTTTATTTGGTATTGGAGCAGTAGCAATAGCTGCCTTGTTTTTACTGACATTTTGTGTTTCAGATTTTGGAATTGCCGGTATACTATTTGTTGACTTCAGCGGTTGTACAGACACACTTACTGGTCTAGCACTAATCATGATTGGGTTAATAGAGGCATCTTTAGCACACATATCAATTGTCGCAACACGGTCATTGTTCAACTTAATATATTAAAATAAAACTATGTATATTATAATTCTTTATGCAATTATTAATCGTTGCAATATACCTTTTGCTTAACTGTACTCCCTAAGTTTTCTTTATTATCTAATATGTTTTGTTTCGACATTTCTATGTATTATATTATTCTTACTGCAACCGACCTTTACTTCTTCGACATCCAAAACCAATTTTTCCGTAAAATCTTAATATAACTCTACACACATGAATGTAAAATGCCGTTTCAAATTTTTAAAGCAGTGATACGTGTGTGTGCGGTCGGTAATGCAGGCTACTTCGGGTAGTGAAATCAACAGCTATGTATTTTCTCGTTCTGAACAGTAAAAAATGTGTTTACAAATATATTTGTTTTTATTTTACATAGACATATGCTTGTATGATTGATATTTACTAACAAAAGAGTATAATATAATAATTCCATATTATTTATAATACACTGATATATTCCATTTGTTTTTCAAACAAATTATCAGAATAATGAAAGATATTGATGGCAAAATAATAGTTGAACTCAGATAGAATTCTCTAACTTGATGTACATTGCTCGTTAAACTTTTACATATAAGGGAAATTCAGGATGTTTGTGTATCGTTGCATGTGTAAAATTATTTGATTTCATAAAAACAATTCCCTCTCTTATGATTTTACACTTGATTTGCAAGACAATGTTCAAGACCATATTTTCAACACCAATTACCTCTTCCATATTTGAATTTGAAGACTCTATTGTAAATAATACTACTGTTTTTATTGTTCGGTGGACAATACTTAAACGAAACTGTAAAGTTTTGTTTGATTTTATAATTTTGTGATTTTGTGCAATTGTTTGATGTTGTATTTATTTTACGTTCAACAATGTCGCACAATATTCTGCTTTTGACTTTTTCTTGGCATTGTTAAAATTATGCATATCGAATCTGATTTATATTATACAAGTAAATAAATAAGAATACAAAAATCAGCTGTTCTAAATATTTTCAAGACTAATATGCACAAAATGTATTCACGATTGTTTGAGTTTGCAATGATGCACCTTCAATGATGCACAGACATCCTGAGTACTCCTATAATTTATTTCTGTAAAATTATTACGTTATCCAGCTGACGAATATCAATTTAGTCAACAAGACAACAAGCGTAATTAAATATTTTATTTCCAAATATAATAAAAAAAATGAGCCAGTCCTATTTTGTTGTGAATTTTAAGTTGATAACCAGAGCATTTTCACCTAATTGTGTGTTAATTTGGTATCTGTGTGAACTGACATCATGGTCGTAACTTCTTGATGTGATATTGCCCATAGCGATAAAAATTGCTTTCAGCAATACTTATTAGAAGTTAGTCGGTGAAGTTGAAGGGTGCCTTATCGTGTATTGGCGTTTTCGATTGATAAATCTGGATTCAATCTAGATTTACTCTAGATTAATTAAATAAATTAAATTTTAATTAAATTAAAATTTTTACACTAACTTCTTTTTCTGTGTAGTTGTACACAATATTCACCACAAAGACTTCAATAATATTTTTTTCCGTTTTTGCAAATAGTATTAAGGTGAAATATATATCTTCATCTGCATTTGCAGCCAAAAGTGCTGTTCTTTCGATTTTATAATCTTTTTAATAAATAATCTTTTAATTTACTTTAAGATTTATTTTGTCAAGTATTGTATACATTTTTAATATATATTTTTATAAATAGAAAACTATATATGTCAAATATTAAGTACTTATTATTTTCATATATCTAACTAAACAACAGTAATATACGTGTGAGTTTTAAAACTCGGATTTATAGGTTTCATCAAAACATTTTATGTAGGTTTCATCAGAAGACTTTTCTTAATAAAAAAATTGATTTAACAAACAAATTCAGTTTTAAATTATTTTACACGCGACAACCCTGTTTTAAATCGCTGCTATCAATTTGACGTTCATTGAAACCGGACCAGTACTGGGGTTAATTAAATTTTTATGAGGACGATAATAATTAAATGAAGAAAGGACTTTGTTTATTTAAAAATATAAAAATTTTTATTAGTTTATTTAAAATTTAAAAAAATGTTTTCTGGAGGAGATTCTAGTGGAGACGGCTTTAAAAGTCGTAAACAATTAACAAATTACTTTACAGCCCCAACAGGAAACATTGATTGGGCGAGTTTAGCTCAACAATGGATACAAATGCAATCAACTGGTAATAATCAGTTAAATGAATGCATCCCGGAGACTACAACTACTTGTACCACAAAAAACTCGATTGTAAAAAGTCATGAGTTGGTAAAAACAGCGAGTTCTACGTTGGAAGAAAAAGGTGAAGCTGATATGGACATGGATGAAGAAAGTGATATAGATCGAAATAATGAGCAAAGTTCCCCCCCTCCACCGGCGCCTAATATATCATCCTTATGGTATATGCATCAACCTCCACAATCTGCCTCCACGCCGGTTGAAAAAGGTATATAAGTATTACAAAACATCAAATCAAATGTTTTTATGTGTGTATATATATTAATATATATTTTTTAAAGATATTATTAATCCACAAAATTCAAGTCAATGGAATATTTGGCCACCGCAAGTGACAATGCCACCGCCTTCTATTGCAAATGTGTCTATGATGAATCCCACAGCACATATTCCTTCACTCATGAAAATCAATGTAGCAAATCCAAATTCAGGCAATAGTGTTGATGATAACATTGATGAAGGTGCTGGAACTTCAAGTGCGTGTATTAATGCAGCCAAACGGAAAAAACTTCCAGCTTGGATTAGGTAAAAAATTAAATTTTTTCATAGTGTATTGTTTATCTGTATTATAAAAAGTTAATATATAAATATATTCGTAACACAATGACAAAGACATCGATGACCTTATAAACGTTACTATAAATTTTTGATCAATTTGACTACACAAACTCTTGAATATACCCTGTCTGCATATTATTTAAACCGAAAAAATTGATCAATTAGATTAAATCTGAATATAGTAATATCAATTGGTTTATATTGTATATATGTTTTGTAACGTGCTCAATCGTTACATAACGCACATAATCTTTCTTTATTCTATAAAGAAATTTAATGTTTATTCTCTATGTGATTCTATATAGCATGATGACATAGATTTTTTATATTTCATATATCAATTTCAACCCAGTTGCCTTATACCTTATATAAGACATATAAGGTTTTGTTCACGTCTTGCATTGTTATTTTATACAATATTTTTTTAATAAACTCGATTCAGAAAAAGCATTCATGTTAACCTAAAAAATATAAGATCTTAAATATTATATATGATGTTTATAATGTATAATTGATCTTTGATATATAACTATATAATATATAACTAATGAGTTATTATTATATATAACTGTGAATTATTATTATATATAATAATAACGCACACATTGTGAATGAGAAAACTGACATGTTTTCTGTAAAATATTACAATTATCGGTTGTTACACAGATGGACTTTTAAATGGCACATGAACAAGTAGATTCATGACTATTCTTTAAACCATGTTTGCGTATTTTTAACATATCGATAAGTTTTGCTAGTTGTAATAGGAAAACTATTTCTGATGTCGACTACTGAATAGGGTTACAATCCTTCACTCTGGTACTATGTCCTCTTTGATATCGCACCTTTATAGAAATTTTATTCTTAACTGGTCAACACCTATTATCTCTTAGAAAGAAAAGAACCATCTGAGGCAGTAAGCATTAGTCATACTCAACTTTATTTAGTGTATAGTAACGTGTGTAACGTTAATTTCTCCATTTCTTCTTCCGGCGTGGTGTTTCTGAACATTAGTACAAGTTAGATTTAACTGCCTGTCTCCCACTTAAATTAACCTTTCCTCATAATATTCATCATTGGTGATCCATCCATTCCTTGTAGTATGGAATGCATTATTTATTTTTTGCCTGTTGGTTTATCCAATGGTTTCCATGGGGTTTCTACTAAGAATCACAATAAAAATAATTGAAGCTCTACTTTTTTTAAGAAACTGTTCTTTTGAAAAAGTTCTTTAGTTTGCATCTTAGCTAAGTTAAATGATTCTGTTTTTATAATGTAATTTCATTTTTATCTCTAGTTATCAATGAGGTTTTGCTACAGCAAAACTAAAAATTGTATAATACAACTATAATATACAAATAGAATAAAAGTTAATTATGGAAAGCTATTTATTTAGTGAATCAAAAAGTCTACGTACAAACAATCCACTTTACAATAAAATATTAATAAAATAAATTTATTGAATAGGCTTCTTCATCTTCTTCAATTGCAAATTCAGTTCCCAAATTCGACTGCTCTTGAGGGGTAGAATGCGATGATGCTAATGGTTTGGGCGAATGAACAGAAGTACTGGCGGTAGTCGCTTTTTCCGAAGATTGTTTAACAGATACAGATGATTCGTATTCACTAGCTTCGCCTTCCACTTCAACTGGTTCTTCATCTTGTCCACCACCATCAAAGTCTACACGAGATGAAGACATATATAATATTGACCCAAGTTCGACGTCGATCATGGAATTACATTCCATTCCGATTGGTTTAGGAATAATTTTACTTTCTTCTGTTTTCAAATCGTCTCGGTTAAAACTGGAATCAATTGTTTCTTCTTCTTGACGTACGTCACATTTAAACAGTTCAAATAATGAAGTTGTTGAACGTTTAACGAGACCTAATTTACCAGGTCGATAGATTGTAGAATTAGAACGCGAAGGTGTATAAATTGATGGAGGTTGTTCTTTAACACTTTCTGTATGTCTGTATATAATATTTAATAGTTGACTCATCATATCTCTCTTTTTCAGCATACGATCACCTTCAGCCTCCTCCGTTTCAATATATTCTTGTGTGGTAATACTTATAGCCGACAACACAGTAGTTTTAATGACATCTAAAACAGCATTTAATTGTTTTATTTCCTCTTGCTGCTGTAGTTCTACCAGCAGCATATTACCTTTTTCTTGTTTTAGATTCTCGATGACTTGATTTAATGAATGCATTCTCTTGGTCACATCATTGAAATTAAAACGATCACACATTTCCTTTTTCATTAATGTTTCATACAATTTTTTGTATTTCGACATCTCTAGGCATTTAGTTTTCATCCTTTCATAATTATTTGTCATTTTCTCAATCAAATGAATTTTATTCTGCGACGTTCGAATCAAATGCATTTTTATTTCCGTGCTAGCATCATACTCATTTTCCATTTCCTTGTACCGTACTACTTGTTGCTCCAATTGCTTTTGAATTTTTATTTGGGCAAACACCAGCTTATCTATTTCTTTCTGTAAAGCAATGTTTTCTCGAATTAGTCTGCGAGTATAACCAGCATTTCTTATTTCACTTGACCGCGTAAAGTCTTCAGAAACTTGTAAAAGTTTTGCTTCAATTTCTTTCTTTAATGCGTCTTTTTCAACAATTGCTTTTTGCTCCATCTGAAATAGAAGCTCTTTCTGGGCACGATCCTTTTCTGCTAGTTCTATTTCTTGATCTTCGAATTTGGCAAGCAATATGTCGCGTGTTATACGAAACTCATCAAGGGAGTTTAATTTGCCATTTAGCAATTTTATTTCTGAAGTCAATTGATCATGCATTCCCTTATATTTAGCTTCCAAATCTTTAATTTTTTCCGCTGCTTCTCTTTTCTCCGTTTCACGAATTTTGATGATTTCGGTCAGTCTCTCCTCAATTTCTAAAATATACTCATTACGATCGGCTAGTGTCCGCTCCAAATACGCTGCTACATCTGTATGATCCTCTTCTAATTCACGTAATTTTTCAGCAATATTTATATTTTTCTCCTCTAAATTATGAAGATGGGATCGCAGACGCGCTAATTTCTGGTTTAAATCAGTAATAGTCAGCTCATAAAATGTTCGGTCCACTTGAGGCATTTTATTTGGATCCACGGCTTTCGCCTTTTTGCCTTTACCCTTTTTCCCTTTTTTTGGAGGCATCGTGGCTTGTTAGTTTGTTTACGCCAACGAATTATTAAATTTTGATTAATTTTAAACTGCCCAATAAAAATTCCCGTTACGATTAGACGAAATAAAATTCGATTCTAACAATATGTCAAATGAAGTCTATAAAAAATTGTTTTAAATAAATAAACAAATTACTGTTGTTATTGACAACGAAATTTTTTCAAAACAAGTAAAAATATAATTAGTTTGTAAACAAATTTAAGAATTTTTTATATGAAAACTACCACAGAAATGAAAATTAGTAGAATAATTTAATTTATTTTGTTTTTGAATTCCATATTCCTTCTTTAAATGCTATTGTTGCTGTTGTTGTTTTTGTTCTGCTGTTGGTGTTGCCATATCTAGAGATGCCATGTCTATACGTTGATACGAATGAGTTGGTCAATACAGTTTTATAATATTTTTTTGTCATGACCATGAATGAATGTTATGCTGAGTGTCAAATCACAGTTGTCCATATAGTACTGTTAGAACTATTTTCTCGCTTTTTGATTATGATTTAATTTAAAATGATATATTCTACTCATACGGATATACTCATATATCCGAATATATGTACTTATTTGTTGCTAAAAGATGCAAATTGTAACATTTATTACTGAGCAAAGCGGGTTTAACCAACTTGACGAGACACATACAACTTTGTCACCGTGACCAAACGATTTAAACAAAATTTATCTTTTTATCTCATTCTTAAATGTTAATTTGTTTGGAATACAATAACAATTACACATTTGATGTGATTATGGCTGTCTGCATAACATGGCCTGTTAATAACAAGTTCTCAAAAATTTCATCCAAATTTCCACATTTTGTCTTCATTACATCAAGTGTATTCCTAAGTAAATAGTGCTTTTTAGAAATAGCTGTTGGAAATAGAGTCGTTTATTAAATTGTACTAATAGTACTAATTTATAATCTAATTTTGTACTTATCGTACTAATAGCAAAATTAGAATTATAAGGGATTTAGGTTCAAAAATGCAAACACACGTTATTTCTTCTTCTTCCTGTGTTCAAATAAGTTCAAATCTATTCTAAATAGGTGGGAACTATAAAACTTATAGCATAATTCATAGTAATTCGTCAGTAAATGAAATTTGTTCTTAGGAACGGAGGAACTATTCAGTATACAATAACAGTAGGCAGGTAGGTTTCGAAAACATCTAATAGTTTAACTGTTCGTAATTTTAGACTACAAATTTCATAAATTGTCAAATTTACTATGGACAATAATTGTAATTGTTTTGCCACAAAGATTCGAAAATAACGATTTTTACTATAAAATTCATATTTGATTACTTATATCTCCGACATATTTAATTTCACATAAAAACTCTTCCCTAAAGAATCTATTAAAAATTAAAAATAAACTATTCACTCATACGAAGTTTTTCTGTTTTCTAATAATTATTGAATAAAAGAAAAAAGAAGCTGAAATCACACGATTGCTAGGCTTAAAGTGCTATAAATGTAATTATCCGCTTCAGCTTTTCGATACATAGCAATTGCTACAATAAAAACTCTTCCCTAAAGAATCTATTAAAAATTAAAAATAAACTATTCACTCATACAAAGTTTTTCTGTTTTCTAATAATTATTGAATAAAAGAAAAAATAAGCTGAAATCACACGATTGCTAGGCTTAAACTGCTATAAATGTAATTATCCGCTTCAGCTTTACGATACATAGCAATTGCTACAATTGCTATGTATCTCCTGGATATATCATTGAATTGTAATTCATCAAATTTTTAATATTTTTGTAATAAATGTGGTTTTTAATATTACAGAGAAGGCTTGGAAAAAATGGAACGTGAGAAACAGAAACAACTAGAAAAGGAGCAACAAAATCAAAATGTATATCAGGATAATAGTCCTACCGCTGTAGTACCTAATGAAAAAGAACTTTATGTAAAAGATGATATGGTAAATGAAATTCACATTAGTGAAAAAAAAATGGTAAGTTACAAATTTTTGAGATTTAGAAAAAAATGCCTGAGGTGAAAATTATCTGTGAATACAAAAATTAAATAATTACAAAAATTAAATACTTGCAAAATGCAATGTGTAATCAAAGCATTCACTACTACTAAAACACCATAAAATTTAGGCTAGTGAGAGTTCAGGTAATGAAGAAGAGGAGGACAATAACGAAAATGCTGTTTTCACAGTTTCAAATGAATCTATTAGTTCCAAAAAAAAATTAAACAACGATGATAGATACACCGATAATATACAAAACAGTCGCAATGATAAAAGCTTTGAAGAAAAAATGGCTAATCTGGTATGCTATGCTAAACTAAATTCAATGATGAAAATCTATTTTATATTGATTTTTATATTTTTGTTTCATTTACTGACATCTCTATCACATGTTACTCTTGTGATAAATCTTTGTGTTTGTCACTTTAAAAATTATTATTGTTTACATTTAAAAAACGTTACATTTGTACCAATGTGCTATTACCAACGTATTCGGAAAAATTCTAATGAATTTAGATGGTTGATGTGAGAAGAACTTTAACAGAACTTTTACTGGAAGTGACAAATGAAGAGATTTCGAATATAGCTGTCGAATCTTTAAAATCCTGTAAATTAAAAGGTACATTAGTTATATTGAATTAATAATAATACTAATTAATGTTACTATACAAAATTTGTAAGCTGGATAATAAAATTAACTTAAATCATAAAAAAAACTTAATCGAATACATAAACTAATAAAAAAAATTTAAAATAAACAATTATTTATAAACGTTAAATAATTTATATTATCTGGAGATATATATATTTCCAGTATATGTTTTCAATTAGATTTGTTTCGTTTATACTTTTATATGATAACTTCAAAAATTATATACATTTTATGTTAAAAAGCGTCATCGGCACAACTCATCCACAAAGTCGCTTTGTCTTCCTTAACTGGAAAGCTTGGTAAGTTGAACATTTATTTTTTTTTTATATAATATATTGAATATATATTCTTTATTTGCAATATTTTTGTCAAAGGATATGAAAATAGTTCTTAGATCCATAGATCAAAAAAAATGCGAAGAGAAAAAAATATCCACTTTTAATTTTGACCTATGTATAACATACGAAAGAAAACTGAAAAGTATCATAAAAACCTCATTATGTTAAAAAATGATTTATTTAATGCTTATATTCTACAGTGTGATATATGAATATAATGTATTTTTACGCATACACATGCAATTTTTATAAAAAATATATGAGATACATGAATCTACAGACGTTCTGTTAGTGTTTTAACTCTTTGATTGATTGTTGATCAATGAATAACTTTTAAAATTGAATAATTTCAATTTCGAAATGAAACATATATGTTGAAATATATTTTTTAAGGATCATAAGATACCATTATTGCTTCTTTAAAAAAAAATAGAAACAATGTGAATTGCATATGACCACATATAAGTTCTACAAAAAATATTTCGCATGTAAAATTTTCGATAATAAAAAGAAAAATCATCGATAATATGATATGCCCTGATCTTCTTTAAGGATTTGCTGGTAGATAATATTAATATGTATGCCTCTACTTGTCAAATTCATTAGAAAATTGCTGTTATTAAACAAGAACTTTAAGGCAAATTTCAACTTCATTCATTAACATAACCTCCTTCAAGAGTGATTCTTTCAGCCCAACGCTTCTCTAAGATTTCAATGGTTTTTTCTTCTTTGTAAAATGATTTATTTTCGGTCTCAAAATAGACTTTAGTTTTGATAATCTATTCGTAATTGAAATCAAATCTTTTTGCATGTAGTGTTGTTTTTAGGTGTGCAAATATGAGAATATGATGAGCCTTATTTTAAGGATTTTCAAAACTGATTTATGACATTATGGCATAATGAGTTACGATTAATGACATAAAAAATATGTTTTACAAAAAAATTTTTTTACTTTTGGTGTTGTTTTTACAGGATTTCTTTCTTTTTCCTATAAAATATCCGCTATGGATTGTTATTTCATTCTTAAGTTAATGGATGAACAAAATACTAATCCCTATAAAAAATATAAAGAACAAAACTTAATCAGTAGACATTTGTTTTCTTTGTTCAATTTGAACAGCTTTCCTCGGTTACTGTTCATTTAATTAGCTTACTGCTGATATGAAGCAGGAGTTAATTAATACTGTATGGTGAAATTCAGTAACGGCAAATAAAGTCCAATCTTGTTTCTCGCCAATAATAAGGTTTGGTTTTAATCTGAATTGGTGATAACTAGTTTACAATATAATCTGAACTTTATTAACATTTTTTTCAATCATTTCTATTTTTAATACTAACATTTATGTTCTATTATAAGAAATTTTTTCTAAACCAGCACTAGTAAAATAGTTTGGATATAGATGAATCTGGACAGATTTGAAAGAAATTTAATACAGATTAATACAGATAATTTTTTTCTTCATATCGCAAGAAAATAATGAATAAAATTCAGTTCCGATAACTTATGTTAAATGTGTAAACTTATCAAGTGTCCATTTTTAAAATGTTAGATATCATTTACCTATCTTCAAACAAAGTGGCTGATTAGCCTTAAAACATCCCTAGGGTAGGGCTAAAACCGGCACTGTTTTTATATATCGTATAAGTTATTATAAAGGAGCAAAGTCTATTTTTATTTAAAACAATAGCAGAATACTCTTCTTCTTCTGCTTGACTATTTCCATTAACCGATTTTTCCTTTAAGTTGTGAGTTTAGTACGTTTTACTGTACTTATGAACAAATTCAAAAAATTCTTTGGTATAGTATCTCATTGTCTATCTGTTCGTTGTTGTTAATCGGAGCCTAGTGTTAAAATAAGAGTGATTGGTGATTAATTTTAAATTGATTTCTATAAAAAAGTTCAATAAATTTTGTTCTCATTTGCGTTGTTTCTGGTACTCTCGTAAGTATCTCCTACCTATTAAAACTGTAAAAAAAATTTTTATTTGTTTTGCTGGTTGATTGACTTCTAGTAACAAAAGTATTTTAATTTTTGAACGTATAAATTAGAATTTAATTACGTTATAGGTTTAACTGCATATGATGATTCTTCTAGTGGAGAGAGTAGCGATTCATCGAATGAAAGATCTGATGATGATGACACTGATGAAGAACTTAAGGTAAAATATATCCAGTTATAGTAAATTGTAAATTGTAAATTTTAAATATATATGTTTTCAGGTTACGATACGTGCAAAACATAGAGCATTCTCGAAAATATCTAGTGAAATAGAAGAAAGACTTGTCGCTTCTGCTGCGATGGAAGAACAAAAAATTAAATATTACAAAAATTTAGAACAGCAAGGAAGAAATGGCAAGGGCGAGGTTATAGACGTAAGGAAACGAGACACTGACGAACAGGATAGTGTAAGCTCAAGTTCGAAAAATGTGCCAACATCTTTAGGAAGAAAAGGTTACACAAAGGAATTCGGTGAGACAACTGAAACAAAGTTAATTCACTCAAACGGTGCGTTTGATAATTTACAAGCTTTTCCTTTATTATCTATTCTTTAATTTTCCTTCTTAACCAAGTTATTCTTAGTGATAGATGTTTTTACTAAAGATATTTTTTATTTATTTGTTATATTTAGTATTATTTTTAGTGTATAATTAAATGATCTAAAAATATATGAACAAAATTTTATTGCATATTCTTTATTCAATCCCTATTATATAATAAACTAGAGCTATATTATAAGTAGTTTTAACATTTGAGAAGATTTTATGAATGTTAGTAATTGGTCATAGTTTTTGGTTTTATAAGAGTTTAGTAGTCGTTTTTTATATGAAGTCAATACCTTTCATATCAAAATCCCTTTTATACAAACTAAACATAATATTATCTGAACAAATAAATTAAGATATATATATTTTTGTTAGATATAATTACATTTATTTTGGCATTAAAGAAAAATAAATAAAATATTATCATAAATATTGTTTTCTAATATATTCGTTTAGAAATATTTTTTTGTCTATCATTTTAGTTTTGAGAAACAATTTAATTATATAATTATAATAAATAAATAATTTTTATTATAATTATAAAATTTGGGTTTTATGTTATTCTAGAATTATTCTTTATATTTTATTTATAAATCGAAAATGATATAAAAAAAAACAATTATTTTAATTTATTTGTACTATTGTTTATTTTGTGCTAAAAATTTGTTTATTCCATTAGATATGTAGTTTGCATTTAATTTTTTTATAATAGTTTTAAACAACTAACCTATTATTAAACTAAAACTGAAAAATATATTAAAAGGAAACATTTTATTCTCAGGCAAGTGGCAAAAAGATCGCTCATCATTTAAAGAACGTACAACCCGATTTAGTGATAATAAAGATTCGAGATCAAAATCTATAGCTACTACAGCGACTTACATATCTCAAATTCAAAATTCGTCTAATGTAATAACGCCAAATATGTCTACCACGTCATTAGTATCAACTGGAGTTCAAGATCCAAATGGGTTGTATACAGCTGCCAATGCTTGTATTACAAAGGATAGTAATAAATTGAAAAAGTCTGAAGAATCGTCATCAAGAAAAAGATCAAGAAGTCATCGTTCATCATCTTCCTCTTCTTCTGAGACGTCATCGAGCTCTTCTTCGTCTAAAAAACGTCGAAGACGTGAACATAGCAGTAGTCGTCACCGTTCACACAAAAAATCAGATCGGGAACGAAACAATGAACGTCGGCGTCATAAACATTCTTATCGTTCTAGTGAAAGTGATGACGAACACTATTATAAACGATCACGACATACACGAAATCATTCCCGATCTCGCTCTAAATCGCGTTCCTCCTATTCCTCCACTAAGCATCGTAGATATTAATAATTTTAATTTATTTTTATTTTACTTTTATTTTATCATTTCAAATAAGATATTTTTTATTATTAATGTGCAGATAATTTAATATTTTTTATATTTAATTTTTTTTTTATTTAAAAATATTATAAAATTAAAACTAATAAATATTAATTTCAATAAAAAATGACAATTCACAAATATGCGAGTAGTGATATTACTTGCCATTTAAAATTTTTTGAATTAATATTGTTAATAACGTATATGGTGTACGTTAATTTTATGAGTATTCCAATAAATAAATTACTTAAAAGAAACTGTTGTAATCTATCTAACTCACATTTTACACAGCAAATTTTCCCAAAGATTTCTTATCCTGCTGTACTGTACGGTCCAAATTCAAATTTATCTATGACTCTCTTTAAAGACAATAAAATTATTGTTATGACATAATTATATATTAAATAAAAATAGTAAAAGCGTTACAGTTAGACTGAAAAAGAATTTAGGGCATTACTATCCATTCTATTCCTTTACATTTTATTCCCACATGTTAAATATTCTCTTAGAAAAATTAATATTTGTTATTTTTTGACCAAATAACGAAGACGATATTGTGAATATTATTATAAATTACTACAAAAACTATGGGTGTGTCGCATATAGCAAAGCTATCAAGTTGCTACGATGCTACTATCCAGAAACTACAAGTTGCTCAAAGTCAAGCTCTTCGTAGACTCTGTAAAATGTCATGGTAAATCCGCACGAATAACATGCTAAGAGACCTTAGAATAGACCCGGTCAAAGAATACATAAAGGACAGAGCCCTGAAGTTATACCAAAAATGGCAGTCACTACCCGTACGGGCGGTGAGCAGATCTTAGATCAGTCATCGAATAATCAGCGAAGCTTGTGAAGAATACATAAACTAGTCAAACAGAAGGAAGGGAATCTGTATAATTCCCCTAGCTAACAAAAAGTAAAAGTGCCCAGTTGCACTAACTTGAAAAATCTAAACCAAAGACAATAAAAATAAGAGACAAAATTAAAATTTTCAGCCTTACAAAAAAAAAATTACAATTATGCTATATGAATAGAATATTATGACACACTTAAACTAAATTGAACCGCTTTTATATTGTATAATCTACAAAAAGAACGAATTTTAGAAATGATAGTATAATATAACATTTATTATATTGTTGTGAATATACAATTTAAGTAACTTTTAATAATTTCTTATTATGTCAGTTTATTTAGAAAATAAGTTTTGGATATATATGGGATTTTTAGAATATATACTGTGTGTGTGTTTGATAAAAATACAGAGATAATAAACAGTTGCACTAAACTCAAATTACAATTTATATATCAGAATCCAGTGATCGCGAACGACCACGTAAATAGGGGAGACGCAACAATATAATAATTTTTCACATAATTGAATGTATACGAACATATTATATGATATATAAGAAATAAATAATTCATGCATAAGAGAAAACAAATATATATATATATATGTATATAAATTTATATATGTAAAATATATATATATAAAATATATATATATAAAATATATATATATAAAATATATATATATATAAATATATATATATACTAGCTGACCCGGCGAACGTTGTTTCCCCTTGCAATTAATTTTCCTAGTTCAGCTGAGTTATAATATTTGTTGTTATTCAACTTAACCTTTAGCATTTTAATGCTAAAATTATTTTGAATTGATTTTTTCTTTTGAACTACAAAAAGTCCACATGCATTACTTATGTTACAAATATTTTCATGTTACTTCAAATCCTTATAAGCACTACATTTTACATGAAAAAAGGTTTTTTAATATTATATTAACAGTTTTATTATGGGCTATAATGTTAATTTAAAGCTAAATCATGAACAATATTTTTTGTTAGGCCATTTTGTACGTATATATATAGATCAGAAGGCTTAGCTTGAATTTTGAAATTGATTTCATCGACATCTAAGTTCTTGGCAGCCAGAATCGCTCTACTTTGAAGCCATTGATGGTTCTGATAATTTTGATATATGTTAGGAAATACGTTTTCTATTAACTCCTCTTCCGAATTAACAATTTTATAAACATTTTTTGGCAATTTAGTAAAGTGCGTATTTTCATGAAAACTTACGTTTCCGTTACCAATATCCAGCAATTGTTTGGCAAACAGTTCTGCAGCTAAATCGCTCTATAGTCCAACACGCATATTTTCGCTAAGTCGCAATATATGGACACTTCGCCACAAAATGGATGATTTTAGGCAAGCATTGATTTTCAATTAAAGCGCCTCCAAAAAGTCTATAGTTGGCATTTAAATCTTTAAGTGTTCATTTAATGCTTCCAATGAATATTTATGTGACATTGTGCATTCATCCCAAACAATGATGTGACATTTTTGAAGTACTTGAGCATTATTTAAATGTTTTTTAATATTGCATACCCCATTTTCACATGAATGTATGTTTAGTGGCAAATTTAGTGTCGAATGGGCTGTTCTACTACCATCTAACAATGTCGCAACGATTCCAGATGATGCAAGTGCTAAAGCGATATTTCCTTGCATTGTAACCTTTGCAAGAATGACTGAAATTAAGAAAGTTTTTCCAGTTCCACCTGGTGCATACAAGAAAAAAAGCCGCCTTCTTTTGCCGCAATTGCGTTCGAAATCCGATCATAAATGACCTTTTGTTGATGCGTTAAGATTTGTTCGGTTCTTGTAACAAATTCAACCAAATCTTCAGAGCTATACTGAAATTCGCGCTGCATATCATTGTTTAATAGATCGGTTGCCAAACGATTTATAATGCGGAATTTAAATGCACTTAAGCTATGTAACGGCAGTTTTACGATTCATTTTAGAGATTTTAAACTTTTTAAACAAATCAAAGTAAGCATGAATAAATTTTAAATTTCTAATATAAAAGTATATGGATACCAAAAAATACAAAATTAATTAAAAAGACATTACCCAGTAGACCAAATTGTGAATCTAAACCTTCCTTGAATCCACTTGAACACACACAAAAAATTTCATCAAAATCGGTTCAGCCGTTTAGAAGGAGTTTACTGTCAACACACGTACAGAAGAATTATATATATAAGATATCGTATCCATAAATGTATATATATAGATATATAGATAAAAAGAAAAATAGAAGTTTTTTAGTTTAATACCAAATTAGTGAATCATTCACTTGTTGTATAATATATATAATACTAATTATGTATTATTATAAAATATACAAATATGTTGATATATAATACTTTTATACATCAAAAATATTTTATATGATATATAAAAAATATTTAATATTTATGCTATAATAGCATTGGGACCCAATGATGTGACGTTTTAAAGTTAAATTATATATTTTCTTTAAACCTAAGAAAGATTACTCTATGCTAAAAGAGTCTTTATCTAATGAAGAGTTCCTATGTTACAAATTTAATGAAATAGTGGTAGCTCTATGTAACATATGATAATGTTATGTTTCATATTCATTTCGTTTCGGGTTCTAACTCGAATAATTAATATAGAAATTGAATCAGTTCACAAATAATTTTTGGCCGTGGATTCAATTTCGAGTTGAGTTTTAAATTAATAAAAAACTGAAATTTGGGCACAATTATTATCAACATAAAAAAATTGCAAATTTTCACTTAAAAAAAATTAACAGTCGAGTGTTTTTGCATATATAAGTATCAATAATTGTGTTATTTTATATATACCACACATAAAATCATATAAAACAAGTAAGTCCTGTTACTAATATCTTAATTAAATCATATGCATATTATTTTTATTTTAATTATAATAAAACTTGTTTATGCTTACGTAAAGTACACATCCACCAATAATGCTCATATGTAAATCATATATTCATATTTTTCTCTTCATTCAATTTGCGTTGATTTCATAATGCATATTTAGTAGCTTCTAATGTTTTCTATAAAACATTTAATCAAAAAATTACTAATATAAAAATTACCTCAATTAAATATGGGTACATGCACACATGACTTAAAACTACGAAGTAATAAAATCAATATTAAAGTACTCATAATCATAAAGTAGCGATAAATGTTATTTTAAATGTTTCAATCATTGAAAAAAGTTTATAATATAATATAATAAACTATAATATAATATGCATTTCTATAAAACAAAAATTTTAAATATAAATAATTTACTTGTTATTATCTGTGTTTAAGTAAGAATGAACTTACTGGGTCGAGAACTACTATCCCCTTCTGAAATTGGGAGGTTCTCAACGGCCGACATTCTGGCTGTCATTCGAAGGCTGAATGTCTTCTGTTCGGTTAGGGGCTGTTGCAGTACATGGTTGCAGAGCAACCATGGTCACAGTGCTCCGCTTCGTTGGGAGCTAGTACCCCGTTTATTCCTATTCCTAAGAATGAATTTATTTCCAAATCTGTTATACACATAACCAAAGTATGTGAATGTAAAAAAACTCATTTTCGATATCAAAAAATAAATTAAAATTAAGCCTATTTATAAAAATTAATATTTACTATATGCTACAAATATATCCTTACTGAACTATACCATATGTAGATAAATATGGAACGCCGGCAAAAAACTATTTGTTTATTATCAAAACAAACTATTCGAAAAATAAAACTTTTTAGCAGATTTTAGTATATATTGATCCATCTATGAGCTATATATGTACATACATATATTTCTGATCAACTTATTACATATAAATATTTTAATTTCTGATGTTATCTAATATAACTATGTGTATAAACTTTGAACATTTGTCGGAATTGATGAAATAAAATGGTTATAATATAACGATTACACACAAATACTCAAATATATTTTTATTTAAAAGCCATGTTATCTGTTAGTTAGTTGCATTTAATATCTATATAATGGCTGTGTTAACGGTTCCAGATAAAACTTTTATTTATTTATTTATGTGAAATGTAACTGAAGTTAATATGTATGCAATATTTTGAGCTTCGACAGAGTTATAGCTAACTATTATCTTGTGATATTAGAAATTACCCAATAGCATTAATCTTATCTTATAATTATATTCATTCATTACCCAACAGATACCAGGTAGGTGCGAGGAAAAGATTTTAGCAGAACTGATTATATGTTACGTTTAGTAATTAGCTAATAAAAACTGTAATTTTTAAATTGCTAAACAAGGTAAAAACGAGTTGGATTTGTATAGATTTCTTCCTTGCAATTAATACTGGCAATGATGACTATGGTCATATAAAGAATTTAATGGGCACAAAATGGGTTTTGGCATTCAACAAGTTCATTGTAATAAAAGATTTCAATTCTTATAACAAATATATTTAAAGGTTTGATATGAAATCGGCTTTTGCAATTAATCTTACCACAGACAGTAAAATGCCAGGAAGATGGTCGTTATATCTTATTGGCGATTGATGGAACTATGAGGGAAGTAGACCTTCTTTTATGTTGACTACTGTTTGTCGATTTTTTTTCAATTTTAACATTTTATTAGATTAATTTTTTAGTTTGATGTGTCGAATCTTTGTTTTTATATTATTTAAAAATTAAATTGTAATTTTAAGATAAATTTCCTTAATATTAAAACATTAATAATGTTATAAATAATATTAAGGTCGTGTGCGAGTTAGGCTAAGTTGCGTTCTAAATGAGGGAAATTCTAAGTTGTGTCGATAATGTCTTGATGTGTCGATACGTGTTGATAAATGGCAAAATGTGTGCAGTGCAAAAAATCCCAAAAAATCTCCCATTTGGTTTAGCATCAACTTAGCCTAACTCGCACACGTCCTAAATATTTTATAACTAAAAAGTCTTGAATTAGTAGCAACAGTTGTGTCACTAGTTTTGCGAAAATTGAATTTCTGAACAGTTGGATCTTGGCCGTCGTGGATAATTCGCTTTTGGATACTTAATTCAGAATTAACATATCAATATGTCGAATGGTATGGAGAAATAATTATATGAGTTTTAGCTGTACTACTAGAATATATAGATAAATTAAACAACCTGTTGCTTAAGTTGGTCTTCTTAGACTCCTTTTATTATTTTTTCTAATTCTTAATTCTAGTCAACGGAATTGTCGAAAATGATGATGCGAACCTCTTTATTCAGCAGAACTCAGTGAACAAAGCATTCTCTCGAAAACTGCCAACTTGCAGTTTATTCCGTCAGAATGCATTGTACCCGAGTTGTACTTATGAGGTAGTCATATGATAAGTGTTGCACTGAGGTGCTACATATGACTATATAAGCTATTCATTGAACTAATAACCATTAATACGGATCAATGAAATAATATTTATGAGCAAATGATATCAGTTAGTCATTGGAACTACCCACAATAAAGTGAATGTGTTGTATGAGCACTTATTATATTGAATTGTTTTGATTTTAATTTGGTGACTTATTATTGCTTACATAAAATCATATTCCATTTTTCTTTACAACAATTTTTTAAAATCCTACTGTTTTTGGACTCTACCTTATATTCTTTTGAAGTCTATCATTTTTTAGCAAAGAATGATGTTTAAGATATCGCATTTATAAAACACTGAATGAGTTCTGCACTTTGTTCTGAGTTATAATTATTTATCTTTCTCGCAAACGATAAGTTTTAATCGTTCACATTTATTTATGGTAATTATTCTTATATCGCTCTAGAATTCATAATCAACACAGCGAACATAGTGGTTTCTAATCAGTTATAACTACTGATTAAGTTAAAGGTATTATCCAAAAGTTTAGTTTAAAAGTATGTGTTTATGTTATTTATCTAATTTTCGCACGATTTTGTGAAAGATATAATGTATTTGTTGATAACAATATAATTGTACAAAATTTAATTACAAGTAATAAAAATTATGCCAATTGTATCTGATATCTATCAAGTCATCAAGTCGCCTCATAAGCAATAGTATAAATTGTGCATTTTTTTGATCAATATTAATTCATGATTTAGTAGAAATGAATTCCAAAATTAAATTTTCTGCTGCTTGTTTTTAAAAGTTTTATATACAATAACTCTCAGTTCAGTTAGTAACAATCATGTTGTATGTTTTTTTGAGAGAATATTTTAACACATTTCATTCTAAAGGATTTTTCTTTGGTTTGTTTATACAACTAAATCGAAATGTACACGAACCTGCACTTGCCTTTTGTTCGTTTGAGTATCTAACAGATGAATAATTAATCGTGATTGAATATTTCATTCATTGCAAATATTATAAATGTTATTATTGTTTATTAACACTTAAAATGTAATTGTTAATGATTTATGAAATGTAGAACTTTCAATCTTTTATCTGCTATTTGTTGATTACAAAAGTAAACAAAAATATTATTACAATATAAGAGCATATATGAAAAAATATATGAACATTTTTTGTTACTGAATTCTATATTAAATAAGATTAAAAATTTTAAAATCAAAGTAATAAACATGCATGTGTATATGTATACACATATACAAAATGTTTATAATTTTAGTAATATATATTTGCATGAATGTTTTAATAATTTAGAATATTCGCTTTTTTATTTTTAGACGAATTTGTTTGTTTTCATTTTCTTCGCGACTTTTCATATTAAAAAGAAAGAAAATATAATTTTTTTTGTCATAAATTAATGTCAATAAACTTGATTAAAATTACGTATTTATCTGTTTTTTTATATAGAATTTAATCATAACTTATTAATGAATATTTAGGGTAATCTTAGGGTTAAATATTCAGATACTTGTATATTTTGCGATTTATAAGATTTTAATAAATGTATATAACACAACTGTATGTTAATAACATAATTAATACTAACAGTTTCTATAAGTATATTATTTCTTTTTCCTTAACAAATATTTTTTTTCTTTATTAATATGGAATATCTGTTCTGCGCAATTCTAAGTGTAAGTGCGTATAAAGTATTTGCCGTGATATCTAATTAGGACGATTGTTCTACTCTCTACTTGCATTTTCATTCAATGCCAGTTAATTAGTCTTTGATGAAAAATATTTTTAAATAAATGTGAATTTTCTTATACCTTACATGCGCGGCGGCCAAAGTTATAGAGCGGGAGATTTTCAATTCTTTATATGTTGAGTTAACTGCTGTATAAAATCAGCTTCCTAGATTGTTTCATAACCACTCAAACAGACTCAAATAGTCTGAGGAAATTGTTATAAAGTAGCACACTAAATCTACAAGAACCGCTAAAATATTCAATGCGGTTTGCAGGCACTGTACCAATATCTTCCTTGAAATAATATCGTCAAAGGCAAATATACAATTATTACGTACGCCTTTAGCATCACTAGTAGCTATCTACTACTATTTTAAACCGACGGTTTAAAAATAAAACTGAGAGTAACTTGACAACAGAAATCTTCTCGAAAATAAACGTATGGTTATTTTTTTGCCGTTGGGTGAAAAGCATCAAAAGGAACTCTATAAGAATTAAATTTACCAAAACATCTTTTAAGAATGCATAATAAAGATTGGAGTCATTGAACGTTAGAGTATATTGAACCTCATTCCGATAAAATTGTACGACATTCTCTTTTTTATTTTTACCGCAACATAAAAATCGTAATCAATAACAAAGTAAAAGTTAATAATGCTAACATTTAGAAATGTAAATTTAACTAATCCAAAGACCAAGGATAGTGTTGAAGAGAGACGGGTTAGATTAGTAAAGGGGGAATAGCAGGGACATTGCTAGGTATAAGTTCTCTAATCTGACAAAAACCGCGGTTATGAACCGTGAATATCAGAGTGCTGAGAGTGTCATCCAGTAGGGTAAAAGTAGCAGTTAATAGTTGATACTTATCTAAATCTAAATTTTTCTAAGCCGAAATGCGAAATAGGTGCCAAAGAGAAAAAGTCATATTAATGAGAGGACATAGTACGTAGGAATACAGCGAATATATTGGGGTATAAATGCTGTGATCACGAAGATGATGGAAGGATAAGATTGCATCTCACCACAAAAAAAATTAATTTTACAGAATGTAAATGTGTGTTGAACAACTAAATGTATTCCGTGGTTAGTTGAAAATACTTGCCTCGCCAACTTATATTACTGTGAGGAACTTTAATCATTATGTCAATATTAATAAAAGTAATATTGTTTACTTGTGCGCAATTTTTGTTACCAAGAAATACTTTAAAACCTACGTTGCATTTCATAGATGAGAAATGAATTTGTTGGTGGTAGATTGTATGGTTTTTTAAAAGATTTAGGATCGTATTTATCTGTGAACCCAATTACATGCCATTATTTTAATAGCTATTTGTAGTTGCTCGATTTAAATTTATACTGCTTTTAAATAACGGTTTAACTTTATGAACATTCTTCAATCAGATAGGGTTGTAAAGACATATATATATTACATTTTTAAATTAAAGAAATTATTTTTATAAATCACAGATGTATGAAATATTGTAACATCTATTTATTTTTCCAGTAAGATTAAATAATAAATATCCAATTCTTATTGATATAACTTAAATATCTTCGAAAATATATAATTGTTCTCCGCATTAATAATAAATTCAACGGAACATATAATGTATAATAATAAATTATATGTTATATGATTTTGTAACAAGAAAAATTATTGCATTGCGTTTACTGAACCTCAAAGCTCATTTTAAATACAATTTATTATCTGTTTACTTAACAAATTTTCCACAGAAATATGCTTAAATTTAATTAATATAAATTTGATGAAGTGCAACTCAGGCATTTTGTATTTTGTATCCGCTAATCAGTGTTACAAATGTGTGTATTATTTTTGAAATGAACTCCATAAAACCCCTACATTAACCTTATTTGCGTTTTTATACATTATTATTTAATTTAAATCTCATTTTCATCTGCCATTTATTTAATAATTTAATTAAAATCGTTATCATATAAGAATAACATATAGACATAAATAGTTATTATAAATATTTAATTTTAAATAATTTGTTTACATTGTTTAAGTGTATATAAATTCATAAATATCTTGTATATATTAAATGTTTATTATTTTCAATGAGAATTTATTTAATAGTCTCTTTCCACTCTTTTTTAAATTTTAACATATATGTTAATTCCTTTACTGTAAATAATATATAATTCTCTTAATCTGCTCTTCTAATATATTGTACACTTGTTATGTACTAATTTGTTTATGCTTCCTTTGGTTTTTGTTTCCAGAATGTCCTTACAACAACAATTACCACAAGCACCACAAACGATACCACAACAACAATTTCCGTAAGTTTAGTTATAGTGAAAAAGACTGGTAATATATAAAAATCGCAACAATTTTATATACGTAACTTGCCTGATCGTATAATTGCTTTATCGTAGACAACAATTCATATTGTCTTTTTATACTCGTTAGACTAATGATGAGTCTACTTACGCTAGCGGCTGCTTGACGCTTGAACCCGGTTACTGATGGAAAAACGTGTTTGACTTTATCTCTACAACAAAAATTGCTACATTTCCATGGCTTAATACAGATACATGCGTATTTAGAATAGTGCACCTATATGTCACTTTACAAGAACGTTTTATACGATTGCACAAAATAAAACCAATTTCAAAGCTATAAGCTTACGGTAGTGTAAACAGAACCGAAAACATTCTTAAGCGTCAAGCTGATGGAAGTGTGAAGAGGCTCAGTGACGGTCAAATTTATGTTTTGTACTGAAGACTTATTATGTTATTTAAATATTAAAAGTGCTCTATTATTACACTTTTTTTTAAAGAATTTATTAATAAGCATAGGGTTCTAAGAGATATTGTGAGACTGTGAAGATATTAAAGACTGTATGTATATATAGTTTTAAAAAAATTATAACAGTAAAGATACGATTAATTAATATTGTGAACCTTCTTATGGTTAACTTCTTTATTAATTAGATTGTTTTAGTACACATATGACAAGTTTATTATTGTGATACATAACTTTAAAAATGAACATTTAAAATTAAAAAAAATTTGTTATAACTAGGAGTTCTGCTACTATTCGATTTAGTCATCTATTGCATCCATCTAATTTAAAACACTCTTCATAATAACAACAATTACAATAATAACTACTAAAAAGTAAAATTAAAGATGGATTTTAACAAAAGAAATTTTTTATAAATAAATATAGAAGGTTTCAAAAAGTAGTGAACTACAACAACAAACATTTTTTAAAAAAATTTTAATTAATTAATATTAATTAATTGAATATTAAATATATTTAAAATATTCCGAAAGTTAATCTTTTATAGATGTCAAGTATAACCTGTCTCATATTGTAATACTAACCCAGAAAACTTTTAAAGTATGGTAGTTTGTGTATATAAGGAATTGTGTATAGAGATACCTTTATTCTAAACGAAGAATATGTGATGGGTGCATTAAATAACACATATTGAAAATGTTAAAAGAAAGTGGGGATCTATAAAGCATATTCGTTTTATGACGAGCTGGGGCAATGACAGAGTAAATGTGCAATATTTTTGTTTTTCTCTTCTATCCAACAGTTACGTTAATAGTCTATTAATATAAGTAGTAATAATTTATTTATTTTATGTTTCATATCAAAGCTTTATGACACTCACCCCCTTTTTTTAAAATGTTTAAAGTGTTTAAACAAACACTAAAGTAATATCTTAAATTAATGCCAAAATATATAATGCGCTGTCATGAGTATCTATAATACTAATATACATTGTGACCGAAAAGTTTCCGGTCATAAATAAATAAAACGCAAAATTCTTAATCTTCATCAATATTTATTTTATCTCCTTCAAAATATGCTCCATTAGAAGCGATACACAAATGCCAACGTTTCTTCCAATTATCAAAACATTTTTTATAGGCGCTTTCCGGTATGGCTTTGAGTTCCCTCTGCGAATTCTGTTTTACGTCTTCTATGGATTCAAAACGCGTTCCTCTGAGTGGTAATTTGAGTTTGGGAAACAGGAAAAAGTCCCACGGTGCAAGATCAGGTGAATACGGTGGCTGTTCGATGGTATTTATTGAATGTTTGGCCTTAAAATCGTTGATAATGTTGAACAAATTGAGGTGAATCGGAACAAGCCGAGCGTTGACACGTCGCATACACAAATTGTCCACCAAAATCAAACGAGCCATCTCACGACCGATGCCTAGCTCTCGTGCTATCTCTCTAACACTCACATGAGGATTTTGGAACACGATTTCCTTTGCCTTTTCAATGTTTTCGTCGGTGGTAGAGGTCGAAGGTCGTCCAGAACGCGGCATGTCTTCGACGGTCGTACGACCGTCCTGAAAGGCTTTGTACCACTCATAAACTTGAGTTTTCGATAAAACTGATTCCCCATAAGCCTTTTGTAGCATTCGCAACGATTCTGCACACGAAATTTCGTTCGAAACACAAAATTTGATGCAAACTCTTTGTTCAATATTTTTTTCCATTGTTTTTTTCGCAACGCACTACTGAGGTGAACTGGTTTCAACAGCTGCCGTAAACGAACTGTCTGACAGATCGCGCTCATTTTTGGCATAGTAATTGTCCTTAATTGCTGCCAAACTACATAAACTTAAAATATCGAAAAATATACAGCGCGCGAATTTTAAATGAGAACCTCCGAAAACCTTTCGGTCACAATGTATGTATATGAAGGTCATTTATAGTATAATTTTTTGTTTTTATATCATTTGCAAAATTATGTTGAATTATTTTTTTCAGTTTCGTATTAATTTCTTTAATTTCTAATAAAACAAATAAAAAATTTTATAATAAATACTAACGTAATTGGAGCAATTTAATCGATTAAAAATACAACTTGATAAATAATTTTCAATAACTGTGTTTTGTTTGTTAATTGATTTGATAAATTTTGTCGCATAGTAACTATTAATAAGTTCACATTCATTTGTTATGTGGTGTGTAATAAAATAAAAATTGAATGTAATTAACATTATAAATATCTAATAAACATTTATTTTAGAAATAGTATTGATAAAATGCAATAAGTTAATGAACAATAAGTTTGAGACATCACAACCATATCAACTTCTAAAACATTTGTATATGTGTTATCCTTGATCTAATGCTTCACAGATAAGTCAGTATTACAGAAAGACTATAAGAAATATAGCTGTCTTGTATTTAACCAAAAAGATCTTTATGAATTCCTTGAAGTGACAACTTAAAACATTTTGTTATATTATGTGGTTACGCCCCACATAAGAGTTTTTTAGTCTTTAATCCCCTATCGTATGTTAGCGAAATCTACAGATTTTTTTAATTTTTATTTATTTTTGCTTTCACGATGCAATTAAGCACTGATGATATTACTTATGGTAGCTAATAATAAATTTTTACAAAATTAACCCCTAAGTTAATATAATCTGTATTAATCATAATATTTTTAATAAATAATATATCTAATTGATTTTACTAAAACTAAGATGGGTAAATTTTTCAAATTTTTTAATAAATGTGGGAAATGTGCTACATGTGTGGTTACATTGGTTTAAAAATATATACTGCTATATTGCAAGCAGCAAATTTTTTTTGGAATGATAAAATGATTAATGCATACAATAGAGTTCGATACAAAACGATAGAGGAAGCCATATTCTTCACTGGGAGAAAAGGATAATAGAAGAAGAAAGAGAATATACTGGTCGCCTCGTGACCTTCAATGAATAAACACCTTAACCTTAACCGAAACAAATTCCGTTTGTAAAGATGTGGTTTTTTAGTACCTACAAATCACACCCCATTTGTCATCAATCAACTCTCATTAAACTAACAGCTATCCTCAGTCCTTAGTGGTTTAGCGTCTTAAATCTTTGTCAGAAAAATATTCAGAGGTATAGTAATATCAAGTCCATTATTTTTAACTGTTGGTAACACTGTGTAGTATGCATAAATATCATTAAAATTAGTTAATGTCTAAAAATTATTTTAATTATGTTTATTAAAATTTACTCTATGAAAATTAACGATGTAGCGTATAACGATTTGACATCAGCTTATAAAACTTCTTTCTATAACATTCATCATATCATAACATATCATCATAACATTCAAGATGATAACATTGTTGCACTGATGTTTTAAGCCGAAAAGTTTAAGAGAATAATTTCTTCCTTCTATCTTAAACACTTATAGACTTGTTTCCGTTTATTTATAAAAAATAGATTAACATTTGATTCGTCTTATCGATTTGATCAGGAATGTTTATACATATACTTTATACAATTTTTTATTCTCTTAAATTAAATTACATATCAAAGAAATCGAAATACATTTTGAATCAATTGCAAATACTTTATTCCCTTCATAACTTTTATTTTTTTATTTTGTTAATAATTGATGATAATTCATATTATTAAATAATACCATTTTTTTAAATATTTGTGCAACGCGATTTTATATTTATTGTGCGCTTATTTAGAAATAATAAATTGCATGAATAATGCGAAAGCACTGAACTTGGAATTAAATTTGTTACGTTTTTTCTGTGTAGTATTTTTTATTTAATTTCACAAATTTGAAAATATAAATTTAGATAATAAATTAGCGCAAAATTTCTTGAAATGTCGACCCCAATGCACTAGAAATCATACATATTTGTTTATGCGGGTCTTTATTAAATTAAAACATATTAAATTTAAAAATAGCGATAAATTCTTGATCTTAGAGTATTTGATATAAAATGAGAATAAATTCCTTTAATTACAATTTGACTTGTATGTGACTTAACAGTATTATTATTTATTATCATGAGGAAATCAAAGAGAGAATCATGGAGATTGAAAAACTTCCAGCGATTGCGAGAATCCAGAAATCTCTCAACAAAGACCAAACAAATGGCCTCTCTATACTAAAGAAGGCTGGCGGAAGCTTTACGGAAAGTCTGGAGAAAACGGGACAGTTATTGCTGGACATTCATTTTCCAGGCTGTGCCATGTATATTGAGTCTACGAAAACCACCGACGATACTCGTTTCTTATTGGTTACACGAAGAAAACTTTCAATGGCTCGTAAAATCTTCACAGTTAATAAAACTAAATGGGCCATTTCCACTTTTAGCCCGTTTACATATTTACGAACACGCCTTTTTATTCTTATTAGTTTGTATCTCAGGACTCAATTTATTTCCAATTGCTTGGAATCGAATGTTTCCGAAACATAACTGTCGAGCAATAAATAAAAAATGGTTTCAAAGTTTATGTTAAAGTTTAATACAATCTTTCGTTAAATATGAAGAAGCTGATAAAAAATATAATCAATTCGATTTAGTAAATGGAGCAAAAAAACTAATGTTGATTGAAATAAAGAAATTATTTTTTGTATTTTATTTCTAAATATACACTTGCATAATATAATTAAAAAGACTGCAGTACGTACATTTTTTTACAGAATGTGAAAGTTGCTGTGAGTCAAAATTCTTGAATTGTTGCCATTTTAACGAAAATGTATAGTATTTTCAATATACAAATTAGTTTCTTCATCTGTTCATCATCGTATATACATAATATATGTTAATTAAATCTCTCAATTTTATAAAACAGGCACGTGCCTCTTATTTTAAAATAATTTACCTATGTGTTCTTGAGATTATATTTAAATATTTTTTATCAGAGGCGATATCTCTTTGGCTATCGATTAAATTTAGGTTAATTTAAAAACAGCAAAATAAGTTTTATAGCTTAATTGTTAATGTATCAAAAGGTGACGTTTTCACATCACTATTCATTATTTTTAATGTAGCAGTGGCGTTGACATATCTCAACGATGTCAGAAACTGTATAATTTGCTAAGTTTTTAAGGGATTATCCATTTCGTCCTGATATCATTGCTGACAATGATAACATCATTCGGTATCATATGTTTAACAAAGCTGTTATACATGGTTTTTTTTGCTTAGTTGAGCATGTTAACATTAACTGCAGTGGCTATATTTCATATCAAAGCATACGGGTTCATTTTAGGTCTGGGTGATGTGTTAAGAAAGAAAATTCTCGCATCTGGGGCAGTGAATGTTTATTAGTAACTATCCGCTATCCATTTCATTCATTGTATGATGCGAAATTAGTTCTGAAGCTCTGATAGCTCTGATACCTTTGTTATAAGGTATTGAAGTGTTGTGGGGCACATGAGTATCAATTTTTGAAACATGAAATTAAAGAAAGGAATGCAAAGAATCATATTTATGCGAATAAATTGTTTGTGCACTTGATGCGAAAAGTAGTATAAGGAAAAAGTAGTATACGTTATAACATCATCATTTACGGCATAAGAGATAAACAATACTGAGAGAGCATCACCGTAGCTTCACTGTAGTAAAAAATCTGTACATGATAGTATGAACTTTCTTCACGCTAAACGTTCATACATTAATACTGAGTACCAAGACTACATCTTATTATATATGATTAGATAAAAACTATAAGTTATACTATTTTGTATTATAATATCAGATACATGTTACAATAATATCCATTAAGTACAATAATATATCAATAAACACTTTTAGATACATTTTATTTTTACACCATTTATAAGTATTTATTTTATTTTAGATTAATTCCAAAAATTATCAATGGTGGTATCGCTGGAATAATTGGAGTATCATGTGTATTTCCATTGGATTTAGTAAAAACACGATTGCAAAATCAACAAATTGGCCCCAATGGCGAGAAAATGTACAAGAATATGTAAGAATTTTTAAAATAAATAATAATTGTTGTGATTTTAATTATGATGTATATACATGTGTAGGTTCGACTGCTTCCGAAAAACATATCGAGCAGAAGGTTACTTTGGTATGTATCGAGGATCCGGCGTAAATATATTGCTAATAACACCAGAGAAGGCGATCAAATTAACTGCAAATGATTATTTCCGACACAAATTAACCACAAAAGATGGAAAATTACCTATAAGTAGCCAAATGATTGCTGGTGGATTAGCGGGAGCATTTCAAATAATAGTAACTACACCAATGGAATTATTAAAAATTCAAATGCAAGATGCTGGACGTATAGCTGCACAAGCTAAAACGGCAGGCAAAACTATAGAAAAAGTAAATATAAATATATTTTTAAATGAAAAAAAAACGATGTATAAATTGTAATTTTAAAGGTGTCAGCAACAAAACTGGCAAGTCAGTTAATAAAAGAAAAAGGCATTTTTGGATTATATAAGGGTATTGGTGCAACCGGCTTAAGAGATGTGACTTTCTCCGTAGTTTACTTCCCATTATTTGCTACACTAAATGCTTTAGGACCAAGAAGAAATGATGGATCCGGGGAAGCTGTGTTTTGGTTTGTTTAAATGACTATTTTTTTACTCGAATTATATTACTTTTATTTGTAATTAGGTGCTCATTCTTGTCTGGTTTAGCTGCAGGCTCATTCGCAGCGCTTTTTGTTAATCCATTTGACGTAGTTAAAACACGCTTACAAGCTATTAAAAAGGCTGATGGAGAGAAAGAATTTAAGGGCATAGGTGACTGTATAAAGTAAGTAAAATGTGTTTATTTATATTTTTAGTACTACTAAATATATTTATTAATATTATATATTTTTTATATATGTGTTAAAAGTTAAATAAATTCTTACAAAAGCTGTTATAAATATTTTAACAAAATAAGTTTAGTCAACAATCAGATAATATATTATCATATAAGATTAATTTTTTTTTTTTGAAAATAAAAAATTATTACAATTTTCCATATAACCACATATTGCTTTAAAAAAAATATATACTATATATATTAGATATAAAATTTTTCTATATTATGTTTTATTCTTTAAATTCTGTAATTAGCAAATAAAATTTATAGTCGACTATAATTTTAATATATGTATCTCAGATTCGTTCAAAAGTCGTGTATTGTAGAAATCATGTACTGAACTCAAAATTTAGTTTCGTAATGCATAAAGCAACTAATACATGTTAAACCATCTCTTTTAAATATATTATATATATAATATAATATATTTTATGGCATTATATAAACATAAAGAAATTCTAAAAACTAAAGTAGCTCGACAGTTCATTATACAAATCGACTTTCAAATAAACTGTTAATAAATAAAAAATTATTATATAATATATATAGATAAATACGAAACAAAATAAATTTAACGTTTTATCAAATTTTATTAAATATTTACAGAAAAACATTACAGTACGAAGGCCCTACAGCATTCTTTAAAGGTGGACTTTGCCGAATGATTGTTATAGCTCCATTATTTGGTATTGCACAAATGGTATATTTCCTTGGAGTAGCTGAAGGATTATTAGCAATGAGATCTAAGGAAGAAACAACATAATTTTTTTAACTCCATTCAGACTATTGAACAATTTCTGATTATATAAATGTTGAAGCATTTGTCTGTGTTATTGTTGAAAGTTACAAATTTAAGTCATTTTTGTGTTAGATGTATTAAAAATATATTATAAATATATATACAAATGCGTAACGTAATATCCGTCTAAATATATTTTGATTTGCAGAATTCACATATGCTTCAATTCTTCATTCTTAAAAAGAGCTAAAAAAAGTAAAGACAATAAATTCAAGAAAAAAGTATATATAAGTAAAAATTGTTATAATAATTAAATCTTTTGACAAATGTGTATATGTGTATGTATGTATCGATATAATTATTAAAACAATAAATACTAGTAAAATAAAAATATAATGTATTAAAAAAAATTGTTTTTTTTTTATTTTATATCCTTGTAAGTAGAGTTATATTAGATTTAAGTTAGGTTTTCATTAAGTATATATTATATTTGCAAAAGGCTGGTTTCAAATGTTTTCGTTTAAATATGTATAATATATTTTAAAAACATTTTTTAGTTATTGTTCGTAGAGCTCGCTTAGTTAAGATTATTAAACTATTTATACTTAATTGGCATACGATTAATAGCTAAATTTTTGGTACTCTATTAAAATCAAATGTTAATTGCAGTACATAATATTTAACCTTTTATCAATTAGGGAAATATTTATAAACGTGTAAATTATATATATATATATATATATATATATATATAGCAGTTCGGTTAAAACCGTTCAGGACAATCAAAAGCTGCGGCATCGAATCCCCATAAGCTATTACAATAAAATTGTCAATACTGTAGTGAAGTATAAAATATACATAATAAGGTAAATGGCATATCGCATATATTATAATGACATAAATTTAGAACACGACATCTCTCTTTAAATTTGCTTTTATGTATTAAAGACAAGACTAAATAACGATTACTTTGATCATAAATTGTATACAAACAAGTTTTAATTTTTATTTTGCTCAGCCAATATTAGAAAAAACACAGAACATGATATTTTAGAACGACTGCTTTACATTTGGATCCACAGCAACCTGCTCAATATTATATATCTTCAAACATTTAACTTATAAATAGTATTTATACAAATAGTAAGGAATAGGATACACTGCGACTTATAATATCTATTTTATTATAAATATGTTAATCATTTAAATTTGTAGTTTGGAAAATAAATAACAGATATCCGGAGTATTATAATTGCAATCGCAAAATATGTCAAACCTTAACTTATATAATTTTTACTAAAACATAAACTACATTGCAGATCGTACTAAAAATTGACTAGAAAGCAGTAAATTATTTTTTAGTTAGGTGAAGTATATTAAGAAAGTGTACGTAACATAATTATTTGAGTTAACAAAATAAATTAAATTTATAGAAAAAGAGAAACAAATTATGTCAATTCAAAAATGTTTGAATTTTTTTTATTAAACATTTTAAAATAATATATTAAACATTTAATATAGTTTCCGATTTAGTTCAATATTCGACTCAGTTCAATTTGAAAGTACAAACTTAAATTCAATATTATATGTATTAAAGCATATGTCTATTATTCCAATCAACCTTATACTTTCCAATTTATCACACCATAAAGTAGCAATACTTTACTTTTATATAATAACAATGTAAATTATTTAAGAGTATTCAAAATAAGAAACTTATATAACATCTGCAGAATGATTTACAGGTGCATTAGCTTCTCCGTGTTCAGTTGTTAAGTCTACGTAACGTCTTCGAGCAATATGCAAAACTAGCGAGCGATACCATTCCAAAAAAACTGCTCTACGATATGTAACAACGCCAATCTGAACAATTAGTATTCCAAGTAGCATCACTATATTTAAATATTCCCATTCCAATAATAAGACAATTATCCAAACAAACGAAATACTTAGACCTTCAGCCAAAAGTCGACTAAGGGTTGATTGCTTCAGTAATATCATTCCAGTATAATTATAGCAGGCACACGAAATAAAAAATAGCATCAATAGTGCAATTAAGAGTGGTCTGCTGTGGAGCTGTGTCAAAACATCACCAAAATCATCAAAAACGCTTCGAGAATTTTGATCAAATGGTGCTTTTGTAGGCATAAAATTCATGCAAATACCCAAAAATAGAGTTATTACTGTACCAAATACACCCTGCCAACCAACAGCTTGCATAGCTGGTATATCAGCTCCTTTAACAAATTTTTCTTCGTAAATAAATTGCGCTCCTCGGAACACTTGTGCACATATAATTAATAAATCACCAGTCAAAATCGCATTTACATCACTTGAGGATAACGACGCTTTATCATAATATACGCGTTGTGCATCAATTGATACAATCGCAATTACACCGCAACTTATCATAAATATTCCCATCCAATGTCTTGAGTGTAAGACATTATTCAAGTATATAGAACTAAAGATAGCAATAAAAATGATTAATGTCTCTGAAAATGATGGAGAAGAAACATTAATGAAAATAGTGCATTAAATAATTTTCTGATTACCTCTTATCACTTGAAAACTGCTTGCGTAAGTTAAATACAAGGCAGTAAACATAAGAATTGAAGCAATGGCGTCAAGAAGTGCTGGGAGTAATAAGGAAATCGGTGAAAACTCTCGTCCGCCCCTCGTAACCAAATGTTCGTTTTCTGATCCATCCTTAAAAGCAACAGGTTATTTTAAACTGAATTGTGTAAAGTTTGATTATTTTATGTCACCATACTCACCTCTCGTCGTTGCAACAAAAAGTAAACAAATTTAAAAACACCAAAACAGAGTAATTCACCCAGAAACATTATAAATGTTTGCAATATAGGATGCTGAAAAGGTCGAGACTGGCCATCCTTACATTCCGCTTTGAGAATATCCGTATATCTTTAAAAGAAAATTGATTTAATACCTCAGCAATATTTCTATATAAGGATTACTTTAGTAGTATAACATTTAGAGCTCCGGTAAAACTGTAAAGTAATACAAAATATTTGGTCGATTCCATATTGTCCAAAACTATTAACTTTCAAATATACATTCAATTTATTTTTTATTTTTTCTTAATTAAATTAATATACGTTCGTATACTACTTAGCCCAAATCAAAATTGCGAATATAATGTAATGCATTTCATATACCGAAAACAAAAACAAGAGCACAAAAATAGTGCTGCCAATCAGATTTTGTACACTTTAAAAAATTAGAAGAAAAATAAAACATTTGATAATTACATGCTGTCGCTGACTTTACTTTAGTCATTGCCGTAACATTTATCCTTATTGCTACGATTTGGGCTACTTTTACAGTTTTGCAAGTGATTTGACTATGAATTTTAGTAAAATCACCTATTCTGAAATTTTTTTTTGTAAATTCTTTTATACAAAACACCTAAAAAAAACTGGACGTGTTCGATGTTAATCGTCAAATGTGTAATCAATGTAAAAATGGTATACAATAATTACCGCTAAGTGGCTTTATTTTTTTTTTGTACTCAATTTAAAAATTTGCAAACTTAAGCCCTGATATTTGTAGTGCCATGCCATATCGGCAAATAGTGTAGTGCAAAAATTTAATTCATCAGAATAGTGAACTGTAGCAAACTTTATCATATAAGATTTGCTCTTGCAATATTTTTTAATAGCTCCTTCAGTCAGAATTGTAACTCATTTGTGAATATAAAAAACAATCTTTTTCTATCTTTCTTCACTTTCTTCACTTTCTTCATTTGTCTCACAGATAAGGTAAGAATTATTAAAGGGATTACTTAATCTCCTAGTTAGCATCTCTATTATAAGACTGAAATCCCTGCGGGTTATCTTAATTAGATCGCTAGATTTTTTTCGTCTTAAGTGCCAACGTGTTTATAGTCGGCCCTTCAAGTCTTGTTTTTAATCATTTTAGGCAAGAAGATTTCAACAACAATTGGGAATAAGCAATACTATTTTTATGCAAAACATTGAAGTTTCGATAAAGTCAAAGAAAGTTTTCACTTTTGTTTCACGTGAAGGTTTTGTTTTAAATTTCATAGCTACCCTTACGACGCGTTGCTAAGCATTTTTTATTTATGATTATACAAATATCTAAATAAAAAGGTATTTGTAAAATGTCTTGTATATGTCTTGGTCCAAAACGTTCTGGAAAAACCCATTTATTGAAAGCATTACAAGATCCAAATTCAATAGATGAGACTTCGTATTCAATGCCAACAATCGGAACAAATATTTTTACAATAAAGTTTCCAAAAGTTTATAGTACGAATGACAAGCCAATTGATGCAGAACTCACAGACGGAAATACCAAAGAAACTCAGCAATCCAAGGGTTCAACCCGTCAAATTCAAAAAAGTATACAAGTTTTGGAAATTGGGGGTACCATGGCTTCTTTGTGGCGTCAGTATTTTAATGATGTTCAAAAGTTAATCTATGTAGTAGATACTTCCAACTTATGCCAAATATCTGCAGCAGGTAAGCACCTTACAATTTCGAGAACCATGTAAAATTTTGAAGTAATATTTTTTGGAAGGTGTGCTTTTATATTCCATACTGGCTGAACCTCGCTTGCAAAAGGTAAAAATTCTTATTGTTTTAACTAAAATGGACTACGCATATCGCCAAATGCGTAATGAGGCTATATTGATGCTTCAAATGTCGAAGTTAAGGAAGCAAATACGTCAAAATGTGACCATTGTTGAAGCAAGCGCGGTGAGTGGTAAAGGATTTAATGTTATATATGATTGGTTACAGAATGCTCTATAGAACCAACGAATTAAATGTTCTATATATATATATAAAATTTATAATATAAATCAATTAAACACGAAAACAATTTTAAATAAAGAAAATAATTTGAAAATATAGTATGAACATAGTTTTCCTATGTTGAGCATGTTTTAAAAATTACGTCCGCTATAATGCTGTTCATATCATTTCGGATCAAGAACAGTCAAATATAATATGCTCGCCCAAACCGTTTACGCCGTGTGAGCAAAACGGCTTGTCTTCGTGTCTAAACTTAAAATATGTACTGCTTAAACGCCTACTTCCCTTGACTCTAGTACTGAATTCACACGAGAATCTTGTTTGTATTATAGCTGTCAAAAATTTTTATTTTGATTTAAAAACAACAACAATTGACAGCTAGAATTACAAACATGACTCCTACAATTACAAGCAAAACTTTCGTGAGAATCCAGTGTTAAATCTTTGCGCAGAAATAAAATAATTGTCTTAAAGCGTGTGCATATTTACGTGCACTATTATTCATTATTGCATAAAAGATTGTCTTACCGATTTCGTTAAAAGCAATAATATTAAAAAATCCCTATATCATTATAATTAAAATTACGGTTCACCAATTTCTAGATGTTTAAGGATACATTTTTGGGGTGCATATTTGTTTAAAAGGCTCGAACTATGGTTCTTTTGGTTCGTGTGAATCCAGTATAACATAAATTCTATATCTTCTATTATTGTAATTTAAGTGACTAATTATAACTTATTTAAAATAAAATTCAATGTATATTCGTGTCATGCTCGACTATCTCCCATCTGCGCAAAAAGCCTTGTATTTAATATAATAATCATAGAAAACCATAGATTTGGTGAATGTTTTCTTTGATGAAAGATAAAAAAGTTTGAAATGTATTAAATAAAACAATATTTTAACCAAAATACAACAAAAGGTTTTATTTTATTTAACCAAACTAATTCGATATCACAGGAAGGGATTTTTTAATTTTTCTTCTTTTTGAATTAAGAGAGATAGTGAAAAATCCATAAATACTGTCACATGCTCGTTTCAAGTGTAGTTCAAGATACCGTTGAGTTTTGTCCATTTTTCCTAGAATAGAAAATTTTCAAGTATTATAAATTTAATCCTTCTATAATGTTTTTACATAATAATCCAAATCCTTTAAGATGTGCAAGCTTATTAAGTTGATTTGTTCACCAAGTGATATTGTGATTATTATTATTTGTGTAATAAATTGTATTTTGTGTAAAATATTTTTGTATCTCTGTGCTTTAGTGTAATGAGCAACTTTCATAGTTCATCCTTTACTTCTTTTACCGAAACAAGTTGAATACTCTCCATTGTTCTATTACTTTTTGGTATATACTCTACTGTGTCTGTATTACTGTATACTGAAGTATCTGAACTGTCTGTAGACGCTGAAGGGTCTGGGCTTGTGAATGTTATCTTTGATCCCGTGGCAATTCTGTGTAAATTTAAATTTGGTTTTGAAGTTAGTGTTTAATGTTTTATAATTAATTGTTTTCATTTATTATTTTTGAACTTAAGAATAATGAATTTATGAGTGAGTTTTGTAGAAAGTAGTTTTAGCAAGCAATTTTGTAGTTGACATAATGCAATTTAAATTAGTTTGTTCTGTTCAATATGAAGCTCTTGTAAAGCAATGAAACAACTACTTTAAATAAATACAATATATAATTTACACGATAAACATAGAATACCTTATTTAATTACAATAATTGCAGAAGCTTTAATGTCGTTGTCGCGAAGATCCTCGCAATTTTTGTAGATGTCTAATATATTTAAATATTTAATTTTAAATTTACATTTGAATAATTTATGAATAAAAGAAAGAAAGCTTTATTGTTATTGAAATTTTAATTATATTTACCTTTCTCTTGTTTGCATGTTTGCCTCAACATTCAGTTCACGGGGCTGATTAAAATCACATTCGAGCGAAAATGCTGAGTCTCCAGGTGTTATGAGTTCTGGATCGTTTTGTATAACAACAACATTAGAATATAAATCGCCTTCCTTAAGGGTTTGACATTGGTCGAATTTGAATTGCATTTCCATTGAACGTGTATTTTTAACACTTGGTTTTACGAAACATGGAGCTGATTGTTTATAAAAGCTACCACGAGTGTACATTACTCCAGTAAATGGTTTTTCTGTTTCCAGTACTACATTCATTGAATTGGAACCACATTTTAAATTAACTTTTTGTATGCCTTGGTCTGATCCTCCAATTTCGAATGTATCTGTCAGGTCCTGTTCCCAAATTTCTAAAGGTTCAAAAATAAATAATTTGTTGATTTAATTATTGATAAATAAATTTTGGTTAGAATTTTGAAAAAGCTCCAAATTGATGAAAAAAAAAACAAGAACCAATTTTAAATAAGAAGAAATAGGTTGTGATTATTGGAAAAATGAATTTTACTAATACGAACGTACCAATTCAGAAGATTTAATATAACTAAAATGTATAAAAAGTATATACATAAAAGGTTAATCAATATTTATGTCGCATATGACAGATGATTATCCTACTAATGTTTCTACCTGTAAGCGTTTAAGAAGACTTCTAAACTTTATCATTTCTTGACTGCATTGTCTATCGTTTATGTTTGTGTGTTTTGCAACGTACAATGAACATACTACCTTTTCTAATATTTTGTTCGTTTGTGGACGTTTGTTGCGCATTTCATTGTCAGCATGTATAGACTTATTATAAATAATATATAAATATATAAAATATAATATATAAAATTGGGGTCTATTACGAACGACTGTATGATTTAGGCTTTTTCATTAAATAAAAATAAATAACTAAATTAAATAAAATTATTTTCCATTATTCCCATGGAGGCTAAAACGGTTGAAAAATTAATTTCCTGAAGGAAATATGGAAAATATTTTTTTATCGTTTCTAATGAAGTTTTTGGAACTAAACTTGACGAACCATAGAAAATTTTATGAAAATTTTATTATTTATTTATTTTATTTCCAACGCATGAGATCATCGGAAAGACACATGCTTTCAATTTTGAAGTGCATTGAACCTTTTTTGTAAATCGCGCTTTTTAAAAAAGAATTCTCCATCATTGCACATATTATTTCTTACTAAATAATATTTGGAGAACTTTCAAATATTGCATCTATATTTAATAACAATTTTTGTATAAAATTATTTCTTCATTAAGTAAAAAATATTTTGCATTAGAAAAGAATAAAAATTCCGGTTTTCACACTGAAAGAATTTTTTATAGGTACTTTTTCTACACTGTAGAAATATTTCACAGCTTTTGATCTCCGGCTTACCTTGTTGACTCTGTTCACTTTTAGCTTTGTTATTGTCATGACCACCGCAATAAACCGCTGCCACTAAATATAATATTCCAAAAACGACCGCGATTTGAGTTTTCGTTGACATGTTGCCGAAATATTAAGATATAAAAGTTAACTTATAGTTTATGGTTATTATTTTTAATAAACAATTTAAATATTTTTATTATTTGATAGGTTTCTTTTCACTTTACACTTTCCAGCTTAAATACAAATTCACAACTGATGACTTTCGTGCTAAACCTGGAGCATATAAAACAGCATTTAACCAATTGGTAAATACAGTCAAAAGAGAGACGGTATTACCGCATAAAAAGAAGACGGAGAGTGCTTAAGAGAGCGGCTTATGCAAATCTGTACATTTGCTCTACTCTCTTTAGAGTTAAGCGCAAACGGAACAAGTGCTGAAGTGTGTAGAAATTTCAAGATTACAAAAGATTAGTATTAAAGCGCATCAGCAACGTTGTAATATATGTTGCCTCTTTTCCTCTACTTACTGCACTTAACCATTTTCTTGAATATTTTAATGCTTCTACTGTCCATTTTTTTTAATTTTTCCGCAGTTTTCCGTCTTATTTGCTAAAATGATTGCTGCATAAACGTGGTTGCTTAAAGGCCAGTTTAGTTCACTAAAATAATTGTATTGATAATTAATTTTTTATGTGAATCAAAACACTTTTCCGCATTTGTGTGGCACTGTCTCTCTTTTCTTTTATTTTAATAGCGTTTTTGTTTCCTTTTTAAATCTAAATTTAATATGCGATCTAGTGTTTAACTTCCCGCATTAATTTTTGCAAAAACGCAAAACATGAAACGGTTTAGTTCGTTGATCGTTACATGTTGGTACACAATGGAACTGCTTAGCATCGATCACTTCTTATGCTGTTTACACATAATATTTTTTACTTCCGATATTGGTAAAAATAAATTTAAATATTAATTATTTATTTTTTTTCAAAAACAATTAAAATATAAATAATATACAATAGTTTTTTCACTTTTAAATTTTTAGCTTAAATAATAAAATGTGATCATGAAGAATGGTTTCCAGTGGAACAGAGCACTACGACCATAGCAGGTGTATTGTGCCATAGCGCAAATAATAAAATCCTTGAAAATTTTATTTACAAGTACATATTTCAATTTACAAATATTTCATACGTGTTCGTGCAAGCCTTTTTAAATATTCTTATATTGTTTTATGAAGTGAATAGTAAAAATAGTTCATAATATCTGACTACATATTTTCAATTGAAAAATTCTGTTGTAGCAATAAACTATAATGCATAACTTAAATCAGTAATGTGGCCCACTTAATACTGCAATTTTACATAATTTAAATAAATTCCACCTATCTAATACCTATTTTGACATTTGTCCCGCCTGGTTAGAACTTACTATATTTTTTGATTTTTATTTCTTCTTGATAATTACTTACAGTAGTCACATAAAAATCAGAATATAATATTTTTAGTGCATTTCTTAAAATAGTTTTATTCCTCAAATATTAACACGATTATCTAACAAGTTTAGTGCTAAATCGTATACCATATATGTATATACAAATATAATGGCTTTGTCATTAAACTCTATTGACGATCTAAGTAAATAGATTGTAGTTTTGTTGATTGATCTAATACACGTACATATGCCATTGCGATAACATGCAATTACATTTACAAAACTTTTCTTCACCTTCCTTCTTTCTAGAGGCATTTTGATACTTTGATGAATTCTATCAATTTATTTATTAAGACATTATTGGCACAATCTTTTGTATGTTGGGAACAGTGATATAATATATGAAGTGAGCGTTCTTCAACCCTTTACCTGCTATTTAGTCAATGAATACATATTTTCTTAAACATTATTTTAATCTGTTTCATTACTTTAATAAAATATTTAATATTTCTGAACAGTTATTAGGAGTTTGCAATTGAACAAATTTCAGGTTTTGCAAATTACTTTTTTCCCACCCCTTCCTGGTTTTTTGAACCATTATTTTCCTTTTTGCTGCTTTATTAATGCTATTAATAGCATTGAATTGAACATGATTAATATAAGAATATAATAATAGATGTATCAAAAATATAAGAGTTCGATTTGGTCTTATGTGAAGAAAATACTTTTAAATTTTGTTCTTTATTATATGACATAAATATTATGTAGATGGATCATGAAAGTGAATTTTAATTTCAAACAAAAGCAATAAGCATCAGAAACCGATAAACTAATTTGAATAGAAATAGTTTATATTCGATTCAAATAACTAATAGTTTTTTTATTAGTAATAATGTTGATATACTGTAGATGTTTTTCTTGTTGTCTTAACGCGTTAGGCCGAATCTTTCTCAAAAAGTCTGTTTCACATTTTATGCCAATGGTAAAATTCTAACGGGTGGTTTCGTTTCGATTTATATCAAACATATCTTTGATATTCACTATGTGTTTAACCAAATTACTTTCAAATTTTTATTGATTTAAATATTTTTTTTATTGTATTGTATATATATTTTCATTGTTTTCTTTACCTTCTGATTGTGGTATGGGTATTTTTGGTTCTATTTTTACTTTACAGAATATATTTAGGTTTCTGTTGATTATCTCCAGTGTATTTTTAATCAGCCTATATTGACTGATTGTTGTGACTTAAGTAAGTGCATTGTTTTTGGAGAACTTGTTCAGTTCTAAGAGAAGTTTCTACGGAAGTGGTGACTAATATATAAAGCCAATCTTATTAACGGACCTATTATTTTGCTTTATTAATAATTCTCGTATTATATCTGAAGTATAATATATATATATAAACAATTTTACAATTTTTACTATTTGGTTTAAATTATTTTTTTTTTTTTTGTAAATTTAAGTTCTATATTTCTTTATTCTACAGAATATTTTGAAATGAAACTAGAAGTTTAATTATTTTTATTCATAATGGTCCAGTATCGTTGCACTTCAATATTTTCCCAGTTTGTTGACTTTGTAAAAACACTGCAAAAGAAATTAAATTTTTGAAATTCAATATTCAAATAAAAATTTTTTTATCTCCAACAAAAATAAATTTTATATGTTAAAATGTAATTTTGATCTCTACTTTAACATTTTATGTACATTAGCAAAACTAATTATAATAATTGATTTCAATGACTTCAGTAATATCGTTTGAGTTTATGGTAAGTTCATTAGCTGGAAAAAAAACTATTTATTTTTATTTATATTTTATTTTGGTCTTGCACTATTAAATTTAATCAATTCTTATTAGAGGTGCAGATGATAATATAATAAACTGCTACCACTTAAGATTTTAGTTCCGTTTACCTGCTTTCGACTTTATATCACTGATGCTGTTCAACAAGTATCTACTGAACTAATTTAATACTTACTCTTTGCATAACATCTGCAAGATTTCCTGTTCCTTTTTTGTAATTCCATCGTAAAAGGCGCTCAAATTGATGTCTAATAATGTTCGTGTCTGCATACCGGTTAGGAAAGTTGTTGCACCATTAAACTGCATACAATAATACATGGCCAGTTTACCAAGTTCAACATTAGCTTCCTTACAGATATTAGCCGCCTTCCGGCATAACTGCTTTTGTTTATCATCAGCTGGGTGCCAAGCCTGTGGGCCAGCATTCGTTAGGAGACCAAGTGCATGGCCGGCAGCGCAAACAAGGCCTACCTTTTCCTTTTGAAAAAAGTTGACATATGAGTTTAATGTGTCGTCCATTAGAGTGTTGCGCGCGTATGATAAAACAATCTATTACAGAATTGCGGAGAGCGGGACAATTATTATATTACATTTAAGCTGTGTGTTAAAGAGTATGATTACATCAAATCGACCTGGAGCGCGTTCAATGCATTTTCTTAGGATATCTAATGGATAACCAGTCACACCAATAAATTTAGCTTTGCCTTCCCGGACAATTTTTTCCAATTCCGGCAAACATTCATCGACGATAACATCAAGATTTTTTGCAAATTCAATATCGTGTATCTAAGTGTAAAAAATATGCTTATATAAACTAAAAAATTAAATTTTAATTATTACTTAAAGTTTAATGTTTACCATTCTTTAAAAAAAATTAATTATCATTAAAATTTAAACACAATGCCAAAGTATCTAGTTTCTTATAAATATTTAATTGTGAGTAAAAACAAATTAAAAAACATTTAGAGATTAATCTCCATTGAAAACAATGGAGATTAATTTAACTAGAAATTTCAAGTTCATGATTGATAATTGTAAAATAAGATAACTGTAAAATATTTCAACAATCTGAGTCCGAAAATTTTATAAAACGAATTGTTCCACCATTCCGTGATCTACATGGATCACTATTCTTTCACTAATTGATTTTTCTATAAAAGTATTAAATGGCACTTAGCTTTTAAGAGAGAATTGCGACTCAACCTCGTCTAAAACTAAAAAGCACTATAATCATTAACTGACAGTTAAGACGATGTTAAATTAAGTTTTATTAATTCTTCATTTATTTATCTTTTACAATTCTATTAATATCAACATTATTAATATTAGTTCTTGTCAGACGCAAAATATTTTATGTTAGACTTATGGCACTGGTTTTTCGAACCGTTGCATAAAGAAATATATACTATGGTAAAGTCTTTGTCAATTAAGTTATTTAACATGAATTTAAACGTATTTAATTTAATTAACGTATTTAAAACATTCTTATTCATTTTTTTGGAATACCATAAATGTAAAATCATGTAATTTTATCAAAATATAACAAAAAAAAATTTGCTTAATTGTAATAGATTACAAACAAATGTAACACAAATTTTAGCCGCGGTCTGCATGAGGCTTGTGTGCTTGAGTTGGACAGCCCTGATCTAGATCATTGTGTCAATAAAATATAGAAAATCAGTATACAGTATTTTGAATGAAAAGAACAGACGCAATATTGTATGGTTAATATATATATCTTTATGAAAGGGCATTATTAAACAAAACTCTTACTGTATATACTGTGTTATGTAAATTTAACAAAAATCTTTGTTATTCAACCTATGTTGTTTTCGGATATCCAAAGATATATTTTTGGTAAAAAAAATGAAGTTAAATTTTTTAAACAGTAATATTTTTAATTCAAATTAAATTTTAAGCAATGCTTTAGGTTTGGCTTATTTTCAAAGAGCTATTCAGAACACTGAAAACTTTTTCGACCTCATATCATGTTTTGCCTATAACAGGTTGAAAAATTATCGACAAAAGTTTGTGACAGTGGTAATTCACAACTTATTCAAATATGTGGTAACCAAAAGTAAACCACAAATACCGCTAAAAATTAATATAGTAATAAATTGAAATGAGAGAAAAAATGTTCTGAAAATAACTCAAAGTACGTTACTCGAAAAAATGTTTTTTACTATATGAATAAATGGTTTTAAAAACTTGTTTAAATAGAAAAATTGAGAACACCTCTATAAGTATAATTTATTCCAGCCTGCTTATTTCGTTGAATTATCAAAACATATTTACATGGAGTAAAGTAATTTATCAAATAGTTTTTATAGATTTTGAATATTGAACATAAATTCAAAGAATAACAATGAAATAATACTGCCAAATTTTTACTTACTTGAATAACATCAATATAATCAAGACCCAATAGCTCCAAACTTTTATATATGCTTTCTCTAGTCTTCTTTGCTGAAAAATCGAACATAGTTTCATATTTTTTTGTGTAGCGGCCAACTTTTGTCGCTATGTAATAAGCTTGCCTTGGTATTTCTTTTAGAGCTAAACCCAACACTTCCTCTGAACGGCCTTGTCCATAATAAGGAGCAGTGTCAATGTAATTAATACCTGTTTTAATAGCCTTGTGAACAGTTTTAATAGCTTCATCTAAATCCAGTTCACTTGGTAGTTAATGATTTTAAAATATTATTTATTAATACTTTATTTATTTATTTGTAGAATTGCAAGCTATTTTAAACGAAATAATTCAGTATACCCATAAAAATCACTAAAAGTGCCACAGCCAAATGATAATTTAGACACCATCATGCCGGTTTTGCCCATTGCATTATATTCCATACGTTTGCACAATTCTTCATCATGAAATTCTTTAACATAGGTTTTGGGTAAATTTGACATTTTTTTATTGAAAACTTAATAATTCTCAGTTTTATTAAAAGTAAATTATTATTTAAAATAAATTATAAAACACTGCCCAACCACACTTAAGCAAAAACATCTACTCTTCTCGCTTAGACCGATAAAAGTCAACTGAGAACTCAGTAAATACAATATCACTGAAAATATTTCAATTTCAATTCTATACCCTTTAAGCACAGTGCAATATTAGTATATTAAGTTTATCATGATATTTGTAATGCAATAAAGAAGATTTTCGAAAAAAAATATAAATCAGATCTATTTATTTGTCCGTCTGTTTCAACTATTTCTCAGTTTTTAAGATGAATGCATAAATGTTTGTATATAGGGTTTAATATATAGATATTAAATATAGAGTCATTGAACTATATCATATAGCTATATATATTATAGTTAACTGTAATAACTATACTATAGTATAGTTAAAACTGGTTTTTCTTGATTTTTTATGACGCAATTTAGTTAAAAGTTTTGTGGCTGACGAATATAGATAGTATTTGATATACGTACGTTTATTTATTGGTTTGGATTTAAACATATTTACCATATTAACGAAAACTTTAGATAAATTTTATAATAAAAACTCATTGATTTATCAACATATTTCAACCAAATTTATATGTTAAGTATTATTTCTTGTCGTACCGTTTAAGATTTATGAGAACGAAGTAGGAATCAGCAGAAGAAAAGGGGGACAAAGAAAACGATAGAAAGACAGTGTGCAGCAGGACTTAGAAGAAAGGAACATAAGAAAATGGAAAAAAAACAAAAAAATAGAGAAGATTGAAAGACTGTTGTTAAACAGGTTTAGGTCTTACATGAACTGTGCAGTCACGGATCATGATGATTATTTCTTGTCATATATCTACTTTCTTTGCTAATATGATTTGAATTAAACTATGAAAATTTAATTTTAGTTATATAAACTGAATAGTAAAATAGAAATGCTTATATAAAATGTTCAGCACTCTTATACTTTCACTCTTAAAATTGAGCTGATCGTTTGAGCTACGGTTATGTTTCAGTAAATAGTTGATATACTGATATTCATACCTATAAGAAGAGTTTATTCATTTGTTTACATAATTTATTTGATGAAAACCTGACATTAATAGAAATATTGTTATTGTAACGTTAACGATATTTAATATGCCGCGATTTATCGACGAATTTTTGGTAAAATCGGTTATTTATAGCAATTTTTCCACTACGTTATATATCAATTAATATGTCTTGACTCTCAAGACACCAAGCTTAAAAGAAATTTTAGTTAAATTGTATATTCTGAGCACTTTTTTTTTACTAAAATATAAACTTTGCGAAAAACTTTTGTGAGTAAATCCTTAAAAAAACACTGTGTAGAGGGTATTTCAATGCCGGAAAAGCCGAAGCTAAGTATTTTAAGTGCTCTGTTAATAAATTTGCATGATAACAAATCAGGGAAAAAATAAATTGCAATAAAAAACAGATTTTGCAATAAAAGCAATGCAATATAAATACTCGATTGCAATTTATACAAAATAAAAATATTTATATTTATTTATACGAATATTTATATATGTATATTATCACTTTTTAATAAATCGGTTATACAAGCATCTATTGGAATATTATGTTTGCATATTAACAAATTAAAATTTTTTTTTTGGATTGATTTTGAAGTCATAATGTCAATTATGACTTCAAAACAATTTAAACTCAGTAATTCGATATTGATAAAATTTAAATAATATTTGGAATTTAAATTGATCTAAGCCAAAGTGAAAGGAGAAGGTAAACTGATAAATACGGTTAGGTGATTTTTAGAATCACAAGAACGTTTTTAGGTATACACTCTACCACCGCCGTGACAGAAGCAAAAAAAAAAATAAATCGTTCACAATGCAATATCTGTAATAAATTTGTATAAAAAATTTTTGAGAGCACAGAGAAAGTTTATAGGTTTAAACTGTGGGATGGGATTGTCTGATATTTCAGAATGCCTTATCTGTATTGAAGTGGATGAGACGTTTGTTCATAATTAGCGATAAATGCACAGATAAAATTAAGTTAAAAGGATTGAAAATTAAATCATATATTTATATATATATATATATATATATATATATATTATATATTATATATACATATACATATAATATATATTATATTTATTATATATACTCGTATATAACACATCAGTCAATAATACGGGTGACTAACTAAGAAAAACAAATTTTTTCTGCCAAAAATCGGTTTTATCATCAATATAATCTCCTTCAAGGGCAATACAATCAGTCCAACGCTTCTCTTACTTCTCGATGCCGTGCTTATAGAAGAATTTGTCTTTTACCTCAAAACAGGTTTTAGTTGCAGCAATTACTTCTTCATTTGAGATGAATTTCCTACCGGCGATTTTTTATTGAGATCAGCGAATAGCCAGTCGTCGCTGGGGGCCAGATCTGAACTATACGGTGAATGAGGAAATAATTCGAAGTGTAATTCGTTCAATTTTGCCATCGTTTTTATTGACTTGTGACATGGTGCATAGCCAGTCGTCGCTGGGGGCCAGATCTGAACTATACGGTGAATGAGGAAGTAATTCGAAGTGTAATTCGTTCAATTTTACCATCGTTTTTATTGACTTGTGACATGGTGCATTGCCTTGATGAAACAAAATTTTTTTCTTCGCCTTATACGGTCGGTTTTTCACAATTTCTGCTTTCAAATGATCCAGTAATGACGTGTAGTAGTTACTATTGATGGTTTTTCCCTTTTCGAGATAGTCAATGAAGATTATACCATGTGCATCCCAAAGTACTGAAGCCATAACCTTCCTAGCTGACTGCTGTGCCTTTGGACGCTTCGGACGTGGTTCACCGGCTACAGTCCACTCAGATGATGATCGTTTTGATTCCGAAGTGAAGTGATGGATTCATTGTCACATATCGACGCAAAAAATCTAATTTATTACTTGTAAACATGGCCAAACACTGCCTTGAATCGTCAACACATTGTTGTTTTTGATTGACTGTGAGTAAACGCGGCAACCCCTTTGAAAAGAGCTTTCTCATGGTCTTTCAGAGTAAAAAAAAAATACTTGCAAGTTTCGAAAGAAAACATGTGGAACAGCAACAATGCTCTTGAAATCTTTAGAGTACAATGCTCTTGAAATCTTCAGAGTTAAGTTTTACTCTCAAAAAATTTTACATCTTAAGATTTAGTGCTGCCAACTTCAAAAATCAATGTATTCTGAATGTTCACTCAAAATAAGTTGTAAGCTTCCAGTCATTCGTTAAAATCATATAAGCATTTTATATACTAATAAGTTCAAATGCATAAATAAATAAACATAATTTAATTAATTAATGTCCAAAAAACAATAATATAATAAAAGATTTAAGTATTTTATTTATTCATTACAGATTTAACAATACGTTTATTAAATACTTTTTATTTATTTAAAGAGAGCAAAGGATGGTGGATACCCTTAATCAACTCGAACTCGCATACTTTTATGAGGTAAATTGGAAAATAAGTGCAGTGCAAAAAATTCCTAGGAAATTTCTATTTACTTTACTTCAATTTACTCGAACTCGCACATAAATCATATTTAAAGGAAAAACATGTCCGTCTGAACAAAACTTAAGGAAATTATTTTTAATGAAAAAATAAAAACAGTGGCATCACCAGTCGTTAAATATTATATATCGTTAATTTTTCTTCGTTAGGTTTTTACAAGTATCCATCAGCTGTTGCTTTCATCGCTTTCAAAATTATAAACAACTTTGAATTCAAATGTTATTAAAACTGTCATTTTAAATGCTTACTATTTATATTAGAACTATATTTCCATCACGTTTAACACATTTTTTTAGATATTTTAAATAATGCAATGGTGAGACGAGAAAGCCATATTGGCTTTATTCATAAAATAACGTGAAATGTCAGTATTTTGTTACATTCGAAGAAATCGTTAGCGTTGATTACAAATTACTTTATATTGTATTTTTAGCTGCAAGATCAAGTACCCAAAGTTTTATTTGACTTTCAACTCAATTGAGTAATGAAGTCTACTGATGTAGAGTGTTGTATAAACGAGAAACCATAAGACCTATTCTTAAACATGTGACAAAAATGTTTCAGTAGTTGATATAGCTATACCCAAAAATACTCTATTTCATGTTATTGAATTTTCATATTTGCTACAATTTATTAAATAAGGGATAAAGAATAATAGACTGGTATTAAAAAATAATTTATACCATGATTATATAGTCTAAATCATGCATAAATTAATAAATAATTATTTCGCATTATAATCAGGGTGTTGATGTTTAAGCAAAAGATATCGCAAGAATAACTGGCACCCGGAGTTTACTCGTTTTGGGAACCATTTTTTCTTCTTCAGTAAAAACTCTTTTTAATCTCTTGCTACGCTAGAGATCTTTATTTCTTGATTAATATAACTTTTAACATTATTTTTAAAGTTTTAAAACCAATTAACCTTTGGACTCACACCATTGAAGTGGCCAGGTTTCTCCGCCTGGATCCAGGATGATGGTTTATATATACCTCTTCCCTACTCTTCCTCATCCTTCTCCCCCCTTCTCCTTCATTATCACCTAACTTTTATCCTATTTCCCTACGCATGTAATCGTCTTGTGTTTCCTTTCATGTTTATCTGCTTCATGTTACAGCAACAACATCAACAACAACATCAACAATAACAATTAACTTATGCGTGATTTATGATGAATGTTGACATTATTAAGTGTTAATTTTTGAATTATTAGGTCTGTTCCACGAGCTACTCATAGTAACTTTGAGTAAACACTGTGTATACACAAGCGCGTTCCACCAGCAAATATTCAAGTATTTTTGTGTAAATTTTACTTCTGTTTTACTCATGTGTTACTATAGGGGTATTCACTCTCTCTTGCAAACTCATTGCAAGGTGCACGAAATGCACAGATTGTACGAGAATGCAAATAACAACAACAAAATACACGCACAAAATTTCGTGCAATTGCGTGCAATCTTCCAATGCTGAAACCTATGTATATTTGCTTGCAACAAACCAGAAATGGCGGAAATCAGCTGTTTTGTCATTTGTTGCTTCTCATTTTTAAATTTGAATTGACTGTTAGTAAAATTTCGAGATATGTTAATCTATGGCTATGCTATATACATGCGTTTCGTTCAATAATTTAAATCGATGTGACCATTAATTAAGTTTTCACAAATATAATATTATATACATATACATTTGTGAATTAATTTATCTATTTATCAATTTCAGCGAAACTTACGAAAATTTGTTCACATTTTGAACTATTGAATGAAGTGTTTGGACGCATGTCTAATTTTGTACGGAAACATTGCCATAGCCACCAACTAGTTCTGCGCTAGGCAACGAAGTTTTTTTTATTGAATCGTCTGCAGACAACACATCATCCAGCTCTGCACCGAAAGTCGTGCGTTCTGCTGTGCAAAGCCCCACTACCCCCCTCGATAAAAAATATAACAAATAACAATAATAAATTAAGAATTAGTTATATTTTTATTATAACAATTATTTTTATATTATATTATTATTACATATATCTCCAACAACAAATAATGTAGCGACTTTACGAATAGCCGCATTTTCGCCTGATGAACCCAAACGATATAAAACAATAGTAATCCTTAATAGTTTATTAGTGAGACTATTAAGGAAAATACGTTCCAATTTACTCTAAGCGTCTGACAAAAACGGCCTTCATCAAATTCTTGAAGAATGGTAAATCTCCATTGAATAGATTTTGGTACGGGTTGGTGATTTCTGTGATGGTTTACTAAAGTAAACAAAAGGTCTTCATTTAATTGCTCCATTACTTCCCAGTAATTTGCATCATCTAACAAATAGAAACTATATAGTAGTGAAAACTACATTAACAACATGTTAATACCTTCAATCAGAATATTAAAAGCACTATTTTCAATAAAAAAATCTATACATTTTTGTATTTCACTTGTTCGCGGCATTGTTATACTTTTATTTTTCTTTGCTCAATTTGATACGGCTGCAAAACAGCTGATTCATTTTGATGATGCAATTCTGCAACAGAGGTGTTCTCGCAGTCTTGCAGTTTTTGTATAGCATTCTTGCATTTCGTGCTCCTTGCAATGAGTTTACAAGAGAGAGTGAATACCCCTTATGAGTAGCTCGTGGAACAGACCTATTATATGAATTTTGTTAATTGTTTGTCATAACATTAACTTTCCGAATTATTAACACATACTAATGTGACTCTCAGAAGACCTATTATGCTTTTCAAATGTATTTATTTATATTTTATAGAAATAAAATATTTTAACAGATTATTTGCTTACCGTCTTTTAACTGTTTAATTCTTCCACACCTAGTGCCACGTTGGCGCTAGCAAACAGGAAAACATTTGTTTTAAAGAATTCTTCTATATTCTCATTTGATACGCACAGTAAATACAAATCACAACAGGTGATTATTCATTATTATTAAAAAAAGAGACAATGATACACCGTGGCTTAAGGCAGCATATATTCATAGAATATATATTATTTTTAGAACTGAATATCTTGAAATTATTATTCTAAAACAATATTATTTGAACTGAATATCTTAAAGTTATTATTTGTATTTTATGATATTTTCAATATAAACTAAAATTTAATATTAAATTTTCTTTTATTTTATTTTGATACATATTATTTTCAAACAATAGTTCAATAAAATTAATGTATATTTTTATAAAAAATTTAAATACATTATGTAAACGTACTTATTCGAGTACCATAAAATTCGCAATATTACATAAATAATGATTTTATTATAGGTTTTAAATTAATTGATCGTACTTATTTTTATTTTAAAAGAATAAATCACCAAAATCTGAGCCAATGTTTTGTTGGAATACGTTTTGTTGTGGTCTTTGTGAACGTCGTGCAGGAACTATAATATCATTAATTTCGTGGACAATGCCATTCACAGCAACGGCATCGCATTTAGTAATACCTGCGTTCTCAACCTTTGGACGACGTTCACGAGTAATACGTAAATGTGCACCATTTAGAGCTTCAATAGAGCGTACAAAAGGCCAGTTTGTTGGCATTATACCAGCGCAACAAACAGCATCGTTTACAATGTGTGTCTTGACAAGGCTCTCCAATTGAGATTTGTCCTTAATAAGTGTTTTTTCCCAATCTTCAACCTCTTCGAAAACATCATTATTAGGTAAAAACAATGTGTATGTTTCTTCTTTATTAGTGAGCAAACTAGTTAAATTAGATGAACGTACAAGTTCTAAAAATTTACTGTATCTTGGATTTTTTTCTAAATATTCCAATAAATTCTATTAAAAATAAAAAAAAATTAATTTTAAATTAAAATGTTAGTATTAAAAAAATGAAATTACCATATTTGGTGGAGTGAGTGGCTTGTCAACTTGATGTAATACAGAACCACAACTCTCATCATCAAAATGTACTACGCGTGCACAGTTTACTGTAGCACGATTCATTACATTCGTAAAGAGTGCATGGGTGGAATATAAGTTAATACGAATACTTGAACCAGCAGCTGTTGGCATTAATTGTTCAGTCAAATCACAAGTTTTGGTCATAGGATGTACAATGTGGTAGTTTATGAAGTCAACCAATTCAGGATTATTCCTTAATTTTTCTGGAGTTTCAGTTAACATTTCTACCCACTTAGTACCCTGCAAAGCCTTATCAGTTGGTGCAAATAATGTTATATTGTCCATATCATCGATTTTATTATCTAACTCAGCTGCTTCAACAAGACGCTTGAAAAGTGTGACATTCTTGGTTTGCATAAGTGTAGAAAGTGGCAAAGCAGATTCTGTTGACAAAATTGTGTCAACAATATGAAGAACGCCGTTTGTGCCCATAACGTCTGGTTCAATAATTTTTGCTGCATTATTAATGGTGATATAACTTTCATTCACCAAATCAGCCACTTCAGATTTTTCTTGTGCAGACTTTGACTTATTGAAGCGCAACGGTTCACCCAATAAATTGAAAGCACTAGTTTTGGCACCAGCAATAGAAGCAGCCGAGCAGAAAGTTAAATCAAGAATATGATTTTTCAATATATCTGTAATAGAAGTGAAATATAAATTTTGTCTACACTCGCTTTCTAATTTATATTTATATGCTTACTTGCAGCGCATTTTTTTCCCTCCTTCAAAGTCCTGCGTAAATGTGGTTCCAATTTATCGAAAGCATCATCAGTTGGTACGAAAATAGTAACTGGCTTATCAGATTCAAGAATTTCACTGATTTTGGTTTTCTCCAAAACGGTACGCATAATTGACAAATCAGCACGGGAACGTATAATATCCATAACATTTGCTGTGACTGGTTTCATAACACCACTTATTGTATGCACTAAGCCTTGTTCTGAAAGCTTGTCGTGTTTTTCAATTGGAATGCAATTAGCTGTGTAATGAACTGGACCCAAGCTCAATGGCAGCTGGTACATGTTAATGCGTATGGTTTGACCTTCCATTTGTGTTTTCAAAATTTGCTCATTTGCAACATTATCCATATCATATTCACCATCGACTATGTGGCGCAAATAAAGTTTTTTTAAAACTTCACCAGACTTTTCAACCAAATTCTAAAATAAACCATAATAAAAAATAATTGTATTATAACATAATCAAGCTAGCCACAAAGTTTAATAATATATTACATTTTCGTTTTGTTGATCTTCGTTGTAGTTGGTGAAGGCACTGTCGATTGGCATGAAAATGGTTATGTTTTTGCGGTTGGTCAATAACTGATCAGCTAAGCCGTTAGCTTTAGCAATGTCGATGAACTCTTTGGCTCCCATATTTGCAGCGGTATCAGCAACGTTTTTAATATCTATTTTATCGCACGGTGTTGAATAACCTGCATCTCGTGGACGTCCATAACCATGGCAACATTGACGTGTTATGACTACAGTTTTCATTTTACCATTTTGATTAAAACTACAAAGAAAAATATTGTGTTTATACACTTATATATATTAAATTATTATTTAAAAATATTTAATACCTTCTTGAGCAGACGTATTTGTTTGGTTTATCAACGCAGGAGTGAAGGCTGAAATGGAATTGTCCGATAATCGGTTTGATGTCAATGCTTTCAGATATACCAGGAACCAGTTCTTCCTGTGATGGCTTTGAATTCTCTTTATCAGCTTCAGTGTCCTTTACAGTTTCTTCTTTATCTGTACAAACATTTGGTCTAATGTGAAGACACAATAATAATTAGAAGTTAAATAAAATTATTATATACTTATTTCAAAATAATAATAATAATACTGGTGATCGGATCGTTATGAACAATAGTATTTATATTCTTTAGTACTTCAGTAGTGTTTTTAATATACGTGATTACATATTTAAAAGTATTTAAATATTTAAATGTGCTACTAGCGTGTTGGTTAAATCGATGATGCAAATAGATGAAGAATATCTACGCACGTGAGGCCTCTCATTTTTGTACATAAATGTACGACTTTGACGTGTTTCGAGTCCTATTCTAAGGTCAACATGATTAACAGCTATGATTAAAGAAACGGTTCAAGAAGGTAAATTTGAGCGAAATCAAGAAAGATAAGATCGAACTCCAAATTCTAACGCTTAGATACTATTAGTAGAAGACTTCGAGGAAGACTTCCATAAACAAAGTTTAAGGACTGGATTGCTATAAAGAGCAGCATCTTATTCAGTCGTAGAAGGGACTAGGTATCAAACAAATGGGAAGCAGTAATTAAAGGAAACTGTGAGCAAGCATCGTAATGATCGTTAACATATATTTTTGTTAAATGTTATTGTTTTTGATTAAACAAATTAAAAATAAACAAAGCAACAATAATTGTACACAATAAATATAGATGTAGATATATAATTAATAAGCGATATATGTAAACAAAAAATTGACAGACAGTATTGAAATATAATATGTAAACACATATAGACAATATTTTTTTTTTAATATAAATTAATTGCAATTTTTAATTGTAGTATAAACAAATAAACATTTATATAATTATTATAAAATTTCATTATAAATATGCATTTGATCAGTTTGTAATTGAATACGTTATATATATATGAACACTTGATACGTTACTTGTAGATATTCTTAATAAAAAATTAAAAAGGGCGCAAAAAAGTAATAAAAATGTAGTTCATATTTTTATAAATAAATTAATTTAGTTTAATCATTCTAATTACAAATGTAAAAATAATTGAAATGAAAAAAAAATAGCAATTTCCTTAAACTTAATAAATAATAGATGTAAATGAGTAAGAAATGGTAAGTTAATCTTATTGTAATATATATAAATATATACATATATAAATATATATATATAAAATTTTTAAATATTAATGTGATGTGCTAACAAATCTATTATATAAATAATACTGTCTATTGAAATAGGGTAGACTTACGTGCGGTGCCACTTACTTATAGGCTTGAAAACTGGCAATAAATGCTAATTTTAACTAGGATAGATACCTATATACATACATAGTACTTATTCATACATACATAGCACATACCATAAATGTACTAATTTCAATTTGCAATAAATGCCATTAACGAAGTAAAGAGTTAAGCGATACAAATGGGGACAGAGAGAATGTTGACACAGTGCTTATATGTTATGCAAATATAAGTGAGCCAGTATATTTAATATTAAAAACAAGCGTAGTTTATGGAAAAATCTAGACTTTTGAATTGTGTACATTTACAATGTTCACAATTTTAGCTGTGTTTGTCTATCAGTTAAATGGCTACAATAAATAAATAAATTCAATTTAAAGACAAGTCAGTCTTTTATTTAATAATTTTTGTTTCTTTTTTGCAATACAAAAGAATATAAAGAATTAAACAAATTCATGCAAATTATATAAAACTAAAAAGAGACCATTACAATATACATAGGTACAACTCCAGATAGTCAAATGTTTTCACGAACTTCTTTTATTTTTTTTTTTTGAAAATATATTTCACGATATTAAACTCTACAGGGTGCAATATACTTATACTATAACGTGAGTCATTACTTCAACTGTATGTTAAAATAATTGTCATCTACAATAATATAAATAAGCACATACACAGTTATTAACAATAAATATCGTAAGAGTTATTTAGATGATTTTTATATGTGCTTTGAATCATCCTATCCAGCTTTACTGAGAACAACACTATCTGTTGCACATTTTGTTATCGGCATTCAGTGTTGTTTAGTTTATAAACACCTTGCTAAGTGATGAGCATACCCACACTTCTTTATAATTTAAGAATGTAATATATATATATATTAATTGTACTTAACAATTCCTGATGCAATATCATTTATCATTCCATTGAAGCCACACGTATTTAAATAAAATTATTTATTTTGATTTCTTTGTTTTTATCTCTAAACTTAAAAACAATAAGTATCCTTTATATAAATACAGCAAACTGCTATGGGGTGTAGACCTGTTTTAAACTATAATTTATAATTTAATTTATAATTTATCACATGGGTTAGGTATGTCTTTCTTATACAACGCTTCATATTTATAATGTAACGTTTTTATTAATATGTCATAGTTGTCTGATAAAAAATAGATCTTCATATGTTAGGGCGAAGACGATCTTTAGCGCCACATCAAACACGTTCAATATTCTTCCCTTAAAAATATATTTAAATTTGAGAAAGCAAATATTAAATCAAAAATGATAATGATAACATTTATCATAATAACAAAATGATAACAATAAAATCGATACTACAATTTGTGAACAATAATTGTGTACATTTTTCTAAACGCAAGTTTAAATTGCACTTCAGTTCGTATTCTTAGTTTAGCCGTACTGTCTCAATGACATTGATATATGTCATACCTATATGATATAATAAGAGTACTACCATCAGTTAGAAGATATGCTGATTAAATAGTTAAACAAAAGTGTTTATATCACGCTTTCTTAAAATTGTCGTATCAGAAGCAGTGATTATCTACTAGCAAAGACCAATAGATTCCAAAACCTTACTGTATTGTGTGTTATTTGGTTTTGGATTGTAATAGGCCCGAATCTTTCTTTTTTAAAATCAAGAATGTGGTTGTGACTGATTCCTACAGTCACAATAAGTAATTTTTTGTCACGAATTTGAATATATGACTGTGCAAGTTATGTGGTTTTAACACAGGGCGGTGCTAATAGTAACACAACATATCTTTTGTTGGCGTTGCTTTGTTAAAAATTTAATATTGTTCATTTCATCTATTGGTGATCTAAATTAACAATAAAGCTCATGCGATTTGTCATCCTTAAACTTTTTTTGAAGGGCTACGCAAAAGATCGTGTTTATGCAGAAAATCCTCAAACTATCGACACTTGACATTCAAAGAACATTAACTTATGACCGAACAGTCGCCAGCTATGTGTAGGCAAGTCGTCGAAGATGACCTAAAAAGGATTCAATCCTCCAGAACACCCTATGCAGGATATTTGAATTATTTTTTATTACGGAATTTAGCATCAGTATTAAAAATTATGATTAAATATGTTTCTCACATTATCGAGAAAGTTAAACTGATCGATCAATGGGAGTTCAATTTTTTTAGGGTATTAATTATTATTTTAAAATGCCATGTCTATTCCCAAAGTTGTTATCCTGCTGTCTAATTCGCTGTTTTCGTTGCACTGCTAAAAATTTAAAACGCTTTTTCGTTTAATAAATTTTTAAAGTGTAGGATTGGGGCGTGAGCGTTAAATTCAACATTTTTAATGTGTTGCGCTCGGCTAACTTTTCAAACTATATTCCAAAACTCTTTACTAACTTTTATTTACGTTAAGCTCAAGGCGAATCTTTTGTAATACTTTATTCTCTTCGTATTGCATATATCTTCAAAAGTTTTTATTGAAGATTTTATACTTGTACATAATCATCGCGTACCTATTGTCATTCTTTATTATTATTTTTTTTTTGTATATGCAGTTATTAACTGCTATCTTTATTATTTATTCTATTTAATTCTTGTTTTCCTATATAAAATTAATGACAAAAATAAATTATTTTTTGTTTCATATAATCATTATTAATTTTTCTAAATTTATAGATCGTGACTAATGTCGAATCGGGATGCTTTGTGGTAACGCCAAAATGTCAGTAAATCAAATTTCAAACATTTTCGACTAAACTAATTCTAATTTGTTTTTCAGCTTTTCGAATCTTATACGTTTTCAATTTTTTATTGTTTACCTTCTTCTCGTTGTCAATGGATACTACAATTGTTGGGTAATATGCTATAGTAATTTCGGTGATAGCTTAGTTAACAAGAAAATATTATGTTTAGGAAAAAATGCAAAACTTAAATTTGTCCTAGATCGATTGGAATACTGCACGGTTAAGTGACAGTTAGAGTAATTGCAGAACACAACTCAAGTCTGAGTATTTAAAAAATTACTTGACTTTAACTATTAACTTTTATTATTGTTTTTTATTATTCACTTACCCTTTCCACCATGGCTCTTGTTGTGGACCAAATCCAAAACCACCAAAGGAATTAAAGAAATCTGGTCCGAAAAATGGAAAAGATTGTTGACCAAAAACATTTGGAGAGTGATTTTCGTTAATTTCACCAGATATCACGTCAATATCTATAATATTAAAAATTAAATACAAGCAATTAGTGGATATAAACATTTTTTTTATGAGTGGCAACGTATTTTTTATAGTATTGTAATATATTATATACATAGGATTCAAAAATTGATTAATTTTAAAAACGCTAGTTTATATACACTACACTATTCCTATATAAAAGTGTAAAGGGATATCATTTTGAAATGTCGGTGAATACATATAGATTCATTATGTATGTATAGTACCGTGGAAACATAATTAAACCTTAATAAAAGAATTTGACATTTAATATTATTAAAAAAGAATTATTCAGCTTACCAAAAGGTTTTTCTTTTGTGGGTGGAGCTTGGGTCCGAGCTTGGAAATGTTGATTTTCCAAAGGCACGAAATCCGTGTCAACTGTTTCGAAATTGCTGTAAGGTAAACGGAAAGGTTTATTATCAAATTGTCCCCAAATTTGTGGATGGCCTTCTGATGCTTGTGGTTGTTGTTCTGATTGTGATGTTCTAAATGATGATCTGTATGACGGTATGGGTGAAAAAATGCTGTGTTCAAGGTGTGGTGTCAAATGCTGCATAAAACTGATTGATCAAATGCAACAAAAAATACATTGAACCAAGCAAAAACAAAAAACAGAATTAAGTTTTGGTGTGTAAAAATTTTGTTTAACTAATGCGGATTTATTTACAAGGAGCATGAATAATAGTTTCTAGTATAGATTAAGTTGTAAATGATAGTTATCAATGTTGTAAATATATGTAGCCTTGTTGTATTTATATATCATAATATATTTTTTATTATTATCTAACATGTAAATTATTACCAAAATAAGATATATTTAGCCTACGTATAATAATAGTATTGTATTACATATATAAATAAAATAGTATACGTAAATATTAAAATAATTAATATCTGTTAAAAACAGAATTATTGTTAGTACGATATTCAGGTTCAGTTGTAAATACAATAAATTTGATAAGTTAAATTTCTTTTATTTCTAAAAAATATAATAACATATACCTATAAAAAATAACACATATACCTACATACTCCTATATAAAATAATAACATTTTTTGTGTCATTTTAGCAAATCATAAATATTTAATAGAAAATCAGAAAGTTTAATTGAAAAAAATTTTCATAACGTTTATTAATTATATTAAAAATAACTCTATAAAACATATGATTAGATTAGAAACACAATAAAAACAACTCTAAGTTCATCACACGCTTCTTATTTTGAAGATGTTACTTAAATATTTACTGATCCATATAATTCTTTTGTTCTTGAGAAGAATAATTGAAGAAGAACTAAGAGAAGCGAACTATTCCTGGAGTGACATATGCCGTGAATCAAATAACCGAATACGATAAAAAAAGATAGAGGCCCTATGTCCACTGAGAGATAAGGATAAAAGAGAGAGAGATAATTCTTTTAATAACATTTGATCAAATTATAATGATTCATAGCCGAAGTTGTTATGAAAATAATATTAAATAAAAGAGATAACTTTTATCTGAATCAACACAGCATATATTACAGCTATATATATTTAAAATTGATTCATTCTGAATGAAATTAGATATTCATTTTTATATACACGTTTTTATCAATAACTATTTTTAATTTTATAGGGTTAACGTATAATGAATTAAGTTTAATGTCCTCTCGAATGATCTGATCTGAATTGTAAAGACGATCCAAAAACAAAAATACAAGATCTATCAAAAATGCATTTAAAACTGTCACTGCTGACAGTCAGAAAGAGTCTATGTGTAAGAACATAAATAAATCTGTGCTTATGAGAATGACGAAACGTAAGACGAAAGAAACTTTCCTCCAAGATGTATTCTGTTGTATTTTTCGTTATAAGTGATTTTATCTATCACGAATTTGTTTCAGAGAGACTGACGTTGAGAAAGAATAATGTATTGCTTTATTGAAGCGTTTGGTTAATAAAATCTTTCAGGAAATTTCTGGAACAACAATTCTTGTATTTGATAAAACACCATGATAGCGCGAATTCTGTATATGTCCCCGAAACTAATTTTGCAAATATATGAAACTTCTCTATTTCAATTAAATTAAAACCATAAAACAAACTGATTTGAATGAGTTAATGGTTACATTATATGAAAGCTATTGTGAAATTAGATGTTGATAAATTAATAAATGTCAGAAATATTTCCCAAATTTCAGTACCTTTCGACATAATACATATAATTTTTACCGATTTTTTATTTGATTATTTTTTGTTCAAAATAAATTATTAATAACATGAAAGTCTAATTAAAATAACACAATTTCATATAAAATCCCCATCTAAATGCTTTGTTTTGTCTAAATGCTTTTTTTCCTGTCTAAATGCTTTTTTTTTGTTGTCTAAATGTTCTTTTTTGTCTACAGAAATATATTTATACGTATAATTCCAAGAATTTATTTACTTCATAATTAATATAAAAATGATTTTGAATACTAAAAACTAAGCAGGATGGTCGAATATGGAGAATTCTGGCGTAAGATGGGGAACTATAATTTATAATTTTTTGATTTATTGTGTTTGCCTAGTTCAATATTATATTTTGTTGTAAAGATGATAATAATGACGGCCATTGCGATAAAGAGGTTAATGTATACGTAGAATTCTAATGATTAAAATTAAGTTAATTTCAGTGTTTACGTCAAGCTTCCGTATTTTAGGTTTTTTTGTACTTTTTGTAGGAATGATTTGTAAAAAGGTACATAGTAAAGAAACCTAGGTTTAAGAAATCGTAAATCTTCTGGTTTTACGCATTTAGCTTCAGCTTCACCGAAACTTGAATACCCTTCGCAAAGATAGTACAGGTTATAATACAAATTTTAAACTGATTTGTAACAATTATTTTGTTATGTTTAGCCTTTTCCGAGTTAGTGCATCTGGGCATTTTTACTATTTGATAGCTGGGGGGTTTCTGTAGACTCCCACCCATCTTACCAAATAATTTGTGTATTCCTCATAAGATTCGTGGTCGTCAATGACTATCTAAGATCTGCGTACCGCCCCGTGTGGTTAGTGATTATTCTAAGATTAGATAGTGGTAAGTAGGGATAGAAGAAAAAATTAAAAAAATTTTTCATTTTAAAGTAGGACCTCTCCTTTCCATCCACCGTGGCTACATTGTTTCTTAGCAATTTTATTGTTATTTTATCATTTATTGTTTAGTAACAAAATTGTCAGTAAAAAAATTTCAATAAAATAACAATTTACAGTTTTTGGCTACAATTTATGGTTAAAAATATTTAAAAATAAATATTTCATTGTAAACGGATCTCATTAGCAATAGTGATGTGAGAGATATAAATTTATCTTTTGAATATTGTACGATGTTAGAATATTTAAAAAATCTTAAAAATGTCAGATTTGAAATTTATTTATATTTTTAAACTACAAAACTTCAATTAAGTTTTAAAAATATTTTTTTGAATCGTCTTTGTAAAAATTTATACACAAAAACACTTTAGTGCCAAAAGCTTAGATCTCACATACAAATAAATATTTTATTTCCTTTGTTTTTGTTTTGACAAAAATACAATTAAACCTCAGTAATTTTCAATTCACGTATTCCGCCTGGCTACGTTTTACTAATTTTAAGGTCGTTTGTATGCTGATCAGTACAGATTTTTTTGGTAAAGCAAAAATAATTTTTTTCTGCATAAATGGGTTAAGAAAGTTTTTTACTTAAAAGCCTGAAGCTGCCGCTGTCGCATTATGAGTCAGACTGGCTCATCATTAACTTCTATATTTAAAAAAATTTGTTATACGTATTTTACGGATTTTTAAGCACAATAGAGTTTTTTAGAGCGATTCATCATAAAGATTTCTTTGGTGAAGTAGAGTAATCCTATACAAACAATATTTTTATACATACATATATTGTGATTTATATGTTTCATTGCGGTTTATATTCAACTGCAAATTATCGCAGTACCACCGATTGGTACAAGTATAAATCTCTTACTGGCATTAGAAGTTTTTTATAATTTTTTTTTTTCTCTAGTCTACTCAATTATAATAATTTTAAACCTGAATCTCTGCAACTTATATTCTCGATTACCATCGATTTCAGTAATAAGCAAGCTTTGAAAACAGCATTCTGAGCATTATTACAGTTCAGTTAAAAAAATATTGCCTCTACCTAAGCTGTTGCAACAACTAAGCAAATATGTTTGTTTATTTAAAAATAATAAAAATAAGCTCTAATCAAAGCAATTAAAAAATTCATTATCAAATACAGGTCAGAAAATCACTTTATATTCAGTGACATATGTACATACCTATAGTCTCAAACAGCTACAACGTTCACAAACTTTATATATAATTTGTATTTATATGAGTTATGATGCTTTTTAAAAATATACAAATTTATACGTTAATAACAGATGGACAAAATTAATGATCGTTACCCATCTTTTATTTCAAAGTCAAAAGAGACAAATACTGTAATGAACAAATTTATAAATGCCCAGCAAATTAATAGTGGTGCTTAGACAATTTTTTATACCCAAACTATCTTTCAGGAAATTATCTTCAAAAGTGTCCGAAAAGTGCGACCTCATCAGTAGACAATTACATAAATAATGACACAAATTAAATATACACAGTAAAGAAAAACAGAATAAAAATTATGCTAATAGTAAATATTTTCACTAAAACACGGACGTTAGCCAAGACATGGTAAGATCGATCCAGTCTTCAAGATACATACCCAAAATAGCTTTGAAAACATTTTACTCATTTGTCTTATTTCGAAAATTTCTTAATAGATCGCCCTACATTTTGATTGATTGGACTTCTAGATATCTTAGGTTCGTTTTGAAATTAGGAATATAGAAGACGTAGATTTTAATTGAAATGAAGTTATGGAGTTAATAATACGCCCGAACGCCGCCATAAAACAATTACAGTTAGCTTAAAGCCAGACCATAAGAGATCTATTTAAGATACCTTGGTAGGTAAAAACAGCAGACATACTCAGAGACCTGACGATCGAACCAGCCTTAAAGCTCTTCGCAAAAGTGAATACACTGCCTCATCCCTAGAAACCAAAGAGTAAAAGTACGCAACAGCACTAACTCAATTAACACCAACATCATCATATGGAGTTAAAAAAGTTAATGAAGTTAATAAAATATATAGTTAAATAAAAACAATAAAAATATTGAATTTTAATTATTTTCCTTCTACTACTGTGAAATGTTAAAATTTTGCAGAGTTATTTCTGCTTATTTACTCGGAGTACAAAATTTGTTATAAGATTTATTCATGATTTCACATGTAACACTTAGCTTACACACTCCAAACATATAGAGAAATAAATCCTATGATATCCAAAATTTATTGTTAGGCGAATACGTAGTAGTTGCAGCTATACATAAAGCATCAAGCATTATAAAAACAAATTGAAGCTGTACATTTCTACATCCATAAGGCAGCATCCCAGTAAAATAAATATTAATGTACACATTACTTCATCATTTGCGAGTACAATAACACTGAAATAGTATTTAACAAAAATAGAAAAAAACTAATCTTATTA